GGGGGGGAGTTCTGCCAAGGGCCAGACCGATTGCGGTCCAGACTTATTTAAACCCTGTCCTCTTTCTTCCATAGTATCTCTACATCTTTTTCCGCATTTGAGCTTTCGCATATCTCGCCTGATCCACTCCAAACGCTGGCACAATCGGAGGGCGAGGAGCCACTGAGACATCCACAGTAGCATCCGAACATCGAAAAGTTTAAGAATATGGGTATCATTTCCGTTTTCTCCTTCCTAAATACTCTCTACTTGTTGCACTTGCGAATTTCCTGGACTCTACCACGTGGTCATGTATGCCAGACCAATACCCATCACATCCCATCGCAACGGTGGTGTAGAAACAAACGCAACCAAAAGCACACTAGCTCTTTGACAAATGCCTTACTCCTGTGCGTGCTCCTGCAAAGCCTTTTGTTTCCCTTCGTAAAGACCGGTGTAGTAGCCTAGTGAACGAAGCCTCAAGTCAGGCGGCCATTCATGTTTATCTTCAAAGGAAAAAGGGGGAGAAAATAGTTTCTCTCTCCAAACCCAACACAACGTACCTGCGTAGTACCAAGACATCAAGAGCTTCTTGAGCTCCTCATCTTGTACGGAACCCAACATCAGTTGCGGGCCGGGACCAGGTAGGCCTACTGCGGCGGCGGTAGGTCCAGCAAGAGGAGGAGCAGCAACAGCTGGTTGCTGGCTTTCCAGGCTATTTTCAACCTGTGCCTTGGTTAGTCCAGATTCATTTGACTTCACGTCGACAAAAAAAGAACGCGAAGAAAAAGCTTTCTTCATTCCAGTTTCGACTTACCTTCACTTCCACAGCGGCGGGTGCAGCGCCGTCCTCTCCCATCGCCTCTCCTTCTTCTACCTCCTCTCCCTCATTTACAATAGCACTATGCTTGGGATTCTGGTCCCTGGAAAAATATCATCGTTAGTCTCAGCTCGGTTTCCACATCCAGTTAGAAGGTTGGGTTGGGGACAAGGAAGGATCACGAACCTAACTTCCCCAGCAACACCCTCAGGAAGCGCTGCTCCTTCGGCGTGTATGCTGTGATATTTCTGTCGTGCAGTGGGTTAGTTAATAGTCCCATCCTGAATAGCTGGCGAATTGGACGGCTCTTCTTACCTTGTATTCTGCCAGCGCCTCGTTCCACGAATTCACGAGGGCCGAGTCGTCCCAAATCTCTTCATGGGATGCCATTGCTGTGAGATCTCGCCGTTTGTGGGTTGGTGGTTGTTCGCGAAGGGTGAAATGCTGTTTGGCCTGTTGCTGCCTGCCCTGTTGTGAGTTTGCGCATTCGAAATTTCGGTGGTGGAAATTGTTAGTGCGACACGCGCACCGTTTGCCATTCACTATCATCCCGTGCTAGCGCCCTATCGCACAGGCACTCTGAAGCTTCGCGTCAGCTGCAACAACAAACCATTAATGTCAACACCCGGAAATCATGATAATCTCTGGATCCAAAGACTGATCTGGGAGTCAATAGCTCCTGACCGGACAATCTAAGAATCTCAGCCCGAGTGGCGGAGCTCCGAACAACATCCTCTGCAGGGTAGACGGTCGCGGACGGTGCCGAAGGTGGACCACCACGTTTGTTCCTTCCGGACGGAGAACAACCCTGAACCTTTCGTAATACCACCACTTGTTTCTTTTTAGCATAAAAACGGTAGAATCATTACTCGCTTGTACACCGAGATATGCCAGATGAAGGACATAGAAGTTGGAGAGAGAAAACTGCAAACGAATAATACCACAAACCGCTTGAACAAGGTGCTAGGAGGTGCATCTCGGGACAACCGCCAAGGAGGGAAAGTCAGCGCTTGGAACGCTGCATCATCCCGGAAATCGCGATCAAGATGCTGATATAGCAAAATTCCCAAGCCCTCGGGATATCTCTGCGAGTCCGATGACCGGGTTCGTTGGCTGTCAAATCATGTTCCAGCCGGCCGTGTTTACCGTTCGGGTAGCTGCAGGGTTGAGATGGCATGGCGGGATGGCACTGGAGAGTTCGGAGAAAAGAAGCTATAGCGTGGGTTGAAAGAGGTCCTTGGAGCCCTATCGGTAGAGATAGAGTTGCTCTATGAGGGGGGAGTGTGGGGTACCTGCTATAGCCTAATCGCTTTCCTTCACGTCATGCGGTCCTCCCCGCGATCTCCAACAGGTACAAAGAGCTACATCTTCTCCCAGAGCTTCCCATCTCGAGATATTGTGTCTTGGATTTGATAGCTGTCCTTCCTTGCTTTTTTTCCCATTCAAGTCTTCGGGAATTTGCAACAAGTCTCGGCTCTGACGGCACATCCGCTCAGTTCCCTGTCATCCCTTGGCCTAACCAAAGCGAGAAGCCATGTCGTAAGTGAAAAAAGATAACTATCACTGTCATCCACCTATCATCGCCAGCTAACTCCAGACAGGTCTTCACAGGTTCGGGAAATTCTCACTATACCAGGCCATCTGAGAACACAAAACTTACCGCAAAGTGGCACAGAATCATTACATTGGCATTGATGTCGGAACAGGCTCAGTCCGTGCCTGTATCATCGACTCGACGGGCGATATCAAGGCCCTCGCGACCCAAAACATCAAGCTATGGACCCCTTCCTCGGGCTATGAAGGCTCGCATTATGTATGTGGGAAAAGGACAAGAGACAAGTCTTTCCAAATTGAGCACTAACGCCCCATTCAGGAACAATCAACAACAGACATCTGGAACGCCATCTGTTACTGCGTGAAGCAGGTGTTGGCCGAGTCCAAAGTGGACCCGAACTCGGTAAAAGGAATCGGATTCGATGCCACCTGCTCGCTGGCCGTTTTCACCCACGACACAAGCGAACCTGTGCCCGTAACCGGGCCGGATTTCAAGAACGACGGCAATGACAGGAACGTCATCTTGTGGCTCGACCACCGCCCCTTGGCCGAGGCGGAGAAAATCAACAACACCAACCACAACTTGCTCCGTTATGTCGGCGGCAAGATGAGCGTGGAAATGGAGATCCCCAAGGTCCTCTGGCTCAAGAACAACATGCCGCCCGAGCTGTTTGCCCGCTGCAAGTTCTTCGATTTGACGGATGCCTTGACCTACCTGGCGACTGGGAAAGAGACCCGAAGCTTCTGCAGCACTGTTTGTAAGCAAGGGTTTGTGCCCGTGGGCGTCGATGGTAGTGTGAAGGGGTGGCAAGAGGACTTTTATGAGACCATTGGTCTGGGCGACCTCGTGAAGGATAATTTCGTCAGGATGGGCGGCGTTGACGGGGTAGTGAGTGCCTGATCCGAAAACTGACTGTTTACGAAGTGGCTAACCATCAAGCAGAACGGCTATTGGATGAGCGCTGGTGAGCTTGTTGGCGGCTTGTCTGAAGAGGCAGCCCAGCAACTGGGCCTGCCCGCTGGAATTGCCATCGGTAGTGGTGTTATCGATGCATACGCCGGGTGGATTGGAACAGTTGGAGCCAAGGTTGAGCTCTCGCCGGATCAACTCGGCGACAATGTAGCACCCAACGACGTATCGCAGGCCTTTACCCGTTTAGCTGCCGTTGCTGGCACATCGACCTGCCATCTCGCCATGTCTAAGGGTCCGGTTTTCGTACCCGGAGTTTGGGGCCCGTACCGAGATGTTCTGCTCCCGGGCTATTGGATGGCTGAGGGAGGTCAGTCGGCCACAGGCGAGCTCATGAAGCACATGCTGGAGACGCATGTCGCTTATGATGAAACCCTCAAGAAAGCCGAAGCTGCTGGGAAGAACATCTACGATTACCTCAACGAACACCTCAAGGAGATGGCCAAGAAGGCCAATGCGCCATCCATCTCATACCTGGTCCGCCACTTCTTCTTTTACGGTGACCTCTGGGGCAACCGATCGCCTATTGCTGACCCTAACATGCGCGGCGCCATGATTGGTATGAGCAACGACAAGAGCAAGGACGGCATGGCTCTGCTATACTACTCCACAATGGAGTTCATCGCCCTCCAGACGCGGCAGATCGTCGAGGCCATGAACGCTGCCGGACAAACCATCAAGAGCATCTTCATGTCAGGCAGCCAGTGCCAAAACGAGATTCTGATGGACCTGATCGCCACGGCATGCGACATGCCCGTCTTGATCCCCGTTACGTCAACGCGGCGGTGGTGCACGGAGCGGCCATGCTGGGAGCAAAGGCGGCCAGCGCCAAGCCAGATGGCACGACCGAGCCTCTGTGGGACATCATGGACCGCATGAGCAAGCCGGGCAAGACCATCTGGTCGCGCGGTGATGCTGCGGAGAAGAAGCTGCTGGATGCCAAGTACGAGATCTTCCTTGATCAGGCGAGGACGCAGCAGGAGTATAGAAAGAAGGTTGATGCGGCGCTTAAGGGGTCATCGCTTGAGGGTCAAGAGGCCAACTAAAGGAGTACAGGGTGAATTCGTAGAGGTACCTATGCTGCCAGGAGACATAGAACTGGAGTTAGCAAGGGGTTTATTAGAGTTACCTAGTTGGTAGAAAACAGTAGATGGCAGTAAGAAATACGGTGTTGATGATATGGATGACGTTGTCCTCATTATAGTATGGGATGATGAACTGTGGATGTGGATGATGTTGAAATATCGTACCTAGATGCTGTCCTTGGTACCTGAAAGACAAGTGCCTGGCTCCTTGGGCGTTGCTCCTGGCTGCTGTCGAAGCTGGGACGGAAGCAAATGCATAGGAATGCAGGTATCCAGTACCTTGTTTGGCGTCACAGATATGTGCAGCGGAAAGTAGAGGTACCTGCACCTTGGCGCCCCACATCAAAGCTTGGGGGCTGCCGCCTTCGCGGTGCCAATTCAAGAAAAACAAATCGACAAGGCGACGCAAAACAACAAAACACCAAAAGACTCCAAACGGCACCACTTTGCTAGACCAGTACAGCAAACGCGCGTCGACCAGACGCGTCCACCCGCATCTTCCACCCTCTCCGTCGGTTTTCTTTGGTCCAAATCGACACCGCAACCATGTCTCTCTTCGGCAACTTGGGCGGAGCGACCACGAGCGCGCCGGCGACCAACACTCTGTTTGGCGGTACTGCTGGCACCACCACCACTGGCACCTCGCTGTTCGGAACCCCAGCGACCAACACGGCCCAGACCAGCACGACAGGTACTGCTCAAGCGACTGGCGGTCTATTTGGCGCGAAACCCGCGACGACTCAAGCGACTCCCTCCCTTTTCGGCGGTACCGCGACTGCGACAGCTCCGGCAACCGGTGGTCTGTTCGGAACACCAGCTGCGACAACCGGCACCGCGATGAACCAAGCAGGAACCACGGGTGGTTTGTTTGGAACCACGGCTACGAACACGGCTGCCAAACCATCGCTGTTTGGTACAGGCACCACCACGACTACCACCCAGCCAGCGACTGGTGGTCTCTTTGGAAATCTGGGGACTACCACTGCCAATCAACAACCAGCTACAGGAACCACTGGGGGTCTCTTCGGCGGCTTGGGCAGCACCTCGACAACGACCGCCAAGCCCTCTCTCTTCGGTGCCCCGGCTGCCACTACACAACAACCTGCCACCATGGGAGCTCCCGGTACCGCCAGCCAGAGTCTCTTCGGAGCTACGAACAACCAAGCCCCCGCCAACAACTCTACACCCGTCAACCAGGCCAGCGGCGCCTTCTTCGACAGCCTGCTCGCCCGTAACAAGAAGCAGGCCGAGGGAGAGACGGCGCTCGGCGACCTCCCAAGTCTTCAGCTCGGCCTTGGTGATCTGCGTCAGAGGCTCAAGAAGGTCGGTCCCCAGACACAGGGCCGTCCCGTTGATGGAAAGGCACACTACTTCCTCGCCGCGTCAGGTGTCGACCCAGGCGCTGCTGTCAGAGATCTTGGCGCCTTTGGCCTTGGGGCGCGGGCGGAAAGGCAACAGACTGGACATGGAGCTAGGGACGAGGTGGATGTTGAGACATACCTGTCCAACTTGCAGCAGAAGACGACGCTGAGCATGATTTCGGACGGCCTGGAACGGTCCGTCCGTGATTTTGACAGCTTCTTGGAGGAGAATGTGACGATGGAGTGGGAGAACCAACGGAAACGTATCTACCAGCACTTTGGTATTCAGCCCAGGAACGAGGCCGAGCGTGCCAGTGGTTCGGCCCGTGAGGGAGGGTTCGGTCGTTCCCGCCGCAGAAGCTCTCAGACTCCTCGCGCTACCCAGAACGCGAGGTCAGGCTTGCAGCGCTCCATCATCGGTACGCCAAGCCGGATCGGCTCTCACGCCCCAGAGTTTTCGGATGTCGAGAAGGACGCCGGCACCTCTGCCAGCAACTTCGGCTCTGTGGAGGACCGGTTCCTTCGTGAAAAGCAGGAGAAGCTTTCTGAGCAGGTCCGCTACATCAATGATGCTCGGCAGCACAAGGAGCCCGTCTATGTTTGCCGCGATTTTGCGGATTTGGAGAGCAGATCTGGCGACAAGCATGCACCGCATATTGTTGAGGCGTATCGGGCCATGATGGAAATCGTTAGAGAGAACCCCCATCTGGATCAGGTGCCAAAGGAACGAGCATTTGCCAAGAAGTACCTGGATCCCAGCACCCTGTCCAAGAATGCTGTGGATATGAGGAAGCAGATCCTCGACGGCGCCAACCGGTACTTGGAGAAGCAATTCTTCGACGAGGTCAACGCTTTGATTGCCAAGTATCCCCAGGACGCGAACCTCGGAGGCAAGCCCGATGTTGTCAGCAAGATCAAGGCCTTCATCAGGCTCCGCATTGCTCGCAAGACGTTGGTTCCCGACAACACCGACCTCCAGTCTGTCAACGGCGAGTACATCTGGGCTGTTGTTTTCTATCTGTTGCGCGCTGGTTTCGTGAACGAGGCGGCCACGTACGTCAACGACATGCAACATCACTTCCGCAGCATCGATAGGACGTTCCCAGGTTACATCAACAGCTATGCCTCTAGCGAGGATCGCAGACTCAAGCGCCAGATGCAGGACCGGTGCACCAGCGAGTACAACCAGCGCATCCGCAACGCCCCCGAAGGCACTATCGACCCGTTCCGCATGGCCTGCTACAAGATCATCGGCCGGTGTGATGTTAGCAACAGGAGTCTTGACAACCTCAACACCGATGTCAACGACTGGATCTGGCTGCAGTTCAACCTCGCCCGCGAGACTGCCAAGGAGCTCGAGATTGCCGGCGAATCGTACGGTCTTCCCGAGCTCCAGGCCAGCATCAAGGAGATTGGACTCAAGCACTTCCCCAAGAGCCCCGCCGAGGATACTAATGGTAGCTTCGGCATGTTCTTCTTCATGCAAGTTCTTGCGGGCATGTTCGAGCAGGCTATTGCTTATCTCTACCCCTTCTCCTACGTTGATGCGGTCCACTTCGCCATCGCTCTCAGCTACTACGGCCTCTTGCGTCCTGCCGATGCCTTTACCGGCAACGAGCTGCTTTCCCACAGCACCCGTGGTCTCCCACAGATCAACTTCGGCAGGATGCTCGGTTACTACACTCGCGACTTCCGCGCCGCCAACGCCGCCTCTGCCGTCGACTACCTGGTACTTATCTGCCTCAATGCCGACGACGCCGCCGGCAACGGCCAAGCCCAGGCCCAACTCTGCCACGAGGCTCTCCGCGAGCTTGTCCTCGAGTCCCGCGAATTTAGCAAGCTCATCGGCGACATCAAGCCCGACGGCCACCGCATCCCCGGCGTCATCGAGCAGCGCGGTTCCCTCATCGCCCTGGGCCACGAGCAAGAGTTTGTCACGCAAATCACCCACCAAGCCGCCACCTACGCCGACGACAACGGCCGGACCACGGACGCCGTCCTGCTCTACCATCTGGCGGGCGACTACGACACCGTCATCGCCATCGTCAGCCGTGCCCTCAGCGAGGCCGTGTCTCTTGAGATTGGCGAGGATCCTCTGCGCCTGGTGCCCGTCAAGCCCCGTGCCGAAGGTGAGGTTGCCAACGCGCAGCAAGGGACCAGCCTCAGCCTGGCTGCGATCGACGACCCTGTTGAGCTGGCCCGCACCATGATGTCCATGTACGAGCGTGACGCCATGTTCTTGAACCACATCCGCGACCAGAACAGGATTGCGTGCAATCTGTTGTTGAAGATGAGCGAGATCAAGGAGATGATTCAGCGGAATGAGTGGGCGCAGGCTATTGATGTAAGTTTTACTTTCCCCCATTACCGTCCTTCCTCTTGTTCTCTCCTTATACATACTAAACCACCCCTTCACAGGTAATCCGCTCCCTCTCCATCCTCCCTACAGACGACTGCATGGGCGACCCGGCCAAGATCCGGTCCTATGCATCCAAGTTTTCGAGCTTGGCCCAGCCCGTGGCCATCAACGTGCCCAACCTCATCATGTGGACCATCATCTGCTGCACGCGGCAGCGCGAGAGGCTGCTTACCGGCCAGTTCGTCGGCAATGCCGGTACCGCGCGCGAGATGCTGGCGAGGCTGAAGCAGATCACTGTTGATTTGACTACTTATACGAGTCAGTTGCGGTACAGGCTGCCGCCGCATTTGACGGAGGCGTTGGCTAGGGCTAGTGCTGATTAGGTGCGTTGTTGAGGAGGGAAGAAGGGAAGAAGGGAGATGGACGGGATGTTGGGATGTTAGGGCAGAGGATGATGGATGTTTGAGTAAAGTTGAGGATTGGCTTGGCTGTATGGATTTAGTCACGGTTAGCAAGGAAGAGAGGAGTGATGAACGATCAGCATGCTTGAAAGGAAGTATTCTCGACTGTTATCGAAGGCTTAGAAATTTGATCAGTGGTCTGGGAAGAAGCGAGTTAATCCGCTCGACTTTGCATAGCACGTCGCTGCCGTGAGTCTGTAGTTTCCATATTGGAAGATGATAGTGTAGGTTGACGTCCTCTTGTTTGCCGCACAACTGGTGCCCCTTTTTCAAGACCCGGGAACACTTACGGGGTTAGGGTTATTTGCTCGTTTTCTAGGTCACGAATCGGTTTTCACCTTGAAGCTACTTTGCATATTCTTAAGGTATCGTGACGCAGTCGCTCACAGAGCGAAATAAATCAGTTTTGGTATATTGGAGGGAAATCATTGTGGTATCCATAGTAACTCTTTTGTTCACCGTCTTCCTGCCATTAACACCCCGGTTCCGTTCGGCCCCCTTTTGTCGCCGTCAGACTTCAGCTCTCGTCATCCTAGATTTTCGCCTCCTCCTCTTTTTGCCACCATTGGTATATGAACGAGAAGACATCGTCAGTATGTCGAAACACTCATCCAGGGGCTCCCGTCGAGATCCATCATCTACATATTACACATCAACCAACTAGTCATGCCCGCTTGCTCATCCCTTTCAGGTCGCAAATATATGTTGGCCAACACAGGTCAAGAAGGCGGCATCCCCACCAACGCCTTGAACCCTTCAAAACACCTGTCCCACACCTTTTTCCCTTGTAGCGTCTTCCTCCACCTGTCTACCCTCTCTAGACATTCCAGATCATCCCTCATGTGCTGTTGACTCGTCGTTCCGTTCAAAACCACCACGTCCGCTCCCAGTACGATTAGCGCATACCAGGCAGCTTCCAGACTTATCCCCAACTCCTCATCCCCACTCTCAAGATCCCCTGTCCCTTCTGGGTCTCCGTCGACAAGGTTCCCCTCGTCATCAGCTTCTTTTTGTTCTGTTTCTGCCGCCGCCGCCTCCAGCGCCTCCACCTCCTGCGTTGACTTGGGCACCGCCGCCGCCAACTCCCTCACAAACTTCTGCGTCGGCCAATCGCCCCTGTTCCCCGTCAGCGTCCAGAACCCCTGGTAGCGCGTCCTCTTCTCGCCCTTCCAGCGCGTGCTGTTCTGGTTCGCGCACCACCGGCGCAGCTCGTAGTCCCACCGGCGCTCGGCGCGGCGGAAGCGGTTCTGGATGACCGTCGGGTACACCGTCACGCGCGGGTCGGCGACCAGGTACTGCAGCTCGGGCAGAGTGATGTTGGAGATGCCCAGCGAGCGGATGCGGTGCGGGACGAAGGACTGCAAGGCCGTCCAGGCTTCGAGTGTGGAGATTGGGTCGGGGAAGGGGGAGTGCATGATTAGGCAGTCTATGTAGCTTGTGTCCTCCTCGGAGTCGGGGTGGGCGAAGTTTCGCAGGGAGGAGGTCACGGAGGCGAGGACTTGTGAGGTTATGGTTGGATAGAGGGCGGGTTCGGCTAGGAAAGCGTCGTCGTGGGGAGTGTACTTTGTTTGAATCTGTTCATGTAATGGGTCAATATATATGGCTCTCAAGCGCAGATGTTATGGGTTGTGTGATGTTATAGCCACTTACGTATAGTTCCTCTCGGGTGATGATCCCGTCCTTGATGGCTCTCCGGATGCCCTCACCCGTCAGCTCCTCGCTGTAGTGTCGCTTCATGGCGGCCGTGTCGATGCCGCGGAAGCCTTCCTTTATGGCCTCGTAGACCAGGTCCGCGGTGCGGTTCTTCTTCCAGGCTGTGCCGTAGATCATCCGTGGCATGTTGACCTTTGGATGGAGGGCATCTGACCCCGCAGGGCTGCCGGTTGATGCACTCGCGCTCGCCATGATGGTTGTACTACAGGTGCCTCTCGGTTGCCTAGCAGCAATGGGAGAAAGGGCAGCGCTGCTTGTGCTCCGAGCCTCGCGAACTTGTGTGGTGGGATTGTTGAAAGAGATGTCGTTGTTGTTGGCTGTCTGACGCTGATGAAGGGAGAGCCCGCTCTGATGGGCGCTGTTGGCGTGGGCGTGGACGGGACGGTTGGGAGAAGGTCGCACAAGGAGACGGTAGGGCAGCAGGGGCAGCAGCTTTGTGGTCGCAGAAGTAGAAGCAGAAGCAAAAGCACGCACTTGTGGAAGAGGCACGGAAAAGCAACACAAAGATTGACCTCTTTTCAGGCGAAGGGCCATTGGCTGATACGGGCTAGTCTCGGGTACAGATGACTTGTGGGAATGTGGGAATGTGGCAGCACTGTGACTGAGGGGCACCAGTTGAGTGCCAGTTGAGGCCAGTTGATGGAAATGGGAAGCTCTTGCCCTCGGCGCTGCCTCGTCTCTATTGGGCAACCTCGTCCTGACCGCGGATGACTTGCAGCGGTAGATGCCGGCCTCAGAGGGGGAAGGAGCGAGGGAAGTTACCAGGAGGGGAGCTTTGTTACTGTGTGCTTGATGAGGCGGCCAAAGACGCTGAACCCGGTGCTGGAATCCTGCAGACCCCGTATCGAGTCTAATCAAAAGAAAAAAAACGGCAGAGAGCGGGGAGGCTAGCGTAGAAGCCCAGTACAGGTACACTGTAAATGCCCGATGCAGGAGTGATCAGGAACAGGAAGCATGAAGGATAGGTACCACAGTATGTAAGCATCTAGCGAGTCGATAGCTTCCATCTGCTTCCACTCCGTTGAAATTTCATAGCACGTGTGACCGGCGTTTCCTCAGTCGAGACCGGTAGTTAATCCTGATGGCATTCCGAAAGAGTCCAGAACCAGATCGAGACCTGTGGCGGCTATGGTTGGTGTTGAATGAGCGAGGCTCTGTAGGTCTGCTCTTGGCGACAGCAAAGTGGATTGTGTGGGAAAGGAAAGGAAATAAGGATGGTCGGTCGACGGTCTAGAATGGCTTGGCTAACAGGGCTTGTGTTGAGCCTTTGACTGTGACAAACTCGACAATGGCACAATGACAAGATGGAGATATGACGGACTTGTTCAAAAGGGAGCGGTTCGTCGATGGCTTTGTAAAATCCATGGAACCAATCAAATAAGAACGGGCTTCTCAAAGCTGTTTCCTCCCATAGAGGGTCCGTCGCATTTGGCTCATACTTTGCTACCTAGGTAGCTGAGGTGCAATTCCCTTTGCGGGCGGGGCAGGGGTCGACAACTGATGAGATAGGTACCTTAGGTACCAAGGGATGACGTTCAAGCAACAACACGAGGATGAAAGGTGCAAAAGGTTCACGGACTCACGGTGGAAATTGCTAGTGCTAGCGCCGATTGACCAATCTGGTCAGTGGTCACATTCCATATCCGAAAGGACGGACTCGATCCCGACAGCTTCTCTTCCAGTGACGACCTTACTTTCCTCGATCGAGATGCGAGGGTTTCGGCATCGTTGCCGTTTGGCGTGGAGGTTGACCTGCGTGTCGTTCTTGCCATGGCAGTTCGGGGCCGCTTTATCCGCAAGACCGGCCCGTATAACAGCCTAGGGGCGCCTAAACCGGCCGAGTGCCCCGCCATCAACCCCATGGGACCAAGTGGGAATGAGGGGAACAGCGACCCCATCGGAGACGACCAAGAGGGAAGCAAGTAGGCACCTATGTAACGTGTGTTTATCACTTCTCGCCAGTTTGCTTCGATCTTTTCGTTTTAATTGTCAAATCTCCCATCGAAAGTTATTTGGACTCCATCTGACCTGTCCAGGACCGAGAGATATCCGAGCATCATTCGCGTGGAAGATCAGCAAACAGCAATGGCGTCCAACACCCCATTCACCCTCAAGTGGGGTATCATGGCAACCGGGTGGATTGCTGAGAGTGAGTCTTCCCCCCCCTCCCCCTGGCCCCTTGAGCATCTGGACCACCATAGTCAATGACAACGCAGCAAACTGACCAGAACTCGCCTGATCAGCATTCACCCAGGATCTGCTCACCAATCCCGCCACCACCCGCGACGTCCACGATGTCCGTCACGAGGTCGTTGCCGCAGCCTCGTCTAGCTCCAAGCAGAGGGCCGAGGAGTTCCTCGTAAAGATCAAGGCCCCCAGTTCGGCCAAGGCTTACGGATCCTACCACGAGCTCGTCGCCGACCCTGAGATTGAAATCATCTATGTGGCTACTCCCCACAGCCATCACTTCCAGAATGCCATGCTTGCTCTCGAGGCCGGCAAGAATGTTTTGTGCGAGAAGGCCCTCACGGTGACGGCCTCGCAGGCCCAGAAGCTGGTCCAGAAGGCCAAGGAGAAGAATGTCTTCTTCATGGAAGCGGTCTGGACTCGCTATCAGCCCATTAGCATCAAGGTCAGGGAGTTGATTCAGTCTGGAGTCATTGGCACCGTCTACCGTGTTGTTGGTATGTTATCCCACCTCACCTTGTGCCGACGCAACGTGGGCGGCAACAACACATATGCTGACTGTATGCAATAGCCGATCTGTCGGTTGGCAATGACAAGCCCGATGGCACCGTTAGCTTCGCCGACACCAACCGCATGGTCAACCCCGACCTGGCTGGGGGTGCCCTTCTTGATCTCGGCATCTACTCGCTTACATGGGTCTTCCAGACCATGTACCATCTGCAGCAGGAGAAAGAAAAGCCCAAGGTTGTGGCTGCCGTCCAGAAGTACCATACGGGCGCCGATGAGGCCACCAGTATTATTATGCAGTGGCCGCAACATAAGAGCCAGGGCATTGCCCTGACCTCTCTCCGGCTGGCTACCGGGGTGGACAGCGAGAACACGGGCGGACCGGCTATCCGGATTCAGGGTTCCGGCGGCGAGATCCACGTGACGGGACCGGCGTACCGGCCGCTGCAGTACAAGGTGATCCGAAGTGATGCCGGCGGCAAGATTGAGACGGTCGACTTTTCGATTCCCAAGGACCCCGAGCGGAATTGGGGCCACGGCATGTTCTGGGAGGCCGACGAATGCGCGCGCTGCATTCGGGACGGCAAGAAGGAAAGCGAGTCGTTGCCGTGGCAAGAGAGCCTGGTGATGATGGAGGTGATGGAGGAAGCGCTGAAGCAGGGCGGAGTGACGTATCCCGACCTGATCACGACTGATGTGTTTGATGCGCAGAGCCCGCTGAACACGGGCAAGAGGTAGAGTGATGGGTTCGGTCGGTTGGGCTAGCTAGAGTCTAGGTAGAGGAGGTCGTCAGCTGAAGTGCATGGCAGCGCGCATTGTGCAGCGCAGCATTGCAGCCGAACTCGAACTGCTGTTCATCAAACTGCGACGGTAGCCAACGTGGACTCAATCGAGGGGAGAAGTGAGAAGTGAGATCGGAGAATTATTCAATGTCGGAAAGACATCAACCAACGAGAAGGCTTTCTGATGCTTTGTGATGGATGCACCCCCAGCGTGTCGCACGAACAAGTACCTGGAGGTGTCTTTATGGTCCCCTCATGTAGCGGCCTTGTACCTTGCTTTGTGTCGTGCCAGCAGGAGCCGGAGTCCCCCCCTTGCGTGTGGGCACTGCAGTAATGTTGCAGTTAACTGGCCAGCAAGCGATGAGGTAGCCTCATAACAGGTTAGACCTGTGCACCCCCCTCTGGTTCCTCCAGAGTCCACATCTCTGGGTCCGATCAGAGTCAGACTCGGTCTGTAAGACGGTACACAGCAAGGTTCAGCAGGTTTTACAGACCGGCAAATGTTACCGAGTGTGTGAGGGTCTGTCGTCGGGAGATTCCGCGAGAGTCTTGGTCGAGTAACCTCGGCGGCTGTTGTGATGATGTTGAAGGAAACCCGCAAAGGCTGGCGCGGCTCCGAGAGGAAATGAATGGATGCTGCGGACGGCCGTCAGCCGCCGTCAGCCCGTCACGCACAGACGTCACTTTGGGGGTCCTTCTTGGGAGTTGGGGGTCGTGTTGATATTTGGGTACCCAGGAGTTCTGCTAGGGGAGAAAACCTCCATGATGCCGGTCAGTGCAACTGCATCTCTTTCTCTTTACACGTTCTTCCGTTCTCTCGAACAGCGGACCTCTCTCGTCAACGAACGTACACTAGCGACGGGAAGGCCCCTTGTCGACCCGTTTTACGTCACGAACTCCCCTCGGTTGTGGTGATGACATGGCGGTTTCTTCAGAACCCAACTACTGCAGGCTGCCAGCTCCGAACCACTCGGATTGGATCAATTGGTCTCAGTGCCCAATGGGTTCAGGGATGCAGTCAGCGTGGTAGGGACCTGAGCGACGGGAACTCATTCCTTTACACCATCGCCGGGGCCCGGGCAGCTGTTCCTCTCCTCTTTGTAATGGACAGACGTTGCCCGATCACTCCACCGTTCGTGGGCGGCACTGCATCCCTGTGAGCATGCATTGTGCAGGGCACAGAACGGTAGCGGTGCGGTGGTAGCGGTTGCGGTAGGAGTTGCCGTGGTGGAACCTTGCACCCTCTCCACTATTCTTTCTTTTCACGTCGGTCTGACCTTTCACACCTCGCCAAGTGCGTCTGTTACAATCCCATCCTGGCCTCATCGCCGTTTTTCTGCACCCCCATCCCAACCCGTTGTCCGGCCCATCACCCCCGGGACGCCCTACACTTACGTCCACGGACGGCCACCGGATTTTCTGAAAGAGGCCCCAAGCGCGCCGCCAGCACACGGCAAGAGAGCCACCAGCCTTGCGACTCCTGCGCAAGTCCTGCAGCCTGCAAAAGCCGGCGTCCAACCATTGAGACAACAGCCACTCCCAACTGTCGTCCACTTCGGCTTCTTATCCGGCCCTCTTAGACACTTGGTCTAGCCTCAAGGTTCACTGCGCAAAGCTCAGCCTCGCCCGAACCAGCGGTCAAGTGTGTTGTGTCGAGCAACTTGTCTTGCACGCGTACGAGTCAAGGTCCTCCCCACCAAGAACAGAGTCAAGAGTCAGACTTTGGATCTCGACTCAGTCACCCAGATCTTAGACTCGCCCTTCCGTGCTCACTCTCAGTCAAACATAGCCCTCGCCGAATGCGGGGTAACGCCTAACTGTTTGATCCAGAAAAAACACAGCCCGGACAACGCAACTGCCTGGACAACACAATACAAACACAACAACATTTCACACCTCAGCACCAAAACAACACACACACCATTCTACCCTGTCCGGCCAGCTAAGCCCACCCGGCCCATTGCCCGACCTCCCCGGCCTCCCCTACCCTCCATCCGCCTCATTGCCCTTGCTGGCCAGTTCTCTCTTACCCACGCACTCCTGCTTTAGCCTCTGGGGTAAATCCAGCCTGTCGGGAGAGAAGAGGAGAGATCTCTTGGAGCCCAGTGGTTGAGTTGGGTATCAGTCAATTCGGAACCTCACCTTAGCACCGCCTTGTGCTTGCTTGCTTTGTCTTGCCTTGCCTTGGAGTTCACTACCCCTGGCCATCACCCTGTCAACTAAGTCTCCTAACTTGGGTGCGCATTGCCTGTTTCGTTGACCTTTGCTCCTTACCTTGTCACTGCCCGGTAAGATGGGATCACATTCACTGCCCTCCGCGTCAGCGGCTGATGCTGTTGCAAAGCTAGCAGCAGCCGAAGCTTTGAAATCAACTGCCGCTCCTGCCGCCTCTGCCCCTGGCGGTAGTACAGAGACAGCTTCATGTACCGCACTAGGTGCGAGTGCAGCTGTCGGGGATTCTGGTGCGGTGGACCCAGAAGCTGAGGCGGAGGCCTACGAGCGTGCCAACGTCCACAACGTGTACGAGGCTATTGCACCGCACTTTTCGGCCACGCGGTACAAGCCCTGGCCTGCCGTGGCCCAGTTCCTGCATGCCCAGCAGCCTGGATACGTAGGTCTCGATGTGGGCTGTGGCAATGGCAAGTACTTGGGTGTCAACAAGAACACTTTCATGGTGGGCTCGGATCGGAGTGCCAACCTTGTTTCTCATGCCAACGAGCGTGTGAAGGAGCTGCAGAAACCGCAGCAGCCTGAAGCTGAAGTCGCGAGAGCCCAAACAGGTGCCAGCAAGGAGAAGAAGCAAAAAGGAGAGGGTGAGTCAGAGGCTCAGGATGCCGTCATTGGGAAAGAAACAGCCAGGGAGGTGGCAGTGGCAAACGACGTGCTTGTGGCCGATGGGCTATCGCTGCCCTTTCGCGAAGGCCGAGCTGACTTTGCTATCTGCATCGCCGTCATCCACCACATGTCCACCCGAACTAGACGACAGGAGGCCATTCGACAGCTCCTGAAATGCGTCAGACCCGGCGGTCAAGTCATGGTGTACGTCTGGGCGTTAGAGCAGGGCGAGAGTCGTCGTGGATGGGACGAGGACGGAGAGCAGGATCTGTTGGTCCCTTGGGTGCTGAAGAGTCAACAACCCAAACCCAAGAAGGAAAAGCAGCCAAAGGTCCAGAAGCAGGGAAAGCAAAAGCGGCGGCAGCAGGACCAGAATAGCAGCGAGCCACAGGAAGCTATCGCCGGTCAAAATGTTGGGGAAAATGTTGAGGCCCCAACATCATCGTCAACATTATCATCATCGTCCATCCCGAAAGACACTAGCACGGCGATCGGCAGCGGCACGGGGGCGGGCGTAACCGAGCCCGCAAGCGCAGACGCAGACGCAGCCGCAGCCGCTACCGCGACGGCGGATGCGCATGGCTCTGATGCCAAGGCCAAGACCGACACCGGGGGTGTCGCCGCCAATGCCGCCGACCCAGTCTTCCAGCGCTACTACCACCTCTACCGTAAAGGTGAGCTGGAAGAGGATGTGTTGGCAGCGCAAGGCGCAGTCGTCATGAGCGGATATGAGCGCGACAACTGGTGGGTCGTGGCTACCCACGCTACCAATGACGAACAATAGTGTACCTATGTATAGGCAGTCATGTGTTCTGTCGTCAGACTCCGGAATGAATCGGCTACCTTGAAGGGCATCGAAGCGAACTTGTCTACCTTACGAGCTCACCTATCAACGAAAGAACACCATAGAAAAGAAAGAGTGCAATTATGACTCCATTTGCATCTCATTACATCAACCCACCCAAGACTCTCCCACCCACTGCCACCATCCCGGTGCCTGACGCTACTGCTAGCTCTTTTGGGCGATTGGCCCAAACACCGACCCTTTCCTCAAACCAAACCCCAATCATGCGGACAGAGCCCCTACCCCTGCGTCATGTCTCCGTTTTCCATCTTTCTTTGGTTTGCCATGGTGACTTGCAGTTGGTTCTCGTCGCTTCGGACTACACACGTACTAGGTACACTACGTATAAACTCTGCCCCTTGCCCTGATTTCCCTGCCCCTACTTCGATTTCCATTCTTGGGGAGCTGAACCTGAACCTGAACCTGAACCGATTAGCGAACGGCACCTGATCCCGATCATTGGGAGATAAGGACAGATGCTGAGAAGCGAGTGTCCTGTTAGTCTGCCCCTCCTGACCTGACTGACGTGATGCGATCTCCGGTACGTATGAATTTTTTGGGTCTGGGACCTTGCCCTGTCGTGTCTCTGGCGTCTGTCCCTGGTATTCCTGCCGCATTCATTGATGCTCATGATGTTCATGATGTTCGTGGTGCAGTAGTAGTCTACATCTCTATTTAGGTGATAAACTATTGGCAGTACACTCGTGTATCTATGTCATCTAGTGTCTATGGTAGACTAAAACTCCAAGTACCACCCGAGGAATCTTCAAGCTAGTTTCATTCCCGCCCGTCGTTTTATCGAACACACTAACAAAAGCCTCGCTCGCCTAGCAAGCCTTCTTTTGAGATATCCCGTTTTTTTTCCGGATCTACCCAATCTCTGTTTCTGGAACCCCCGAGCCCCCTTTAACTATCTTAGGCTGAAGAAGCCCCCTTGTCGACCCTCAACATTGATTGGATCCATTCGTACCCAATCGTCCCATGTAAAACCTTACCGTTATTTTGTTCACGGTAATTCTGATACATGATACAAGACTACCTACGTCTCACACAGCCTAAACCAGAGACGGGTCTTCGAGGGTCGTCTGATAACTGTAATTTCCAGTTTTCCTCGAATAGTCGAGCAACCCGAGATGATTGAGAATAGTCCAATGCTGATTTTTCCCTATTCGTTCAAAATGAGGATAATTTCAATAATAACTCCGATCCGATATCTGTAGCCTAATCCCCTTGACATACATGTGTAATATCCCCGATGTATTTTTTTCTTTTCTCATCTAATGTTCTTGCCCTGTTGGTGTAGCCCAGCCCCGTTGTAGCGCCCCAAAGATATCTCCGACGGCGGAAAGAAAGAAAAAAACGAAATGTAAACAAAGCTGAATCATCCTTTATTTTCCCTTCCAACCCCAATGGTTATTGACTGCTCACCGTTTTCGCCATGTCTTTTTTCCCCCATGTTCCGTTCCGTGATCCGTAATAAATCCTGTTCACCGCAACGCAACGCAACGCGCCGCGCCGCGCAAACCGTTGTTGAAGAATATTCTGTTTCTCGTCGGTGAATGGTTGTTTTCCGTAATTGACTGGTTGGTTGTTTTACATTTTCGTTGCCTAGGTAGCTCCCGTCCCGACCCCATCCCAACAAAATGAAAGAAATGAAAGAAAACCCGCCATTCCAGCCTATCATGTTGCCGGAACCGTCTCTCTCCCTATTTTTCCCCCCAAGACCGCCCCTTTCTATCTCATATCTGATCTTAGTTCTAGTCATTTCGGCAAGGGAATTTATCAAGCTGATCAAATGTTTTTGCCAAGGAAAAAGGAAACAAAGAGATGTAGTTGTAACAGGTGACCCAGATGAGACAAAACAGGCCGAAGAAGGTCTATTGTTCGTTCGGTGACAGATTTCCAGAAAGTTACAATCCAAAGAAAGGAAACCCGAGGAAGAAACCCCAGAAGGAAAACAGGAGGAAAAGAGGAGGAAAAGAGGAGGGCCATATCGTGTTTGTTCTGATGTCATCAATTCGTTCCAGGAACCATGAGAGGGTAGAACAGGAGACTGCGAGATAAGTGTATTGTATTGGGGATCCGAAGTTTCTGAAAGGGGGTATGAATATTGTTTGAACCTCAAGCCGGAACAAAGGAAATAACCGTGTGTGATTAAGTTGTACATGTGTGAAAACAAAACAAAAGTAACAATAAGAAACAAAAAGTAACAAAGTAGAAGGGGCTACCTCATTAGTCTCCCTCCGAGCGAACTGGTTCTGGTATCTGAGGTGTAATCTGTATGGTATCCAAAGTATCCTGTTTCCGGTATCCGTGTCCTCATGTTGTTGTATCCGAAATTGTGTGCCAAATCTGTGGTATCAAGTAAGGGAAAGGAAAGAAAAGGTAGAAAGGCGAGCGGAAACCGAATAAAAACCCCGTGGTAATGGAAAGTTTGTGTCTGTACCTGTTTGATCGTGACGCTGAGGGAAGACGAAAGATATCCTGTTCCAGGCGTGTGCTTATCGAATCGCTGATGACCCCAAACACGTAAGCGGGGCGTGTCCGGAAGAATGGAAAAACACATTTCGTGGCTCGGACTGAAAGCTTTGATGGCGAGAAAGCGTGTCTTCGGCCTCGAAGTATTCCAGCTCAACCACGTAACTCCACGCGTGATAGTTCGCCCAACAGAAGCAGTCTAGATTTTCCTTCAATCACACCGTCCAAAGCTTCTTCCGCTCTTTACTGGCTCTTTCATTCCAATCTCTGTCCACGTCGTGACGATGTCATGCCAGGTGGCGGTCCAATAGACGAGTAACCGTCCTCTTGTCGAGGCTGGAAGTGATGCCGTCTCCTGCTTGTCTCACGTATCCCTCCCGCTTCAGGACTTGCCCGTCTTTTGACGGTTCCAAGTGGTTCCAGGGGTGGATAGGCCGAATAACCAGGGTGGGTTGGTCCAGGGCTCGCCGTGTCACTATGGGTTGGGCTCACCATACTGGTCATGCCACCCGTAGAGTATGCAGGCGTGCTGTAGGGGCTTACTCCTGTCGTCAATTCAGCGACGCTTGGCAGCATTCCCCCTCGGCTCTGATGAGTATAGCTCGATGTATGGATAGGAGCCAGACCTATAGCTGGCGCCAACGAATAGCCGCTAGGGTCGCTGTGATGGTGTGGCGGAGGGGGCGGTGCAAAGGACGATCGTGTCGGTAAGCTTTCGCGTCGAGCTGCCAGTGGCCGTCCGCCGGATGAAGGAGGCGGTATAAGAGGTCCAGGTGGGCCACGGCTGTACCTTGGCGATGGCATAGTCGGAATATCTCTCGGGAGGCTTCCTTGAGACTGAGAGTGGCCATGATGGCCCCTGGAAGTAGGCATTCGGTGGTGCATGACTGAAGGATCACCCAAGGCTGCTGTAGTCAGCGCGAAGGGAACAACTCCCGCTCGTCTGGCCATATCAACTTCACCCAGCTGCCAATGCATTGCTTCGGCGGCACGCCAGGGAACCTGCATTTCTTCAGCAACCTTAGCCCACATTTCGGGTTTAAACCTGTGGATTGTTAGCCATGATCTCTGCTTGACAAAATAGGTCTAAGCTTACCTTTCGTAGAGCCTTGCCAGCTTGTTCTTGCGCTCCTCATCCCATTCACTGCGTCTCTCGAGGTAGTTTTGGTAGTGAAGACGGCAGCTGATAGAGCTCCGACCTGGTAGACGCTTGGAAATATCGTCCCATTTCATCCCGCTTCCGCGGAGCTCGATGATCAGTGCGTCTTCTTCAGGCGACCATTTGCTCTGCTTTTTAGCTGGCGACTCAGAGGTATGTGGTGGCATGGTTCGTTTCCCGCCGCCGCTTCCCGGACGACCTGAGCTGACGCTTCCTGACACCGAATTTCCGAAACTACCTCCTACTCCTGGTCCGCCGGCACCGCTAGATCTCGGAGATCGCGTGCCAGTGGCTGGAGCAAACGTGGCGGATGATGAACCGTCAAGAGGAGGTTGTGCCACCGCCGTGGAAGGCGGTACTGTCGTTGTGGATGTGTATCGGGAATGAGCCACGGGGGCCTCATCTGAGTCGGAACGTTTGAGGAGTGATGCGATATCCACGATGGCGGTATCTACAAAGACTCAACTAGAATATAGAGAGGTTCATAGACCCAGGAAGGATAGGTTTGCGGTTGGATTGTCTTGGCTGGCGCGGTGGATTCGGAGTGATGGATGATCGAGTAGTTCTTGGGGAGGATACGTCGAAGTTATAGCTCTTCGGGCTGTTCGAGAGTGCTATGAAAGCTGAAAATATGGATCTTGAATCCTTCTGCTAATGCAAGTCAAGACTTGTTATGAGACCGTTGGGAGAGAATGATTTGTCGTTGAAGGGTGCCTTAAAGGTGTAAAGACATGTGGAGAAGGTAGACGATCCAAAGATGTGCCTTGGGAAAAGAGGGCCCAGCCGAAAGGAGCTGCTCGTTTATCTTCCTGAACGAGGTCTGTTTGTTGATCAGTGATGTTCAGGCCAATGGTTTCGGGGCGAGGCTAATGAGGCAGAGAGAAGAGAGCCAATTCGTATGACTGCTCTATCTATAAACTGGTCTACTAGAGCTCCGTTCGGAGAAGGGCTATTCTTCCATATTTTGGGCTTTCGTGCGGTGCCAGGTCAGAGCTAAGAAGCAGGGAAGAAGGGTTTGAGCGGTTCCCGGGAACATGCGCTTTGCAGATTGGGGTGGAAGGTGAGTTGTTAGCTCGAGACTGTATACCTCATCCAGGCGGCGAGGCTGGTGGGTGACAAGACCAGGATCTCCTGTGAAAGAGATGGATACAAACTAGGGACCGTAAATCCTCAAAAGATACAGTAGGCAAGGATTAATGGGCGTGTACGAATCTGAAGGCATCATCTCGCAAGCCAAGAAGTAGATGCATGGGCAGAGCTAAGGGGGGTGTGAGAGTATAAACAGAGTGTGTGCTTGTCTAATGTGGAGTACTGGTGAAAAACCTCCCATGTACTCAACGGGACGTAAAATGTCATGGAGGTCCCTGTAAACGGGATGCGCCTGGGTAGGGGGTCCGCAGGTAGAGCAATAAGACGCCGGAGAGACATCCAGAGTTCCAGACAGGGACGGTCTCCAATCTCATAGCAGCCACACGTCCACAATCCAGCGTGGGCATGTCGTTGAGCATGGTTCGTTCTGGAAAGCTCGCGGCTTCAAGATGATACTTTACGCCTTATGGCCCTACCACATAGCGTGTTGGGCAAAAGGAAGGCATCAAATGGGCGTCGATGGTGACCGCAGCGTCACAACCCGGGAGCCTGTCTTAGAGAATCGATTCGGGACATCAGGCTGACTGACAAGTCAGGATGATTCTCTCACAAGCCACTACCGTTCCAGCTGTCATGAGTCTACCGAACGGTGGGGCATGAAGATCTGTGAAAGCAGTCAGTCTCCGGACCAATGTTCGGCATGCACACGTCACCGAAGAGGCAGCCAATTTCTTCCGGACTGTAGACCGATTGAAACCCGCCAGGGCGAGGAACTCCTCACCGTACAGGAGAGAAATCTTCCCCAGAGGCTCAAATGCCGGACGGAGAGACTGTTTAATACCTGGCTTACATGCAAGCTAGGAGCATAGCCGACCAGGGACAATGACACGAAGTCACGCATAAAGCATGGCAGTGTACCGGACCAACATCTCCCCACGCATCACCTTCTCCTGTAGTTGAAAAGCACCCTTCTCGCTTCCCAGAAACAGGGCGCAAGTGGTGCGCAGTTTCCCGCAAAATAAAGGGGGTAGTGTAAGATGGATAGAAAACACCTTTACGATACGCTGTCACGCCTGGGGCCTTTTGAGACTTTGAGGCGATGCTAACGGTTGGGTGGAAAATGAACGAAATGTGTTGTGTTGAATGGCACAGTTGGGCTCTATCGGAGATTCCTTTCCTGTCCCACTGTATCGTACCGCAAATCGGGCGGCAGTTAAGGGTTTGGTGGCAGAATGGGCTGGAGGGAGATGGAAGCAGTGCTAGGTAGTAATAGCCAAGCCCAGCAAGGCCCAAGAGATGGAACAGGTTGGCCAAATACCCTGATGAATGGTAAGATACCTACAGGGCAGCAGATCAAACTTTTTGTATGTTTGGTATGCAACTTTTGCGAGGATACTGAGAAATACTTGGTTAGGCCTTCCGTGAGACAGGTGAACTGGCGGACGTTGAAACCAATCTCACCAATCTAGTGGGGAACATTGACGCACACCACCCTCCATTACGACGGTACCACCCGTTGATGTTTGCTAGTTTCGTTGGTCCCGTTTGTGTTGGATCCCACTCCCTCAATAAACCCCTTGTGTGCGTTATACAGATATTGGACTCGAATGTCCTGTTCACGGTTGCGGAGCCTCGAACTGAGTCAATATTCGCCATACATCATGGATATGTTAGCAAGGACCAGCGACATCGCTATACTGGTATGGAGCTCTCCTCCGATCGTGGATTCCGCCTGGTGCAACGGGGGCAGTCATCAGGGTGCAAAAGAAAGCAAAGCAGGAGCACGGCACGCGAACCTTTTCCCGCTGCCCAGCAACACTCCCATTTCGACCCAAGGACAGTCATCGTTCGACTTTGCACCCGTAAGACATGAGCTTTACAGGCCCGAGATCCTCTCCGATCAAGGTGATGATACATATTGCTGTAGACGGTCTTGAAGCTATTCATAGGGTGTTCATTCCGCACCCACAATTGCTGACCATATTTCAGGAATCAATTGCGATTGTGCGCAACGATGGGAGTATCTTTGGAGATGACCAAGTCTTTTACCATCTTTTTAGAGGCACAAGAGTGATGCTGCCCCCTACAGAGCTTGGGTCAATAGTAGTCGCATGGATGATGGGTCTCGGAGGCGTTCCAATTTCCTACGCGGACACGACGGTCGACTGAACATGGCGATCAAACCGTTGCAAAAAGTCGGATGCGGAACAGGGGTCTCGTTGCTAATTGATGACAGTGCAAAAGACTAAACGGCCTCGATTGTCTGTGCATTTCGGAACTTGTTGCTTTGAAATCTGACCACAGTCTTTGATAGATCCAGGTTGTCTTCGGTATCGTTTCACTTTTGGCGCTGACGGGTTGCCAACAATCCTGAACAATGGAATTGTGTTTGCGGAGACGGCCAAATGCTCCTCGTGACAGAGAGTATCAGCGCGACTTCCCGCAGTTTATGTCACCAGATACCACGAGACCACAGACGGCCTCACTGTTCCAGAAACCGAGAACCGATGATCTGGCGGTCAAGTTTCTGCTGCAATATTTCCTTGTATACACCAGGGATCAGGGCTCCTCATGAAGGGAAGTAGACCGTATAGGCACGGAAGAAGACCGTGACTCGCGTTCCTTCACGTGGCTCGCTGTTCTGGAGGAAAAAAGGGGGATTGCTCCGTGTTGCACCAGGTGTTCCATGTGTGAGTTTGGACGACTAGACCAAAGAAACAAAGTTCGCCCTTTGTGGAGTCCGCTGATGACTATCCTCCTATGTGCTGAATTGGTTCGAACTGCCAACATCTAGAATTTCTCGGCCTTGATGAAGACAGGATTAAGCATGCCCCACATGACAGCCACAGCCTTTGATCGGGCTGCTTTGGCGGCGGTTGAACCACCCACGTACCCATCCGAGTTTATGCGAGACTATTGGCCTCTCGTTGCGTGTCAGCCTCCTCCATGGGTTCTGGGAACCAGGTAGACGCGGTTCGTGCACGGTGAACGGTCCAAGCGGTCGTATCTTCTCCTGACGTTGACTCATTCCACACACCCCAACAAACAAGGCTGACATGTAGCCAAAGCAACAAGCCGTGATAGATGCAAGTTGTAAGGAGGGAAGCCACAGCCTCGAAGGAAGCATATGAGGCCGGGACCGGAAGTTGGAATAGGCAAGCAGTTTTGATAATATGGGCTGGCCGGATAGTAACGGACGAGTGAGCTATGTCCGATAAAGAAGCGAAACAAAGGGAAACAGATATAGGATGACGGCAGTTCTCCGCTTGTTGTTTCGCTGTTGCTGCCCGAGTAAAGGTAGTGACTGCCTGTCGAGCCTGCTTCGTTTGCTACCTGCATTCATTATCTGAGACAGGTTGTTTACGAGCAATGTGATGACAATTCTTCGGCTCTACGGTATTGCTATCTGGGATGATGCGATACCGGTCAGCCGATCTCGATTCATAACCTTTGTGTAGCTGAGTCCGGACAGCTAGCTCTCCATCTGGTTGTTCAAGGATAGCTAAGCTTGTGAGACGAACTGCATGGAGGTCCTCTGTGTTCCCGAGTTCGTTGAATTCGCCTCCGGTTCTCGCTCGAGCCCAGCATACGTCTTGGACAGTTTGGACATGTTCAGGTTCCCGAGTCCTGTTCGTCCAGTATACTCATTCGCCGGTTGACCGAATGCTGGTAGCGTCCACAGGAAAGGGAACATCCGCGGGATACCACCCAACAATGATTTGGAAGCAAATCGGCTTGCCTTCCTGCAAAGTTCAGCCGGTATATGCTAGCTGTTGTTAACAGTCGCTCTCAAGTATGTATGTACCTGTGACTCGAAATGATGTATGCAATCAAGCCCTTGCCGTCCTGTTGGAGCCTGTAGCGACTACATGGGCTTTTGGGTGCTCTGTCTCCAGATGTCCAAGGCCGTTGTTTTTGTCGACGCGAGTTCCGTTTGATGGGGGCAGCCATGTTCATTCCGTGCCATTACCAACCCCAAACTGGTCGAAAAAGGTGGTATTAGCTGCCCAAAATGCGCCTCGTCTTCCGGTTCGTATCTCCCTTGTACCCCACGTCTGAGCGATAGGTACACTCCCCTCGCAAGCCAGGGCTGAACCCGGGAGCAATGACGACTTGCCGTCCCTCGCCGCCGTTCTCGCATGGTAACAAAGCAGAGTTTTGCAGACATTGTGAATCTAACGGGAACCCGAGGTGGCGGTGAACGCACCGAGACAGATCTTGAGAGTGCCTGTAGCAAGCATGCATGCTTCTACACAGTGATACGTGGGTGAGAAGTATCCAGGCCATGTCCTTGTTCGTCTTGAAAGCGCGTCTTTGCGGCTTGCACACGGCTTTTTGGAGGGCGCCGGTCTAGTCCAATTTGATGCCCGAGTGTCTGAACAGAGCACACTTTTGGCCAAGGCTGATTGAGATGGAGGCCATTGCAGACGGCCTATGCAGATAACGAAGCTCGTCAGAATCAAGTCCTTTAAACGGAGCATCATCAAGAAGTGAATGTCAAGGCTAGGGGAGAAGGCAAGAACAGGGGTTGAGAGGATAGACACCACTCACTCGTTGAGGGACTGCGGTTATGTGTTTTCCTTGACAGCCTCATCTGGGTCTCCCTCAACCGGGTGCGGCAGGCAACGCCGATTGGAAACGGCAAGGAAGAAGTGGAACATGGGGGGAGGAGAAACAATGTAAAGGGCATTGTGACTTGTCAGGTTCTGCAACGAACCTTTGAATCTGTGTTTCATGACGGTCCGGCCGTTTGCACAGAGACGAAAGAGGAAGCCTTGAGTGGTTGCGTGGCTCCTTGATCCGGACATCGACATGTTCCCCAGTCCAGGCGTGGGAGACGGATAGATGCGTCTTGCCCAATGGGCCAGGTGCAGCAAAAGTAGCATGGCATTGTGGTGGCTCAAGGGCCTGCCTGCATTGTCTGCAGCCTCAATCCATCCCGAAATGGCTGTGGAGGAGGGCAAGATGGGCTGGCCAATGGTGGTTCGTGGGGGCGTTTGAAGTCTTGCTTGCGGCAAATCTCAAGTTTGACGGCATATGATGGCCGCCCGTATGTGCCTGCGATGAGGTGGTGTTCCCAAGGACATGGCTTCCTCTTGTCGGAGCTTACAAACGGACGAGACCCAATGGTATCGGAGCCCGAGCATCGCAGTGCGTCCAGCTCGCCGTACTTCCCAGTCGAAATGAGTGGATATTCTCAGGCTCTCGGCTTCGTTCCGGGCGGGTGGCCGTGTTTGCCGCAATAGCTTTGTTCACTTGTTCCGTATTGGCGATGGAGGCGTTGTGATGTTTTGCGGGTAACAGGAGGATTCTCTGAGGCGCGGAGGCGACTGGATGCAGGCAAGTCTTGGGAGTAGGCTGGTAGGGAAGGCACCCATGACTGTTCGCTCAATGCAATCAAACTTGGAGAAAGGAGCCGTGAAGCGTCAATGGCTTTGGACTATGCCAGCGACCTGGGCTGTGTACAGCGTGGCCCCGAAGAAGATGGAAATGAAAATGTGAGCGGCCCATGTTCGACTCAGAATTGCAAAATGGGGAAGTGAGAAAAGAAGAAAAACAATTTGCGTGATGACTGTGTCCAAAACCCTCGAGGTTGTATCCGGAAGGAAAGAGCCAACGACAGCGGGGCGACAGCCATGATGAGGATGGTGTGCAGTCCAGTGTGATGTCACGACAGGCAGTCGTGGAGGAGGTGAGGTTCATTCAAGAGGCAGGAACAACCAATCTCTCGTGGCACCCAAAAAAAGGCAAGAAGTGGAAGGTCGAGTGGTCTATCGTAAGTCTGAGAAAATAGACTCATACGTGAAATTACAATATACATTATCTTTCAGGCCACAGGAGGTCAGTCTCCTGTAACCTACCGTAAATATGGTGGTCCGTGTCACCTCTATCGCATGGCAACCCGACTGTGGCATTTGTCTTTGTAAACAAACAATGGGTCAAGGTATTCGGTAGCTCATCCTTCGACCTTCAAGCCACGATGGGTGACATATGTACTGAGTGTACGGGGCTTCAATATCATTGCCTGTTCAACTTGCCCGGGCGGTTCCTTACACGCAACTGTTGACTTTGTATCGTTCAGTTCGTCACTGCCCAATTCTATAGTGAGGTGACAACAGAATGGAGCGTTTAACGGCCCCACATTGGTGATTGGCGCCCCTGTACCTACACAGTCCGTATGGTCCTAATCGCCGTCATCTGGTCAACAAGTGAACTTCTCCTTGCGCCCAAACCTTGCCCAAACTCGGTGTCACTCCTAGAAACCTAGATCCCGCTAACCCAAGTTCAACGGCTCACGCTTCACGCAAGCCGGCTATCAACATGGCGGACGTTCCTATGTACGTGACGTCGGAGTACACCTCTGCCGAACGTCGCATCACGCCCTCATGGTCCATCGCTCAGCTCAAGACCAAGATGGAGCCCATCACGGGCATTCCCCCTTCCTCGCAACGCATCGCCCTCAAGACCTTGACGAATGAGACCATTCCGATCGAAGCAGCGGACGAGGAGAACACGTATTTGCAGAATTACCCTCTGGCACCCTACGCAGAGTTCCAGGTGAAACTGACTCACATCGACTTCCCACATAAAGAGGCAATGCTGATTATGCGCTAGATCATCGATCTGCGACCTCCCTCGGCGAGGCCCAACTTCAACGCCACAGGCGTGGAGAAGTATGTGATGCCAGAGGACGAGTACGAGAAGAAAACCGATTCAGTGCTGGCGTGGAAGAAGGCCCAAAAGCTCGGACGCTTCGACCCCAACGCCCCAAGCCATGAGCAAGCTAAGATCGCTGCATTCGCTAGGGAGGTTGAAGAACGCGGAATTGAGGTCGGAAAGCGATGCAGAGTGGGCCAAGATGACACTAGGAGGGGAGTGGTCAAGTACGTTGGTGAGGTCAAGGAGATCCCAGGCAGCATTGGTGCCTGGATTGGTGTTCACTTCGATGAGCCAGTGGGCAAAAATGATGGAAGCATTGGAGGGACTCGGTACTGGGGCGAAGAGTCTCAACTCAAGCATGGCGTCTTCGTCAGGCCGGACCGAGTCGAGGTTGGCGACTTCCCCATCGTGGACGATCTCGCGGACATGGAGGAGATATGAAGTATTTCCTTTTCCTATCTGTACCAACCCCCACACTTCGGAAAACTATCTGCTAGTTTGACACCATTACCGATAATCCAGTGGTATAATGGTTTCGGATATACCGATCAGAGGGAGGGGTGGTATGGAGATCAGGAACGCCAGCGTGATACTTAGTTTGTCAAGCGATCCTGTCCCGTTTACTCAGACTTTGGACTGCAAGGATCGCAGCTTTCCATCGATAAATGCTTCTCTAACTCAAACGCACGCCGGTCGATGGTCGCCTCTTCTAGAACGGAATATGCTCAATTACCTTGAAACCGCACGACACTTCTGCCCATGTCCTTGGTTGAGACATTTCGATGTTAATTGACGAGCGATAGAAGAACCCTGTCTTGAATCTTCGTTCCGCTCGCGATACCCTTCCACCGCAAGTGCGTACCCGGTAGTACAAGGAGTTCTAGAAACCACCCACCTATCTATGATGCCGGACACAAAAAGACCCTCTCAGTCGCTTGGTGAAAGTTAACAACTCGGTTCAGATACGAATTCTAAAAGAAAAAGTGCTCCGTCGATACTATGGTCTGCGGTCGGCCGAACCCATACTGCGTGAAAACTTTACCTCATTGACTCATGATGCTCTTACAAGACTGTGCGTGTAAATGGGATCAATGTTCGCCAACCAGGTCTTGACCCCTGACAAACATGCAATTTGCAACCATGTCGGTTCAACTAAATGGAAGCTTCCACGAAGCCGTGGAAGACGCCACTGGGCTAATCAACTGCAGCTCTCCATGTAACTCGTTGTTCTCGAACGATTGGATTTTGGGACCGCTCCGTTTGTTCCAAGCAGCAACCCGAAGTTTATTACCACGTCCTTCGGTGCATCAGTTATCATGTCTGACGACAGTCTCTGTGCAAGATATCATCCGCAGACCAGCCAAGAGGCCATCCTCACCACCTGGTAAGTGATAGGTAAGCGACCAACCTCGATACACGATCGGAATGCGCCAGTGCGTTCCGAGCAAGCCGAGGGCCTCATGACATGACTAACCAGGCGAATGAGAATATAGACTCAAAGCCCCATTGAACGTTTCTGGCAACGTGTTCCTCGGTGAGACTAGATTGGCGAAGACTAAACATCTCGTAGGCTTATCTCACGACTTTTGCGGTTCGGCCGGCATGGTGTTAAGATGTGAGAAGGATCACACTACCAAAGACCTCGTTGTGATATCATCCAGGCACCAAAGATTTGGAGAGGCAAGGCACCATCTAGCGCCTGAGTTAGTTGTATTCGAAAGGTAGAAAGGGGGACCTGAGCTGTTCGTGATGTTTTGTTTGACACCATGCTGGGGAAGTGCCTGGTTTGCGCAGATATTGCGAGATAATGGGCGGTAAAATCACTGTGGGTGTCACAAGCAACCTCAAGGGGAAGCTCCAAACTCTGACGAGTATATGGTAATGACACAGCGCTCCTCCGCACTCCTGAACGAAATGCGGCGTGCAATGTTTCCAACGGCCGGGGTTCACGGGGCCGTCGGAGGGGTGTTTGTCTCGGCCTCGGAGCCCAATGTGCTCCACGGAATAGAATGCTCCTTCCAGTTTCCAGCTTCGGACTGAGCAAGTTCGGTCGCACTCTGTATTTTTGACCCGCACTTGCACTCAGATTGACGATGCCACTGCTGCAGTGGTGTTCTCAATGTGTTGCTCGCCTCCGATTCCCTCGCACGCCCTAGTTCAACCCCGACATACACGCAGTCCAACCTCAAACTCTAGCAAGATGCCTATTTTAGACGGTACACAACCTGCATCCTACTCAGCATCATCTATATCGATACACAAACCTACGAGTCCACGGGCTGTCATCCCTTACACATAGATCCTCCGGCGAATCAGGGCGCATCATCCGCTATCAATTGTGTCGGCGGTCCTGCCAACCGCATGGAACGTCGCCGTGTCGTCGATCCTACTATTGCCAAGAGCCAAGAAGACCAAGAGTCAGCCAAGCTTCTGTGCTTAGCTGGGTACCTTTCCCGCAGCCTACACGCGGCCCCACAGTCTTGTACCTCGCTATCTGTCCCCCGCTCCATTTTGCCTTTCAGTTGGCCTAGACTCACCCACCTGCGTCACGAACACTTGGCCCTTGGGGCGCCCCATCGAGCCCCTCGGTCCGTCCACTTCAATTCCTTTCTTGCATTCTGCATCTGACGAGACTAGAAGGACGCCGGGCAGTCTGACCTACCAAAACAACGCTCCCCGTCTTTTCTTTCACTCACAAATGCCTTTGCCAGTCCTGGGCACAACCTACAATTATCCTCAGCCCCATCTCATCTCATCACCTCATCGCATAACATCAACACTACAAACCGCCGCAGGGCGATCCCAAGACCGATAAATTCCAAATCAATTCCAACCAGCGTGACGGCTCAGCCATGTTCTGTCCTTGCCGTCCGACTCATACCTGTACGGAGATGTGAGACCCCTGGTCTCTTGCTCTAAACAACTAGAATCCGGCCCTTTTTATTAGGCGTCTCTCATCCTCTCCAGCCGGCAAGAATCCGGATTGCTACATCGCGGATTTGGACCCGTCCTTCTCACTTTCGCATAAACCTCTACTTGAAAAATTAAACATGGCCATGTCTACCGTTGGCGCCGCCCTTGGCAAGATCGCCCCATGGCGACCATTCTTTTTCCTCGCCATATTCACGCTACTAATCTCAGTCGCGAATGCGCTTAGTTCTGTGCCGGAGCTTTCGGACTATGCGATGGACCAATATCTCACCCTACAACTCAGCGTACCTTCAGATTCAGGTGACATCCCACCGGACAGACATAAAGTTGTCCCGTTGACTGAAGCTGTTGGGATGAACCAGTCCGCCACAGCTCGAGAGGTAGGCCATGGACAAAGGATATCCGAAAGTGCAGCTCTCACTAATGAACCCCGTTAGTTTATCAAAATCGAGGGAACTATGGTTCCGACTGAAGAAGGCGATTGGCTCGAATTTATCGACTCCATTAGTAGTATTGCATATCTCAACTGCGACAACTCTAATGCAACTTGGTATTTGAATCAGCTTATGGCCAAGGCACCAAAGGCCATTCTGCTGTTCAGCTTGACCGGGGCTGGCTGCAGACGTGACAGCACGGATGATTGGAACTATACCACCATTTTCACCATGACCGATCGCATCGATGCTAAAGACACACTTGACCTCACAATGTTAGGCCGTACCGCCTCGATCACCGGGAATAACGAGGAACCCGACGATGATGAGGACGAAGAGCGAACCGGACCTGGCTCACCGGTCGCCATGAGCATTCTCTACAGTATTACCGGAGTTATCACTCTACTCTTCCTCGTCATTATTGCAACCGGAGCGATTCGAGCCCATCGCTATCCGGAGCGATACGGACCTCGGACCGGCTACGGCGGACGGCCTAGTCAAAGCAGGGCCAAAGGGCTGGCACGTGCCGTGCTTGAAACCTTGCCTATCGTCAAGTTTGGAGAGAACCCCCCAGCCAAACCCGATCCCGAGCTCGAGCTCGAACAGCAACCCTCCAGACCATCACAGGATCCAGTGTCAGGGGCAACATTGTCGGCAATTCAAGAGGAGGTACGGTCCTCAGACAAATCTCGAAGACCCGTGACGATATCAAGCGTGGACGCTTCGGGACAGGCTTCATCGGCAACAGCCCACGGAACTCAAAAAGGCATGGCCAATACAGCCGGCAGCCTCGAAAATACGAGCTCAGACGACATCAATTTGGGCTGTTCGATTTGTACTGAGGATTTCACAGTTGGTGAAGATGTTCGAGTGCTCCCTTGCAACCACAAGTACCACCCGGCTTGCGTCGACCCTTGGTTAATAAACATCTCGGGAACTTGCCCCTTATGGTAGGTTTAGTGAACGTCTCCACAATCAAAGTTGACATGCTGACCGTCTGCAGCCGTCTCGATCTTCGACCTCACAGCTCCATCGAAAGCACCACCGGTCCTGATGAGAATAATTCAGGGCCTCCACCGACAGCAGGTAGAAGCGCCATGCCAAACAGCAGCCCTAGAGAGCGAAGAAGGTCTTCTCGAATCCTCGACTTGCATAGACTCCGGACTGCCTCTATCGAAGAACGGATCGAAATCCTGAGGAGACATAGGACTCAGCAGCAGCACCGGCGGTCTATTGCTGGAGCATCACTAATGGGAGATCCTGGCAACGGCGAATCCGCAGATCACAACCCGCGAACGAGACTGACTGAGCGATTCAGGGGCAGATTTAGGGGATCACGACCTCCGAGTCAGTTACAGTCACAATCTACAGAGGGGAATGAACCCACGACCACGCAGTAAAGCTCGACCCTTAAGGGGTTGGGGTGGGATTTTGAGCATTGTTGAACGCGTTATCATTTGAGCGAGCGGATTGAAGCAGGTGGCAGGTTACCTATCATCTGTCATGATGTTGGTCGTCTTTTTCATTTATCACCTTGTTTTTTGAAACGTCTGGCACCCACGGGGTGATAATTGGATATCACACGTAGACAGCTGAAGTTTGCGCTGTCTTTTTGTTTTTGTTGGCTTGGTATATGCCAGGGACTGGATGAAATACCTCGGTGCATTTCTGAGGCGTTTATGGTATGGATCTGAACGATAAGTAAGGGTTCGCATGTCTTTTAGGGCAACAAGTTGGAAACAAGACTCATTTGATGGTTGCGCATTGGGCCTTTTAAGGGTTGCCTGCCTTAACCGGCTCAACAGGACGGGATGAACGGAACAGAACAGAAGAGCGCGGACCTGGGTTGGAAGCGGACAACAAGACAACCAGTTGGATAATCCAGGTCGCTATATAACAGGAGGTAGTCACAATCATATCCTTCGTTTAGCAATACAAATGTAGGTATATTCGGAATGGAACTGATCCTTGCAAACACATACCTACGTAGACGCCTGAACCCGTCGACAAAGTTTGAGTCAGGTTAACATTTGTAAAATTGAACCTCACCTCAGTTACCACTCAAGGGTTGCTTGTGCTAGCCGCCTCATAGCCGCAATTTCGTCATGTACCTGATGATGCGTTAGTAATTGAGCGGCGGGCAACAGCACTCGGGCCAATCCATATCATCCGTCCCATCGCATTTAGTCGGCCTGGTACTTGATCGCTCCTTCCTTCCTCCCATCCTTCCTGCCTGCCCCAGCCGCTCTATCACGGCAGCTGCCTAGGTTGTCTTCCATCAGCACTTTCCCTGCTTGAGGTGGGGTACATAAGGTAACTCTTCGCATACTCCCGCATAGATCAGGTGTATCTCGAATTCACATTTGACAACTGACTGGCGAAATACAACTTAATGAACGCTTTCGTCCTGGGGACCCGCTACATCTGTTACACACCAAACTACCACTAGTGGGTTCCCGCTGGGTTTCTTCTACGATGCTACCTTTGGTTGTCTACTTGCTGTACGATATGCACTTTTCCTTCAGCTCATACCTCGTCCAAGCCGAACGTGTACCGTACGCCGAGACCTCCGGCAGTAGCTGCAACTGCAGATATGAGATGTCTGTCCACTGGAGTAGGATACCCGGCAAGCTTGTTTGTGGTCGCGCCGCCCTTGGTTACACGTTCCGAGAATTTGAGGTCGTACACTTCTGGAACTACCAGGGGTGTTTAGAGACAAGTGGTGGTTCAGCTCCGTGAGTGAGTGAGCTGGGCGAGCCAGCGGATATCGTGAGAGAAGCGACCAGATGGGAAAGTTGGAGGATTGCTCATGGTGGTTCAACAACCAACAAGTCGTTTGCTTCTGTTTCCATCCAAGTAAACGTCCAGTGTCGGAATTTCTTGACGGGATCACGGCTGGCACTGTGGCGAAGCCACGATATTCTTTCTTTCTAGTGTCTGCTTTCCAGCGCCAACAAGTGGAGGTGATAAGACCGTGGGCGCCGAAGGTGAGACTCGGGATCTCAAATCGAGATGCAGGACTCGCACTTGCAGGGGAAAGTCCAATATGCGAGGCAGAGGCAAGCCCTCAGGGGTGCTACGGGTTCAGCAATTACCTGCAGGACGGCGACCTTTCCGCTAGATTTCCCATTCCCCCACCTGGCAGCCGCGAGCAATGAACCACCAGGACACTCGTTCATCACTCACCATTTATCAACCCGACCCATCTTGCAGCAAAGGGAAATGTCTTTCTCGGTGTTCTCTTTTTCAATAATATGCAAAAGATGTGCCAATCATTGACGCCTTCTGGTCTCTCGCTGGGTTCTTCTCGAGTGGCCATCACCGGTGAGGTGGTACGACAGCAAAATGTGGCTTGAACATTGTCGCGCTCCTCCCCATCTGGGCGCCCAAGCACCGAACGCTGTTAACGATCAAGAAGTTGGCACCCGCAATGCGTCTTTCCACTGGAATAGTCAGATGGCCAAGGAAAGAGCGACCCAGGCAAAGGCGAGTGAGTGAGTCTTGGAAAGTCTTGAAATGGATCGAGACGACTTTTTCACTTTCCCATCCTTGTCTGCCTGTCCCGCTCGCTCCCCGCGCGATCCTCGACCACTCGCACTTTTACTATTCCATCTCACCGATCTCCTCGCTTAGGTGATCCCATCTTCCCCAGTTCCTTTTCCTTCATCTGACCTTCGCAAACCTCCGATATCTCACCTCGCCTCACCTCAACTGTACCTCACGCCGGAGGTAATGGTTAATTACCTGCAGTATAGTGCCATCTCTAGCAACAACCTCGACGACTTTCTTCTCTTTTTGGGCTCGATTCGGATACCTCTGTGCTCGTGACCACGCGCCATCATACTACTCTTGGAATCTTCCCTCTACCTGCTCCAGCTGAGAGCTTGGCGATCTTCCTCATCGAGCCTTTCTGTTACGAACCTGCGAATCAGCCTCGACTCACCTTGCTCGGATGCCTTTAGGTGTCCTGCCTTACGTCAACTTACCTTTGGTTACCTGATAGATACCTACCCAGCCACATACCAACTCCGACGATCTAGTTCACTCCTCATTCTTTTCTTTTTGCAGCTGCGACCACGATCCTGTCCCTCAACCTCCTCTCCACCAACCCATATTTGGTTACTCTTTTGATCGAACCTTGGATGCTAGATTGCCCTCAGTCAGTTTGGATGGTCCACTTTTGCGCTTCACGAGAAAATCAAAACAAAAACATCTTCAGTTTGGACAAGACACACCACGACGACAGACGTTCGTAACCTCCTGCTACTACCATTATATGTTCGCATTCGCCTAATTGATGGATCGATTGCCGCCGTCACCATGGTCCCGCCGCTTGTCAGCACCCGACGGAACAACATAAAGATGACAGAGTCAGAATCGGGCGAGGAACCCCTCGCCGGCATGGTCACTAGCGTCATCCTTGCCATGGTCTCTCTGGTTATTATTTCCAGTTTTCTGAGTACGTGGTGTACTTGCTTGATCAACTCTGTCTCCGGTTGCTGTGGCATGAAACTGACATACGACTCTCCCTCCAAAACAGCGCAAAGATTCCTGGCTGTCCAAAGTCTGGAGCAGACTTCCCCCCGTCCAGTGGAGTAAGTCCTGTCTGTCCCTTGCAGTCGCTCGCAAAGTTGCCGGTATCGTCAAGTCTCCCGCTCATAACTGACCATATCCTCAACTCACAGTGGTTTTTGCCATTTACGCCGATTCCTTTTTGTTTGTGTTTGCTACTGCCATCCTCCAATTTGGCTTCGGCGTCGATACCTCGGCATCCATCTGCGAGTCGGCCATTTTATTGTGTCTGGCCTGCTACGTTACGACGAAGGTATGGTGCTCTGACAAAGTTGACCACGACAGAAAAATAGCTAACTTTACGTGTAGATTGTTCGTTATATCCCAGTGTCCGGCACTCGGGAAATGTGCTAACCACCTTTCTCACAGCTTATCTACATGTTTCTTGTAGAAAAGGCGGTCGGTCACGTCACTCCAAATCACCAGGCTGAGTCTCTGACATTGGGAGCAGTTCATCATCCGATCCGGAAGCAAGAAACTCCGGATACACTCCAAGCTTTACCTCTTCAACACTATCGTGGTGCTCGGTATGTCGCCTCAAGCGCTCAAAGTGTGTGATGACAAGACTAACGGCGATCAGGCGCATACTGCGTCGTTGTGGTCCTCAATTTCGTTTAGTATGTCAGACTTTCCTCGTCCCTAGTTTGTCGCTAACAAAACACACTGTAGTCGTATCACGAAGATAGAAAACAAACAGTGCATAATCGGAATGGAGAGATACGCCATGATTCCACTCATCGTATATGATCTGCTCGTCAACGTAGGTTGGACCCTTGCTCCCACAGTACCTTTAGCCATACGCTAACGATTCAGGTTTACCTCACCGTTCTGTTTGTGCTGCCGTTACTAGGTGAGAGATCTTGCTCACACACTTGTCTGGCGGAAACTAACTTTATCAGGTCTCTATGCCTTTAACAGCTCTCAGCAGACTCGTGGAAACAGGAGACTGAAGCTGGTAGCCATGCGCACCCTTATTGGTTGCATCTGCACACTAACCAGCAGCGTCGTGTGAGATTTATCTTCTCAATATTCCTTCTTCCTGGTCCGAACTAACACTGTAACAGCAACCTATCAGTGCTCATGGGCCTAAATGGCGAGCCGGGATGGGTGTGTCTGATGTGTTGTAATAGTGATAGTAAGTCAACCGAAGTGTATCTTGATGACATACTAACCTTCACCAGTCCTATTCAGCGCCATTGTCATCCAGTGGGTGACTTCACGAGACAGTATCGCTTCCAACAACGACTCCCAGACCATGTCACAACAAAGACACAGCAACCACGGCGAGGATGCTTACGGTCTCCGAACATCACGACAGCAGGCCAACGGGGGGATACTAGAGCAAAAGAACAACTCATCAACAAACCGCGTGAGCATCAACAGCAGCAGTATCTCACCGCGGCCGACACCAAGCACCAAACCCATAGTCGATGATATAGGGGACATTGCCCTGGACAGCACGGATCCGATGGAGTTGGACGACACCCCGACGACTAACAACAACGCCAATAACCCCTTCAACGGGGAAAACCTGAGGCGCGCCGCTACTGAAGATTCGGATGAGATTCGTATGATGCCACTGAGTCCCCGAAAGAGGGGTATCAGCGACTCGGTATCACCATTAGTGTCCAGCAACCAGGTCTCCCCGACAGAGGTGCGCATCGACGTCGACTACGGCTCCAGCCTCACCCAAGCTAACGAGGCCGAAGGGGTCAAGCTGGGAAACAGCGTCGTGATTGCGACGGGCGGCCGCAGCGACGGACGCAGGCGCGGAAGAAGCTCGTCCCGGAGATACGAAGACAACAGTGATCCTTAGGCGAGTCACACTGGCAGCCGTAATCGCAGCCGGAGGGATACCGTCATCACGTTGAGTGGACAACAGAGTCGCGGAAGCCGTTCTGGTGCGAGTCGGGCTAGTCGGGCAAGTCGTAGTACGGGGAGTGATCAGAAGTGATGCTTTGGACCTTGGAAGGAAGGTATCGCTTTGGATACCTATGTTAGTAGGTTTTGTTTTAGATTACCTAGGAGGAACCGGAGGAGACACGCTTGGTAGTATTGGAGATGGGCGGACATGGTGGGATAGATACCCAGACGAGAAACTTGTCTATGCGCACTGGATTTCGAGATTGGTGATTCAAGATAGTTTAGACAATGATGATGAGGGGGGATGTGGACAGGATTAAGAACGAATCTATACCCAAGTCTTTTTACAAAGCAACCTCGGTGTTGATGAAAACGGGTAACTAAACGATTTCGGTCTGTTAGGGTTTGGCTCCGGAGTTAAGCCCTGTGAGCTGTCAGGGATGCACGTCAGGCCCGCTCCGGCTCAGATGGCACATGCCAGGGTTGCAGTTACAGTACCGCTAGCGTAGGGCTGTTAGTGCACATGCCAAGCTTATGGATGCACACCAGCGGGATGCTTTTCACGACATGTCACAACACGACGAACAACTGCAAACGGAGAACACAGATGCTGGTGTAGTTGCTGTATATTAGGCACGGCAAAGTATGTATTGACGAGTTCAAAATAATTTGGCATGATACTTGGATTCCTTTTTCTCTATCGAATGATCTTCATGCTATGCACACAAGGATTTCCCATCCAGAAGGTATTCTTCATCCTCCTTTAATGCCATTGTGAAATATCGTTCATTTATATCATCATAGCCCTTTGCCTTGACCGTTGTCTGTTCATACACACGAAGGTTGAAAAATGGTTGAAAAATACATGTTGGCTGACCAAACATGTACAATGGTGAAAAAGACGCCCATGCAAAACGGCAACATCGTCAAAATAAGGATTGGGATGTTGTCCGCGTACTGCAAGTCGTCATGAAAGAAGAAGATAAAAAAAGGTCTGTTGCAATTTATGCACAAAGAAGTGAAAGTGTAAAATGTAAAGTCCTTGAAAAAGAACAAGGCAAGAGCCAGTTTTTGTCCATGCCGCCCATCCATATGCTCCTCCTTTCTCGTTCTCCATCCATCCTTATGCGCCACTTTCCTTTGTTCCCAGGATATCTCAAAGACAGGTAAATGAAAGGTGAAAAAAGAGAACCCAAAGCCCATGGTCATTTAAGCCCAACATTGTAGAGATGGCGATGTCTCCAACCAAAACTGGCAAGATCTCTTGAGATGTCGAACCAAGTCCATAGTTAGATCTTCTCAGAATGTGGCAGATAGCATAAAAATGTTTAAGCACCATAGGCAAATGTCTTGGCGAAGGGGGTCAGATGGCCTTCTTTCAACATTGTACCCTCTCCAACCATGAAGTAGGCGAACCTCTCGACGAAGGAGAAGGTAGAGTTGTTCTCCAGGTGATCAAGGACGTATTTCATGGATTCGTCCTGCTCGGGCGCCTCGCCCTTAAAGCCAAGCTCAGTAACCCATACGGGCTTCTTGAACCGGTTGTAGGCATCGAGAAGGTGGTTGAGGACGGTGGGCCCGTCGGTTCCATAGCTGTGAAGGGCCAAAAAGTCCACCTTGCACTGTCCATTGCAGGCATCGAAGAACTGCTGCATCCAATTGAGACCCATGTTGGGATCGCCAGCGTTGGTAATGGACGGGGAACTGATGCGAACCTTTCCGGCCCAGGGGTTCATCAGTTTGATGTGATGCTCAGCAGCAACCTGAGGAGATAGGTTTGCCTGCCCATTGAGGTCAGGCTCGTTGAAGCTGAGGAATGCCTTGGAGCCGTTGTTGATGGCTTCCTGGGCATTGGCAGGCCAGGAAGTTGGGAAACCCTTGTCGATGCCCCAGAGCATAGGAACAAACTCAAGGGTATTGTAAGAGTCGTCGCGCTGACCCCAGTTGTAGACCCACGTGGCCTTGGAGCCACTTCCGGTGAAGCTTGTTAGCAGGTTGTGGTCATTGTAGGCAAGACCGCGCTTGAAGGCGGTGGCCACTCGACTTGTCCTCGGTCGACTCTGGAGTGGTGGTGGAGGGGGCCGCAGCAGGGGCGCTGTTCTGCGTGGCAGACGGGCTGGCAGGAGCGTTGACAACAGCAACGTTGGGAACAACGGTGTTGATCGAGGGCGCAGCAGAGCTAGCCTCGGCCGGGGCAGCGACGGAAGTACTGGAGCTGGAAATGGCAACCTTGGTGTTGTTGTCGATGGCGGCGGTCGGGGCGGCGTTGGCACTCTGGCCAAGAGTGACGGTGACGGTAGTCCATGCAGTATGGGTCACCACGTGGGTAACGGCGTCCCTCTTGCCAACGTGAAGGTGTTCGTGGCCGCGGTGGATGCTAGCAGCAAGGCTTTCGCCAGCGAAGGTGGCAGCCGCCAGGGCGAAAACAGACTTGGAGACCATTTTGATGGATATGTTTCGTGTCGAGATGGGGGATAATGCTGAGTGTGGCAACTTGTCCAGCAGCGCTGAAAGAGGGAATGATGCTGAGACGGCGTATAACCAGATACGAGGGCCGTTGGCGGGTGAGGCTGGGTGTCTCGTCGAGTGAAAGGAATGTACGGGTCAACCGTCGCGGATCCAAGGAGGCAAAAGGAATGCTGCTGATCTGGGGACCGATGAGTTGGCAGGAGGCTGAGGGAGCAAGGAGGGCTGACAGTTGCGCGCGCCGAAACAAGTGATCAACGTCGATCGAAGCTAGCGACCTGACGGATGCGGATAACAAGGTGGTGCTGAGAGAGCGTGGGACTGTTTGATGAAGCAGTCAAGGGACAGGAGGGAATGATGATGCCCAAAGGAGAAGCGTGATGGGGAGATCTGGAAGAAAGAAGGATGGACAGGCCGCGAGGAGGATGGGGGGACTGGAACTTATAATTGACTGGGGGTCAGGGTAGGTTGGATGGACAACGAACGGACAATAGGACGGGAAACACATCAATGGGTCATCAGATGGATCCCAAGCGGCTGGAAAACTCAAAGGAGGAGCCCGAGGAGGAGGGGTCGGCTCCATTGGCACAGTGGGGACTCAAGGCTTCCAGACCCGGTGAGACGTAACCGCCAGGGGTAAGGTCCCCAGTTGGGGGAACGAACGGCAGGTACGGGCAGGAACAACGACGATGGCACCTGGGATCATGGCTTGGCGGCAAGGGCAGGGACCCCGAGTTGCAACCTTTCCACGCTCTCGTTTTGAGCACACGAAGGCAGGCACGCAGCGCGGCAGCGCGGCAGAGCGGTAGGTACACTTGTACACCAAAAGTAGGGTCCCACTCGGTAGAAGCAAACAGCCGCCCGCCCACGAATGGGATCTCGCCCAGACCACAGACACACATATCTCGAAACAAATTTGCAAGCAGTCAGATAACAAGCGAGCGGTCGAGATCCGGAATCGTCGGTCGCGGGCGACCTGGAAGGAGCGCCGCCAGGTACTTGGATCCTTCCCTCGGCATGCTCTGGCTTCGTGATACTCGGAATTCACACTGCTTCAAGGCGCGTTTGTCTCTCGAATCTCTGGGCCATATCTTAAAAAAGTTAAATTGTATGCCTTTGATTACGCTCCGCGTGGGCTTTGTCCTTCAAACAAACAAAGAACGGGACATCAGGCGTGCAGACCACAGGCCGCAGGGCGGCACGAGCTGTCTGATGTTTCAATAAGGTACACTCGCATGTGTCAGGTTGAACATCGGATGACAAAGAAACGATGTCCCCCATCACCAGTCCACGACCGAGTCGCTTCAGCTACCCGGGTTGGAAACATTAGTCCGATGGACGCGTGGCAGTGAACAAATAATCGAAGAGGCGAGGGAGAAGGTATCCATCAAGTTGCGCCGCCCTCGATTTCTTTTTTCAGCAGACAAAAAGCGACGAAGGTTGCTGTGGTGTTGTGGCACTCGGAGCCAACCACTGCCAAGCGGGGCCGAAAAAGATGGATCGGCCTCTCAGCTGTCGGCGTAGCCCACCATCACGAGGCACGCACCAATGACACTCAGCCCGGATATGCAGGTACGGAATCAGCGCTGATGTTGGTCAGCCATAAAATCAGGGCAGAAATCCACACCTCTGCAGGAACAAATTCTGGGTCTGGCAGTCAGGTCTGGGTGGTACGGCGGGGAGTCGGGTATCGGGCGGCTTGGGCAAGTGGTGCCGAGTCCACAATCACCAACAGTCCAACAAACACGCAAACAGCCAGGCAAAGGAATGGAAATTGTTCACCTCATATATTTAAAGTGTTTGCTGCTGTGCCTTGCCAATATCCCACTCATAAAGGCCATGGCAGCGCACCCAAGATGCCGTGGAAAGGACAAAGCCTGACGGCGATCATCCCGTCTTTCAACTTTTGACAGCTTCGCTTCCGGAAAAACGACTCGAACGACCGCTCGCTCCCTCCCCGCGCGCGTTTGTAACAACTTGTATGGAGAGAGGGCTCCAGACACCTGCGACATTTTACGAAATGACCCATGCCTCCTGTCGGATGCCAACCCGGAGTCCGGACACGGGCTTGAACAGAGGCTGAGAATCCAACCAAAAAAGAATAACTCTGTCCTCACATCCCGTCCAAGCCATGCACGGCTTTTGCCTTGGTTTTCTTCCTGCTTGAAGGATCGGCAACAATATGGAATCTGGGCTTGCCATCAAGAGACATTTCCGATTCAACGATTCGTCATTCCCCTCCTTCGTTGCAACTTCAACTTTGCCCTGGCTTTTGCGAGTTGCGACACTTCTCCCACGTGTAGCAACTCCCGGCGCCTTCCCTATCTCGGCATACCTCCGGCAAATTCTGGACATGGTGGACCTGAACTTGTCAGAGCCCGGAGGGCGGTCCCCCAGCCAGGCTGTAAAAGCGAAATTGCGATCCGCTGTCACGGGGCGATGGAAACATTCAAGTTGAGAAACAGCAAGAATCCTGGTGCGAAAAGCTCGGCAATGGGGTCTCTGAGCGAGAAAAATGCTTGTCTTTTTCGGCCCCTTGTCTTCGAGAAGTTCCAAGGCAGGATCAAGAAATATTGAATTCTGATTACGAAAAGCCTCACGTAGGATCACATTGCTCTTTCTCCTCCGTCTGGACTATGGCGATTGTGACCTGAGGCCATGGAAGGAACTGAAAGGGCAGTGGGCAATGCAGCGAGAAAAAGTTCAGGCACGGCGGCCCATGGCGCTTGCCCATTCTTTCCCCGTTGCCAATCGATAAGCATGCATGGCTTCGGGCAGCCGCTTGCATTTGAAACACGAAAAGAAAAAAAAATCCAGGTCATCGACCCCGCAGCGCGCGCTTGTTCTTTCCCAAGTATCAGGATGCAATGGGGATTCCTTGCCAATTTTTTGCGCTTTCCTCCCCGGAGGTGGAGATCACATCTGCTTGGATCTTCAGTTTTTGTTCCTGCCTCCGACACATGGAGAGGGTGGGCTCGCAATACCGGACGAACTGCCTGCGTGAACGAGGCTACGAGCCACCGACCTTCAGCTTCAGATGCGTGAAATGGGACGAACCGGAGAACCCTATTGTGTAGCTACCTCCAAGCTATTTTGCTAACGGCCTTGATGCTAAAATTGGCAGCGCAAAGATAGTGCGGTATCAGGCCAATGATTCAATAAATCAAACTCACATCTCGCGACTCCACGTTTGTTTTCAAGACATTTACAGTATCCAATCTCCTCTTTCCCCACGAAATGTCACAACCAAACCCAGCCATGAAGACAAAAAGTCATGAGATGTAATCTTCCAGGTGTTCCAGATTCCCGCACCCCCGTCCCGCCTCGAGTGTCTACAATCGGCTATCATTGCACAAAATTACACATAATGTAGTTCTACGCATTATTTTCCTCACTCACTAGTTGGTTAGGGGCAGTCAATCTATATACTGTATAGTGTAGACATTATGAGATTGCACCAGCAGCGCAGAGTATGTATGACAGCAACCACAAAAAGAATGCCCTTGCTTGTGTGCTTGTGTGCCTGCTTGTGTTCCTGATCGACGGTGTGGAAAATTCAAATCTGGTAAATTGGGTTGGGTGTTTGTCAAACGTCACAAAAGGCGGGCCTGGGTATCGGTGTTTGCTTACATGCTCACCTTCCCTTGCACGGTCCCTTGGGCGCATTCAGGAAGGGGAACTGGTGTGTTTGTTGAAGATGAAACTTTGAGAGGGCTCAATTTTGCTTGTATTAAAGGGGGGGCTTGGCCATGCCTTCAAGCCATATTTATCGCGTGGTATGATCATCATCTTGATCTTCTTTGTTCTTCCTCCTCGTCGTCCTTCCTTTTAGAGCCATCTCCCCTTTCCCGAGTTTCCTAGCCCGTTCCTCCCTCTCTCTGCCTTACGTGCGGGCAAGCAGCGAATCTCTGCGAGCGGCCCGCAATAAGTTGTGGACGACGGACGGGTACCACCACCAAGCAAATTACGCAATGGAAGTTACACCGGCGTGTTTGAGGAACGATAGGTACATATATTGAGGGGATTTAATCAGGATTCAAGATCAGGATCGGTATTGGGCTGTGCATGTGTATTGTGTGCGCGCGCGTGTGTGTGTGCGCAGCTTCCCGTCCCTCCTCAACTTCAAGTTTTAACCACATATTCAAAGGTAGTGTGGGCATAAACATCATGTTGTGAAAGGCCGGACGAGAGAGAGTACACCCAGAGAGCGAATGAAGTGATATGCCTTAGCTGGATTGATTATTTATTCATGCTATGGCACGACCACACATCGGCACAGAGCCTTGATAGGTAGGTAGGTACCTAGGTGTCATACAACAACATTGGATCAGAAGTTGGACAAGTTTAAGAATTGGTGAGAATCAGATATGATGTGTTATTGAGCTTCATTTATCAAGCAGAAAGGACGATAACAGCCTTTCAACCTCATATTGATTGGATACGTTGGCATTTCCCTGACAAGAGAAGAAACTAACGAGAGAGTTCATCGCTTTCGCTTTAAACTTGGGAGAAAACTCAGTATCGGGACATCCACTGCTTGCCGGGGTAGCTGATCGAGCAAGTATCAAAGTGCTTCATGGAAGTAAGTGGTACCATCCTTTATTCATAGTTCTCATGCCTCGTTATCAGTATGCCTTCCATTTGCCTAGAAGTCCAGATGAGATAGCTGTCAAAGGGCCATCGGAATCATGTCATCGACAAAGCCAGTTTGACATAACCCATCTCAATACATTCCGCCCTCATTCCCCAGGAGGCCAGGCCAACGATTGAATGGAAAAAAAAAGTTTGAACCGTTCTTATCTTCATAACTCCTCTACTAGATGGGGGAAAAATAACATAGTCTTGAAACAAAAGGATCCTCAAACAAGTCATTAGTCCCTTGAAGCTGTTATAACATATCATACTTCTGTCCTTCTCTCCTTCTCTCCCGTTCAAATCATTTCTTCCGTTCCCACCACTGTTTATCCCAGACCCTCTTTCATCCGAGTGTGTATTGCGATTTACATGTAAGAAGTTCAAGTCGGAAGCATGATACCAGTCCACGCAGGGGAGAGAAGGGTATTTAGCCATAATGAATGCTGAACAGAAGTCTATCAAACTTAAGAAGACGGAAAAAGGGTCCCCCGTCGAGTTTGAACAGAAATGAAAACAAAACCGAAGCCAAAGACACTTCAACTCATGGTTGAACAAAACCTCTTCTTCTATACCCCCATTGGCTCCTGTACTAGCTCGGGAAATGGCTGTGGCTGTGTGATCAACTGATTCTCCAGCCGCTGTGTACCACCAAACACGTACTCCAGAGCCATCTGCAAAAAGTTCCAGATAGAATGGTGTTCGTTGAAGATCGTGGCGAAGAGTGTGACGAGAAGAAGAGGGATCCAGATGAGATAGAGGTTCCTATCCCTACTCAGCTCCTTCTTCTTCACGGAATGCGCCCGGCGTAGGTTCTCCTGCTGCTCCTTGGTGATGGCGTTCTTGCGACCAATTTCAAGCATGACGGGCAGCTCGGGCGACGTCTTTATCACCTCCTCATTAATCTCCGTCTCCACGCTGACCTCCACCCCGACTGCCGTGGTCGTCGTTGTCTCTACTGTCATGCTGCTGCTGCCGGCTTGATCGAACAGGGAAGCACATTTCTCATCTGCTGCAGCTTCGGCCGCGGCCATCGCAATTGACGCCTGCTTCTCATCTGGGGACCCGCTCTGACCCTTGCCACAGCTCTCATCATAAGAGGGCGGAGGAACCGAGCTATTGTTATTGCTCATTAGACTGTTGAACCAGCCTGCAGATTCTTTTGAGGCAGGCGGCGGGGGCGTCGCTTGCGTGGTGTTTGGTTCTGGCCTTGGTGCGGTAATTCCTGGGACGACAGTGGCCGCAAGACGTTGGGCTGTCTGGTAACCAGGCAACGCTGGCATGTAGTGTACTACAGGAGGCAGCATGAACGGTAGCTGAGGGAAGTTCTGAGGGAAGTTCTGGAGGTGAAGCATTGCGGTGTGTTGCAACTGTTGTATTTGAGCCATGATGGCGTTGACAGCAGCAGCAGGACCAAGCCCATCAGCAAATGGTCGTTGCGGCTCAGCAACATTCTCATCGGTTCTTGGTGGCGATGCGATACTGCTACGGCGCATTTCGAGAACGGGTTCATCGTCACCATCGGTCGACTCGCTGTCCTCTGATGAGTCTTCCATATCTGATGTAAACTCCGAAGAATCTTCCGGCTCTGTAGACTCGCTGACCGGCCTCTCGAGGGTCAAAGTCGACATGGCTGCCGCCGTCTGCTGGAGTGACGTGAAGCTGCTGGTACTGGTAGCCCGGCTAGGCAATGATCCGAGACTACGGGACCTGCTGTGTAGTCGGTTAGTGGCAAGACGCTGGGCAACCTCTGGCGTCTTGGCCACGTCTGCAGCCGTGAAGCCAGATAACGTGCGGAGCGTGTGGTCAGCACCATGAGCAACCAAAAGTCGTACAATCTCAGCATGTCCATTAAGAGCAGCCATGTGGAGAGGAGTATAACCGCCGTTGTCCCGGCTATCGGGGTTCGCGCCCCTAGCCAAGAGGCCTGCGGTGAACCGGCGAAGGCCAAGAGAGCAAGCCAAATGTAACATGGTCTTTCTCGTGGCACCGCTAGCAAGATTCCATTTCGGTTTGCTGTTCGGAGTATCGTCCAGATCAATCGCCTCAATGACGTTGAGAAGGTAGTTCTCGAAGTGTCCGTGGTTGTATGTAGGAGCGCCGGTGGAAGAACCAGAACTCTCGTTGTTGAAATTTTGAATGAGATCGTTAGCGAACGAATTAACATCTTTGCCCATCTTCTGGGCCAAGCAGGCAAGCGCCGACTTGGCCAGTTCGTCGGATCTCGTATCGATATATTCGAAGTACACCGGTTGTCCGCGTACCTGGTGATTCTTGAAGGTAACCTGAACCTTACCAGGTGTGTCGCTAGGGGGTACCAGACACACCAAGGATTCCGCTCCCCAGTACGTCGTTGTCGTGGCCTGTCGTCCGCCAAACATAACAACAATGCCTTGGGAAAAGCCGCCACCCAGCACTGTAACTTCAAAACCGCCATCCACTGATCCTTGATGCGGGATTACCTTAAATAGCTTGACAGGAACTGGAGCCTCCGCAGCAGGCATTGGATTAGCAACTGGTGCGGGAGCTGGTGCCGGTGCCGTCGCGAATGGGCTGCCCACTGCTGACCGCATGAGTGGGCTCAGCAAATTACCACCATTGGTGTTCTGCCAATGGCTTGGGCTCTGAGCGCGACTCGGGTTTCCTGTTGTGGGATTGGCGAAAAAGCTGAGACCTTGGTTGCCAGGCAAGGTGAACATTGCCTGATCGTTATTATCAGTTGAGGGCGGCGATCCGCCGGTGTACGACATCGTAGCTGCGCCAGTAGCGAGGGGCGGTGGGTTGAACTGTTGTTGGCTAGCGTCCGAAGGCCGGGAAAAGTGCCTCTGAACTGGCGGGACAAAGGCTGCCGAGGCTGATGATGCTGGTTTAGCCGCCGCCGCCGCCGCCGCGTTGGACACTTGCTGTGGGGGCATTGGGGCGATCAGTTCCACTGGTGTCATGGTAAGATTGCCGACTCTTCTCTTTTTGCTCGAAGTGGTGATCGGTCTGATTGGTGATGGGGGCTGAGAGATCTCTTGGTTAGGCGTAGTAACGGCAACCGGAGGCACAGCAGTAGGCTGTTTGCGCTTGAGTGGTTGAATATCGTGAGAAGGAGGAGGGGTGGGTCGTCCGTTTGACGCAGGAGGGTTGACAGTGCCATTCTGCGGTTGATCCGGAAGAAACTCGTCGTCCACTTGTGGAGAGTCCCGCGTCTTGTGATCATCGGTAATGACTATCGGGGACGAAAGCTGTTGGGAAATGTAGTTACCCTCATGGTCGACAATGGTGAAAATGACCTGGAAACCCTTCTTCTTGTCGTTGTGATGCCGGCCATAACACGCTATTCTGATATAGAATTCCACGTGGTAGGCGTTGACTTCTTCAGGCTTTGGCTCATGCCATTCCTGAATCTCGGCAGCGTTGAACACGATGATCCTGTCCGATTCGAAGGATCGCCAATATTCATCTTCCTCCACATTTTTTACCTTCTTCCGCCCAGCTCGCTTCGATTCACGCCTGATACACTTTTGACAAATTCGAATTTCGCCACCATCATGACCCGGCAGCTCATCTTCGGTATCCGGCCTCAGTTCCCCCTTGACTTGACGTCGCGCACCCAAGCGGGCACGCATTAGAGCCTTCTTCTTCAGATCGGGATTCTCCATCGCGCTCGTGCAAACAACGACGGCGTGCAACTCCAGTCTCTCAGGCGATGGTGGTGGGAGAGGTCGAGCCATCTGCTTGACCTTGCTGATATATTGCGTTGGAAGATGAAGCTTCTTAACTCCGTGAGGAAGAGGAAAGAGAGCGAGTCTGTACTTTGCTTGCGTCTCAACTCTCATTTTGGGGATTTCGACCTCTCCGTTGGCGTTTGCAGCCCCGTCTTTCTTCCGCATCCTGTCCATCAGTAAGACATCCAGATGATAGGGAGGACCGCCAAAGCCGCTAGGCATCTGAGGAATATTCATGGGCATCCCGTGCGGCATGAAGGAGATGCCACGACCATCGGGCGGCATATGCGGAATACTATAGGTAAATGCCGGCCAGTGCGAGCCCGGTACCATGAACTGGGGTATGCCATGCATCGGTAGGTTAGCAACCTGCCCCGGAATAACCTGCGACATGTGTTGTGCAGTCGCCATGTTTAACCCCGAGGCTTGTTCTTGAGGTTCGTCCGTTACCATAGCATCGGGCTGAACCATGGAGTAATGCTGCAAAAAACACACGCAATTAGATATTTCTGGACAACAAGTCAAAGCACAGAATCACTCACCCTCTGAGCCTGTTCAGGCGCTACGTATTGCATCAAAGGCTGTGGATTGCGCGAGTTTTGTGGCGATAATGCATCTCGCATTGAAGCAACTGGGCTGGGACTGTTGTCGTACGGACTGGCCATGAATTCGTTGGTATGTGCTGGTGTAACTTCGGTCGGCTTAATATCGGAAGGGTCAATAGTGAGACTGTCCATCGACGTCGATGATGAAGACATGGAATTTCTTGATGTGCGGGTGCGGACTCTGGACTCGTCTGAACATCTGGCGAAGCGAACTGCATCTGCGGTGATCGGTAGCCCTCTTGATAATTTTCCTCTAGTTGCTGGTCGAGATCGAACGGGGTGTTTTCGGCCGTAAAGTGTGAGGCTTCCGTGAACTGTGATGCGCCGTAAAGACTGGCAGCGGGACTCATGTCGTCGGAATCGAAGATGCACGCCTGGTTCATGTTGAAATCGGTCCCAGCAAGGGCGCCATCGGGAGCTTCTTGGTTCGACCAGGGCTGATATCCATCGACGTTTAGGAACTCTGTAAAGTCGCTCTCCCCCGACCTGTTGTTATTAAAGCTTGGCATGACTCTCGATTGCGATGATGAGCGAACGTTGTCGATGATGTGCTATAGTGGAACAGCTTGCGGAAGCCAACCGGCGTGGCTGTTCCCGGCACCCGTCGTTGATCGGCTTTGTTCCAGATGAAATTCCTCCGCGTCGGTCGAAGATGAGATGACTTTTGTTAACACGTGGTGTTGACGTTGTTGACGCTCGGTTTCCTAGTAGTGGCGGGTCTCGTAGCAGCCCGTTGCCATCTGCTTTCTTGCGGCGCAGGGCAGAATCGCGGGAGTGGGTCGCGGGAGTGCAACAAGTCAATGTGTCCCCCGACGAGATGACGATCGCAGCAAGTATATAAAGGAGAAATCGAAGACTTGAGCTGGATGATGCAGTGTCGAATTGATGGGCTGGCGCAAGTAGCGATGTGTTTCGCAGACAGCAAATCAAGGTCGAAAGGCGGTAAGCGAAAATGAGAAGCGGGCGGCCAATTGACGGTGCAGATGTCGCAAGCAGCAGCTGGCGAGCGAAGCGGGAAGAGCAAGCTGGAAGAAAGATGTTGGACGGGTAAAGGAGCGCAATCGGCGACGGGACGAGCGACAAAAAAAGGACGACGGATTATTCGGTAATCGGGACTCGTTGTTGCGACGAGAGATATTTGAGGTAACGCGAAATGCAAGGGGCGCGCAATTGCCGGCTATCTCTGTTTATGAAGAGGTGGGTGTGTCGGGTTGGTAGAGGCGGTTTTGGTGTTCAGTTTCCAGTTTCTGGTGGGAGCGGGAGAGAGGCAAATGCTGTCAGAGGAACTATAAACCAGAGTCTGAATGGTTGCGAATGGATTTGGAGAAGGGCATGGACCGGGACCGTGACTGGCCTGCAATAGGTGACGGGCTCGGGTCGGGGATCACATCCAATGATGGGTTGGCTGGTTGGGAAGAAGAGGGGACGAACTCGAAAGTGGAAGTGCCAAAATGGTGGGCTGGAAGCGGGAGGTCGACGAAGCCCGATGAACTGGCGCAACGAACATGAAGCGAAAAAGAGTGGAGTTCCAGGGGAGGGGGCGCTATCTCAAAGCAAAAAGTAGAAAGGGCTGACGTTGGGCAGTGGGGATAATGTTTGTGGGTGTTGCGGCACTAACTCCATCTCACTGAACTGTGCAGGATGACTGTTAGCAAAGGGGCCAATTGTGCACATATCGTAACACGCAGATATCTACAGCATACGTAGACCCTACATGTACCGGTAGGAGTTCATCACATCAGTTTGCATACTCTGCCTTATCTTTGGCGTCTATGTACAGGTAGTACTAGGTTGTACTGCATCCATGTTGCACGGCACTTTATCTCCTCCTTTTCCTCTCAGTATTTTTCCTATGGAAGAAATGACAAAATGAAGCTGCGAAGTGGTTAGCCGGTGCAACACAAGAATTCTTGTCCGTACTCGTCGCACGGACAAGTGATTTCTATGGATCCATCCAAAGCTTCTCCACTATCAGTGACAGGACGGTGGCAGCGTGCATCTTCAAAATCCTCCGGGACACTGACGACGATATTGAATATTGGCCACAATAGTTGTTCATAATGTGAGGCCTATATAGGCTGACAGCTCTCCATGTCTGCTGATCATCGTTTACAGTCGTATATAAAACCCAGGAAAGAAGGGAGCGCCAAGTAAACGCTCGATAGTGCTCCCCGTGGCTGAAGCAGTCTCGATGGACGACTCTGCAGCATGTGGCTCGTGCTCTGCATCTCACCTCTCCTCACCAAGTCCACAATTCGCACAAGTGAGGCTCACCTCAAGCATCTCACAGGTCCAAGAAAAACTCGTCGTCTCCTTTCCTGGTGGAGACAATATTGGTTGTTGGGCAGCGAAGTCTGTGAGTTAAACATCTCAGCACCGTCGTCCAGCTTGACTGCACCGCCAAGTAATGCAAGAGAGTGAAAAGAGAAAGAGGAAGGAACAACAGATCTCACGAAAATCCGCACGGCATCTCGAGCTAGCAAGATTCATTCTCGACCTCTTGAGTCACAGCGCGGATGGGGATGTTTGTCCGTTTGGATCCCATAGCGGGCGCCGCCGCCTCACTCGCCTGCGTCCAAATTCCAAAATAACTGCAGCAGTACCTAACCACGCCGACCACGCTGACCCGTCACATTTTTCACACCCTTAACTTGACATACATCATACAATATGCCGTTATACCCATTTCTGCCTACGCTCGATAATCTTGCATGCCCTATCTCCAATCTCCAGATCTCTACGCATCTAGAACAAGGAAGCGTTCGGAATTCGGAAAGTCCAGAACAACCATTCCACGCGGAAGAAACAGAGGCGCGATATCCCTCACTCACCCCATCTTAACGCCGCTAGTTTCCTCCGCGGTACCGGACGCTAACTACATCTGCTACATGAAAGAAAAAAATGACACCATATTGTCACCACACTACTGTGTAGACACTAGGGCTAGCCGAACAGTGATCGGCTAAAGCAATCCGGGCCATCTGCGGAGCTGCGGAGTCGGAATTGACCCGAGCCAAAGATGGCCCCGGCCCATCGGAACCGGCCCGGTAAAGTGGAGTGGGGCGGAGCGGGTGTTGTGCCGATCGGTTGACGGAGGCATTGACGGAGGTTGCGGGTTTGCGTAGCCGGCAGTCGTGGGGATCGGAGGTCGTGAGCGGGGGGCTGTTTGGTGAGAGGAAGGCCTTGGTTGTGGTTGGGACAAAATCGTGGCATTTAGAATCAACGAGTTGGGAGCTTGAAGAGGATGATACTCTGGCATCTGCGTTTATTTCTACGTCCGGCTGCTAAAGGTCTTTTCTCTTTCCGCTTGGTATTGACCATCCTCTGAAATCGATGGTCATCCAGATTATCCCCATCTACCGATCTGCACTCCACCCCGTCTACTTCCCCTTGCATCCCTCAAAGTAAAATTTCTACCTCCTAAATCCAAAACTTCGCGTCATATCCGATACCCGACCCGCCTCCATCTCTTTCCTCCTTCAGCTATTTTTTTCCACTTCCAACTTCTCCCCTTCAACGTCTCCCCTACAATGTCCTCTTCAACCCCCCTTACGCTAACATCAAGTCTCGCAACATACCGACAACATGATTCGGCCAGCTCAGCACACCTATTGCTTGATATCAGCTGTGCTCCCACCAACAAGCGTTGGCGCGCTCCCGACATCATGGCTATCGTCATCCGGGAACCGAATCGACCGCCCCGGCGCTCGGCTATGAGACTTGGAAGCCGCTGCCTCGCGAGCCGCCGGCGTGGTCGAGACACCTCTTCCCCGCGTTTCGCTATCTAGAGTCGAACTGCTCGAGTTGGCAGCTTGAGGTGCACCCTGTGCCTCTGATTCAGCAGCACCAGCTTCAGAGGCAGGTGGATTGCGAATAATGGTTCCGCCGATTCTGTAGACGGGACGGTTCAACGGAATTTCTCGCTGATTGCTGTCGTCGGCTTCACCATGTCTCTCCGAATCGGGCTCGTCCTGGGATCGCCGGTGCCTCATGCCAGAGATCAAGGTGTTGACCCGGCTGCCAATGTTAAATGACGGCAACGGTCCGCCGCTAGAGCGTCTAGAGTCCGGAAGAACCGACCGCGAGGGTGAAGCGTTGCCGCTCTTGAGACCCTTGGAGAGTGTGCGAGGGAGATGGAAACCAAGTTTTCCCACGGGGATGCTAAGACCGTGGACGACGATGCTGCAGATGGCAATGAACCAGACCACCACCGTGACCGTCTCCGCCAAGCCCTTGACGTCCTCGCGCGGTTCCCCGTCAGGGCCTTCCATGCCCCTCAAGAACTCGAGCGTGATGTACAGATAAAAGATAGCCGAGACACCCACGGGGCCGAAGAAGCCCACGAAGATGGCCTGCTTCGCGCCCTCGATCTGGGGGATCACCTTGCGACCCCAAGGGATCTTGTGCGCGATGAACACCCACGGCAAGCGCCTCAATAACAAAACCAGGATCCCGAGCACGATGAGCCGGTAGATTTGAATACCGACCCCGTTGCGTAGAAACATCTCCCAGGGGCACACGGCCCCGTACCACATGAAGATGGTGACGTTGAGCAGCATGTCGATGGTGGGCTGCAGCGAGTCGTCGAGCGTCTCCAGTCGGAACCAGTCGTCCCAGGTGAACACGTTCCCCGCGATGAAGCACGCGAGCACATCGTCGCTACCGATCATGCCGCATGTGCCCGTGATGAAGAGCGCCAGCGAGATGGCAAACACCAAAAAGCTCTCGCGGTCGACAAACTTGCGCTCCTCGGCCCAGTGGAGCAGTTCTTTCGCGATCCAACCGACCGCGGTGCCGTAGACGATGGAGAGAATGATGGTGTACACCCACGTCTCGTAGAACCAAAGCGCCATCGCTCTGCCCCCACCGGCGCCGTCACCTGGGTAGTCATGCCCGATGTACTTGATCAGATACAAGGCGAAGAAGAGGAAGGGGTAGCCGAGTCCATCGTTGGCGCCCGACTCGGCGACAATGATCCGCTGCAGCTTCTTGGGTACGTTGTGATCGGCAAATCGGCCCTTGACGATGACGTTGGAGAGAACCGGATCCGTGGGTGTCACGCACGAGCCGATAACCAATGCCTTTAGGAAGCCCATGCCGTCGGGGCCGAAGCTGGGTACGAGAGCCCAGACGAGTAGGCTGGTGGTGATCCACATCATGAACATGATGGGGCCGAGTAGCATGGTGAGAGGGCGCCATTGTTGTTTCAGATATCTGCTAGGAAGTTGGACGCCAGCGAGGACAAGCTGCACGCCAAGGACGAGCCGGGAGAAGGCGAGGGTGATTTCCATCAAGGCGAGGGGGTCATGGTCGGCGTAAACGAGAGGACGTATAAAGTTGGCGGCGCGTGGGGAGAAAGCCACGCCTACCAATAAGGAGATGACTACAGTTCGAGAGAGAATGTTAGTGAAAATGGTTGGAGGTTTGGACATCGAAGTGTTGTAGATGTACTTACAGGCTTCAGACATGTAGTAGCTCTCCTTGCAGAGGTATGAGACCAGCCCAAAAAGCGAGATCCATCCTCCTAGGACGCTTAACACAATGTTGAAGTTAGTGATGGCTAAGGTGGGCATCTTGAAGACCGGTCTTCCAAGACTCTGGTCGCACCAAAGCCAAGTTCAAGCCAAGACGACGATCGCAAATCGTAAAGCTTGTTTCGGTATCTTGATGGGGTCCTTTGTGGACCAGATGTTATTGTCGCGTGAGTTCTACAACGATGTGTAAATGATATTTCAACATCTAAACGTCAACCGGGCTTGATATTTGCACGGCAGGGTAAAGCATGTGTTATTGAGCCATCGAGTAGAAGACGAGTTGAGTGAAGGCAGTCTTGACCAAGCAGATCATGGGAACGGGAGTGTTTGCCAGTTTGTGGACAAGAAAAGTGTCACTCCCAGAAGCCTACCAACTATCCAGCTGTTCAGATGGATGTGCTCTCGGCTTCTTCGCAGTCTGGGATTGGCGGTGTTGTCGACGGTGAGGTCCGTGACACGGATGGCGAGGGGTCTTGGAGCGGATGCACTCAGCAAAAATAAAAGTAATGTGAAGATTGATAAACTGAAGCAGCAGGCAGTATCTTGTTGAGATGCCCTCGCAGACAATTTCTTGAAACTGTCAGCTACGGCCTTTCCTCTGGTGAGGGGAAGAAACACAGGAGGTGAAGGTTGAAGGAGCACAGGCAAGAGATAAGAGAATCCGGTGAGATCCGTGAGGCTAGATCATTAGCGGGACGGGCCCTGCTTTTCTCCCATGAAAAGGTCACATACCTTCGGCAAAACCTTCAATCCGGTTCGTCTCAAATCTGATTTGGCCGTCACTCAGTGGGATGATCGACAGAGCGTCGTCTTGCAGTTGGTCGAAAGCACTGGGATAGCGAGGGCGCGCGACCTGGTTCTGAAAAGTGGCATTGAGGTCACAACTCGAGGTCTCTGGATTTTCAAAATTCGTGGTTTTCCGGCACACTGGTTCTTCGACCCTGATGACGCTTCGGCCCATTCGCAACATGGACATGGGCCACAAGGTTTGAAGAAATGCACATCGAGTCAGGACAGGGGAGTGCGTGCACATCGAATATAAGAATAGCTATGCTACCTACAAGCAAACAACAAAATATGTGTTTATCCCGGGGAAACATACAAAAGGCGGAATATGCACCAGCTAAGCATACTCTTAACAAAGAAGAGCAGTTGATTCTCCCCTCGATATATAAGCAATGACGCCGAGCTGACTCTTTCCATTGTCTAACGTTAGGAAAACCATTCATGCAATATCCGAGCAGGCAATATCTCTACATGATTAGACCTGAACGGCCAGTCCAATAATTTCGTTCTTTCGCAACGCCTGCTTGCGGGCTCTCGCTACCATGCAACTGATGCTTAACTTAAAAGGGCGATGGGGGATGAAACCTGTGATAAACGCCGTAACCCTTTGCTCCCCATTTTCCGACCCTTTTCTTTGCTCAAAAATGCTTTTTCAATCATGTCAAATCCGACAGATAGGACAGAGAGGACTACCTAATTCCTCTGCCTTCTGTTTCCGCAAACCCAAAAAAGTGCATACCAAAGCGTACCCCGCGAGATTATGAAAATTTCCTATAATACTTGCCAGCCACTCCTCCCTTCACAACACCCATCAAGCATGAATCATCTGGTCAACCGGCAGCGGCTTGAGACAGCCGTTGGACTCCCACTCCCAGGCCACTAAACTCCAGTTGAGTTCTCGGCGCCAAAACAGCCCAAGGCCCCGACCACCATCCGCCCCATTAAGCGATGGGTGATCGCTGCCACGGTTCTCAGCGCAGAGCCCGCCCGTCAACGGCATACGATGACGAAAGACGACTTTGCCCATGCGCGAGTGAAGGATGGCCATGGAGCACATCACGCAAGGCTCGTGCGTAAGGTACATCTCGAGCCCGTGACAGAGATATCCATCGGGAGAGGGATGGTCAATCTCAAAGACCTTTTGCTCGTCGTCGAGCAGAGGCTTGTCCTGGAAGGCCTCGAACTCGAGGATGGGTGTTTGGAACGTGTCGGTCCTCTTGTTCTCCGCACGCACTAGCTTCTGGGCGACCATGCTGATGGCACGAAGTACAGAATGCGCCATAGGATTCCCAACACATCCCGTCTTCCCCTGGCAGCGCCAACGGGCGTCAGCAGCAAGGGCCACAAGCGTGACTTTATTGCCTTCCTCACGCTGCACGATACAAGCTCCCATGGGTTCTCCGTGACCAGCGGCCTGGCTCTGCTCGGCCACCTGATGGGCCAGTGTCATCCATATCGCAGCATCGTCTGTAATCTCTTCTGTGCTTCGGGATACCATGGCAGGGTGCGGTCCAAGAGGGTTATTCTTGCGGTATAGAGTAGGCCAGAAGTGTTGGGACCACATGGCCGCTTGAATCTGGGAGGTGGGAGCGACCATGGGAACAGGAACACTGCGGATGAAGATATCTTCTTCCAAGCCCTCGATCGTCTTCAGGGCCTGGACCAGCTCCTCACGCGAAAGCTGGGACTCGGGACCGAGGATGATGTAGATCCAGTTCGATTTGCCCGTGTGGATCTGTCGGCTCTGGGGTGTTTCGTTCATGAATTGGGTTTTGAGATGGGCGGGTAGGTCGCCTGGCTTGGCGCATCTGCGTAGATGTGGAACGCCCTTAACGATTTCCTCAGGTAGCATGTCGCGCAAGAGGCTTGCAATAAACGTCAGCTTGTGTGACCCGGAAAGGTGTTGGGGGCTTGAGGGACTGCAGCAGGGGGCATACCTGATAGTAGGGTTCGCCGACTTGACGGGCGTTCGGGTGATCAGCACCCGCCCCGTAACATGGTCGTCTCTTAGCTCAAGAGTTGTTTTGAGGGGAATAAGGACACCATGATCGACTTCCTCGCGCACGAGGCTCCGGACAATGGGATCCTGTGCAGCAAGGACTGCTCCCATGGACTTGTCTTCGTGGGGCATCTTGGCAAAAGTGTGTAGAGCTCTTCTACCGGCGAGCTCTGATGTTGGATAATGTCGGCTGGATACAGAAAACCGAGAGCGTACAAAATTCGGAATCGTCAATCGCGGTGCTCGAGGCGTAGAGATCGTTCGGGGTCGGAGTGTAGAGGTAGTATGGTGGCCGCGGGGTCGCAAAAAAGCCTGGTACTCGGGATTAGGCTGAAGAGAGTGTCGAGCAAAACGGGCGAAGCTGAGACTTGAAGAGACCTTGATCGATGGCAAATGAGCGAGACTGGACCGTTTGAGGAAGAAGGAAGGGAACCATGGTGGTGAGAGTGGCTAGTACCTGGCCAGCAAGACCAAAGGAGGGTCCGGAGACGGGAAAGAACAGACAATGTTTTCCTGTCGTCAACCAAGTGGAAGCTGGGGAAAGCAAACTGCCAGTGCAGTGTTGTAAAGCACAAAGATGCACTTCCAGCTTGCCGTCGCTTAGTTGCCCGTTTGCGTGCGCGTTGCCCGTGATCGGGTAGGTCGTGTCGCCGTCTGGGTCGGGACCGGACTCACTGCATCCATTGACAAAAAAATGATGCCCCACTTTGGCGGACAGCGGGCAGCCCACCACAGCGACTCCCCGAACATTTTTGGCTGTCAAGGACTCAGGGTCAGGGCCACCCCGCGTCACGGGAGGCCGATGCCCGCAAACATTTGATTTTCGTCCACATTCCACCTACAGTGCACCACTGGCGCAGACCGGGACCAGGGCTCCCGCCAGAACAGCGACAGCCAGCGATTGCCGGGCCCATTTAAAACGACTGCTTCTTCGGCAGGCACCAAAAGGGTCTCATTCATTGCTGTCACTGGTCAATACATATACTACAATGGAAGTACTGTAGGTACTTGTCGAGCGTTTTGGATTCATGGATTGACTTTTGAAGCTGGCCCCACTATCTCAGGTCGTCGATCTGCATGCTGCGGGGTCCCTTTATGATACTGTAGCAGCAAGCCTGTCTCCTGTGAAGCAGAGACGTTAAGTAGTGTAGGCATGAACTTTATCAAAGAATTCTTAGGAATTATGCGATAGAGTGTAAGAACGTGAGAAATGCCTGCAGGGGCAGAACGCACACCATTCCTGTAAGCGACGTCGTGATGCACATTTGGTGAAATTCCAACAAAGAGACCTCGCCCCGTATTGGTGTGTCTGGCCTGGACAAATTGGAAGTCCGCGATGATGGCTCGTGCGATTTCGACGGGTCTGAGATGGCTGCCTCACACAGCGGCATCGAGCAATCTGAGAACCTCTTAGGGCTGCTGCCACTTTGCCGACAGGATAAGATGGGGAGCTACGTGTGGAATTGACCTCGCTTTCTCGCTACCTCTATGATACCTACCTAGCTGACAGTATTTTATTATCACAAGAGGTACCTCTACCGACTAAAACCAACTTCGTCTTCTCTTTCCCTCGCTTGGATGTCCAAAAATCTGAACCTGGCACATCTCATTCTCACTGGTCCTCGCCCGCCCACTTACACTCACTTACACCCACTTGCCCATCGGAGGCTTCAACTTTGAAATCCCCAACGGTCGCCTTCATCCTACCTCCAAAGGAAGCCGTCTTGGCAAGTCAAATAATAATCCATTTGGCAACTTCGGGCGCTGCCAAGCGGTCTCAATCTAAGATCTCGTCTCCGGCAATCAGACAGGCGGTGCCGCCCGTCGTCCTTCCCGTCGATCATTCTCAAGCATAGCGAATGTCTAAGATGACCTAACTGAGATGAAGCTAAGCTAGCCAAGCTTCTTACCCTGTGCGGATGTGGTAGCATCACCACCCTCACAACCGGCACTAGTCTTGGTGGCGCCTTGTCATCCAATGTTTAAACTCCAGAACACTCCGCTGTCGTGCGGCACGATGGCGCTGGTCTGTGGGGGTCCATCTTACCTGGATGTCACCGACCGTGGCCGCCTGACCCTCCGCTATAAGTCGCTTACACCATTCCCGTCCATCTTGGACCTATCTTTGATCCTCACCTGCCTCCAAAACTGTCTGACCTCCAAGATGACAGGCCAAGCACCAGAGCACAACGCCGGCAGCAGTGGACAAGCTGCAAAATTAATCCAGCTGCAAGATGCAGATTGAGGTAGAAATTCTTGGGCACTCAGCCATCCAGCGGGTGGCATTCGCGACCACAAAGGATGTTAGATTTCCTCTTTGACGCATTTCCCATGACGGGCAATATGGTAATCTATTGCACTTCGCATCATTCACGCCTTGGACTGCGGCGCTTGTACAACGGCACTATATTCGTCCCATCATCATCCACCTACAAATCTCTTGACGCTCGCGCGTACATAGTGGCACGCACGCACGCCCTCTGCACGGACTCAACATACCGGAACTCCGAAGACGGAGGAGGCCTTTCCACATGTGGTTCACACCATATGATCCTCCTGGCGATCTTGACAAAACATCGGACGAAGATGGGGAGCACCATTGCTGAGCCGCCAAATCTCGCCGTTTGTGGCACCGCCCAGCCGGATCCCATCATCGAGTTTCTGTCTTTCCAGGTCTCAACCAAGCCGGAACCCAAGCACCTTGAGAACTGCGGAGTTACTCACCGACGGAAAGCAACCAGAATGGAAAGTACCGTAAGGAATATACTTGTTCTTGGTTGGCCGTGGTGGAAACATTGGATGACATCCATCACGGCCGAGGGCTGTGTCCCCCAGTGGACCCAACCCTGGACAAAGCGTGGTGATGTTCCGAGAAGAATGAAGCCACCGCCCACGGTCAGAAAGCGGCTAGGACCAATCCGCAACTCTTTATATTCGTATTATCGTCCGTCTTAACGGGTACTCGGATTCCGACAAGGCGTCTGAGAAAGACTGCGTTCTTCGCTGGGTTATGTGTGTAGTGAGGCCCCTGTTTGTATAGCTCCCTAACCAATGGCAACTTCATCCTTTGGTGACAAATGGCGCCTCGTTGCCATGACTGCTTTTGTTCATTGCACACAAGTGTCACCCACGGGCTTTGATGTCCGCATAATCGAATCAGAACTGGCCATTTCAAGCGGATCAAGACTTGAGGAGGAGGGCAACGGCTGTCTCTGACCAGGGCATAAAAGACGCCTCTGCACTCCCACTGTCCCCGTCTTGGCAATATCTCGAGGTATCAGTTTTCAGGACATTCAAGATCAGCATCATCATCGGTTTCCAGAATTTTTTACCACCACCGAGTACCTCAAGAAAGGCTCCTACGGTAGACAGCCGATCCGTCACCCAGACCAGTCAGTCTCGCAAACGCCATAGCCAAGCAGCCAAGCAGCCAAGCCGTTGACAGTGTCGCAGACAAGAGCGCAGTCATACTCGACCTGATTGCAGTTCCGTGTCTACAGCAGTCAGCCTTGGTCCGATCCGAGCTGGATCGACTTACCGCTTTATCTCATCCATAGCAGATATGCTCTTGATCCACAGCTGGATAATCACCAAATCCTATTGGACAGATGGTGCATATGCACCTGATATGCACTTGAAAGGGAGCTAAAACTGCCCGCATAAGCAGTGACTATCCCCTTTTGAGGATATCTGCTATGGATGAGTAGAAGCGGTATACCGCGACCCTCTAGCCGTCATTTGTCCGTTGCGTGGAACAGCGTTAATTTCAAGGTGAGCTTGGCGTTGCGCAGCCCCCCGGCAGAGCTGCTGCGCTGGCTTTGCTGGCGAGGACGAACACAAGTCGTCATTGGGTACAGTGTGGCGGTTCATGGTTGTGGTGAGATGATACAACAAGTTCAGGTTTTTCTTTGATGAGATGGGACGGAGGGTCCAGTCATCACCTCACCCCATTGCTAGCGCATCCCTGACACTGAGCACCCGCGCGAGCGCCGCACCAAAGAAGCCCCTCTGGCCCTAACAGGAAAAGCATCCCACGCACGACGTCCACCTGCAGCACCACCGCAGACGTCGGTACCCCTCCAGCCGGCTCCAGGGTCTCCGTTCGTCTGGCATAGTGGAGCCCTTGACGACTTCATCCACCTTTGAATTCTTTCTCCACGCGGGAGCAGGTCTGGTCCCTCTGTCCATGCTCCAAAACTCGAAATGGTACTCGTTCAGTACCGCATTTATCATCATCCAGTCGCGTCTAGTCACTCATCGGGCTTTTTATGCCCGACATCCTAGTGGCAACTTTGCCCTCATATAAACATTTTTGTCTGCCGGTGCTCAGATCGAGACTCTTTTTCTCCCAAGTTCGAGGATTTTCCACAAGGAAACATCAATACTTGTAGGTACCAACAACTACAGCAGTACACAATACACCACAACCTAGGTACTCATCGCCGCCGCTCGGCCTTGACATTGGACGGAGGTCTGCTGAGTACTAAAAAAGAGATTTCGCTCATTGACCCAGATCTACGACAATACCCAGGGAAAGGCAGTCCAGCCACCCCGGCCTTTCTAACGCTCTAACAAAAGTTGATTGGCCTGGGATAAAAAGACAATCGCGCCCCCAACATCGACTCCAGTGCCTGCTCCAGTTCTAGTCATTGACCCCAGCAGCAACCCCAAAAGGTTGGATTGAACCACACCAAGACACAAGCGTTCCTTCGCCCTGTAGTGGCACGCCCTCGCACCCACCAACACAACCAGGCAGTTTGACCCTCTCGGTCGCAGTAACCCAAGCCAAATACGTCAATCCGCAGCTCACCAACTCACCACCGTCTCCAAAAAAGATCCATCTGGATGGACTCTCCAACCGTGCCTTCTCCACGAGCCACGGGCACTCGCAAGTGGTCCACGCCGACGCCGCCAGATACCCCGACGTCCATGACACCGCAATCCGAGTCCCGATCGTCCTCGCCCGAATTTACACATCTTCCCGACAGACCAACTTCCACCGGCACTCTTCCTAGCAAAGGTTATTATCCGGTCCAACATCACCACCACCATCACCCTTCTAGCTATTTACTTGGGCTCTCTTGCAGACCCAGGCTACTTCTCATCTTCTCAACGCTTCCACCTCCGCACCCTCTTGCACTCCCGCATCCGGAAACTCGGCTGACCTTCCCTCTCACAAAGACTTTGGCAGGACCTCGTCGCCCCCGGAGTCGCTGCGAAAACTGGCCATGAAGAGTCAACTCATGGCTTCCGCCGCAACCACTCCCTCGTCGCCGACGATCTCTGTCAATGCCCCTACGATCTCACAACAACAACAACAACAACAACAACAACAACAACAACAACAACAACAAGATAACAACCAGCAGGAGGATCATGAAAGGGAACACCATGACAGCCTTCTACCTGCGCCCGCCGTTGCTTTCTCACATGCGCTGAGATCGCTCAATGACCTGGACGGTGGTGTCGGTGGTATTGGCTTCACTGGTCAGCATAACCCAATAGCCTACAACTCACCTTACAGCCAGAGCATCCCCTCGACAGCTCCTGGATCGCCGCGAATGTATGTGTAACCCACCCCGCATATGTCTGAATTTATCTTCCTTGTGACCTTCATACACTTCCTTTGCGCGTGCTCTGGTGGCACACCCCAACGACCAGAGTTGGTGAAGGTGTGGGGTTCGTGCTTGACTCACCAAAGGCTAACTGTAATATGTCCCAGCCCGCCCATACGACAGAACTCGGGTTGCGTAACACCCAGGATACGACCGCACGCTACAACGCTTAACATTCCGGGCATGACACGGTCGAGGGTTTCTCCTGATGGCAGAATTCCCGAACGAGACGTTGCCGCCAAGTTGGTGATCATCATGGTTGGCCTCCCAGCAAGAGGAAAATCCTACATTACCAAGAAAATTCAGCGCTACCTCTCCTGGCAGCAACACAATACAAAGATCTTCAATGTGGGGAACCGCCGACGTATCGCCGCTGGCGTCACTCACAAGGGTGATCAGCCTGCTCCGACTTCGGCGGATGACCACGATGGCCACGATCCCCACGACGCACCCAAGAGAGCAGCCACTATCCTCCTAAAAGGCAAGGATGCCCCCAAGATCACGCTGGAGGAGGATGAGCCGACGACCTTGGACTTGAATGAGCACCAAGATGGTTCCGTACCCAAGGATCCAATCGATCAGTCAGCAAAGTTCTTCGACCCGAAGAATGAGACTGCCGCGAAGCTCCGCGAGCAGGTCGCTATCGACACACTTGATGAGCTCCTGAACTACCTCCTGCACCAGGGCGGATCCGTGGGCATTCTTGATGCCACCAACAGCAATGTCCATCGGAGAAAACTTATTGTTGAGCATATTCAACAAAGGGAGCCCAAACTGGGAATTCTCTTCATTGAAAGTATATGTCACGATCAAAATGTGAGATTCTGCGCTTCTTGCTGCCTGTGATGGAGCCCTAGACTAACCAAAATGTAGCTCCTCGAGGCGAATATGCGCTTGAAGCTTGCCGGTCCTGACTACAAGGATAAGGATCCTCATAAGTCACTTGCGGACTTCCGAGAGCGTGTTAAAGCATACGAAAGTGCTTACGAGCCGCTTGGCAAGTGGGAAGAAGATAACGACTTGCAGTACATTCAGGTATGGCTACTCTTGATATAAACGTGCCGTTTCAGGCCTCATGCTAACACACAAAGATGATCGATGTGGGCCGAAAAGTTATCCACCATAGACTCCGAGGATTCCTGACGGCCGGTATCGCTTCATATCTGACGACATTCAACCTCGCACCTAGGCAGATATGGATTACTCGCCATGGTCAGAGCCAGGACAACCAACTGCACAAGTTGGGCGGCGATTCGGGTCTGACTGAACGCGGTCATTACTACGCCCAAGCGCTCTACAACTTCATCACCTTCAAGCGTAAGGAATGGCTTATCGAGCAGAAGAACAAGATAGCGTCGTCGACATTCCCGCCAGCACCCGGAGATCATACGCCTCCGTATCCTGAGCTGTATCAGGAGTTGGACGATAAGAACTTCTGTGTCTGGACTTCGATGCTCAAGCGCAGCATCGAGTCTGCCGAGTATTTCGACGCCGACGATGACTACGACGTCAAGCAATGGGAAATGCTAAACGAGCTCAATGCCGGCACGTTCGAGGGTTTGACCTACGAGGAGATTGCACAGAGGTATCCCGAGGAGTATCAGAAGCGGTCTAAGGACAAGCTTCACTACATCTATCCCGGTGTCGGCGGTGAAGGTTACCTACAGGTCATAAGTAGGTTGCGTGACATGGTACGCGAAATCGAGCGCATCACCGACCACGTGCTCATTATTGGACACCGTTCTGTCTGCCGTGTCTTGATGGCATATTTCATGGACTTGACGAGGGAATCCATCGCCGATCTGGATGTCCCGTTAGGCATGCTCTACGCTATCGAGCCAAAGCCGTACGGAATCGAATTTCATGCGTACAAATACGACGAGGTTGAGGGATGGTTCCAGGAGCTGCCCAACTATAGGCCTCAAAGGACTACCGACAGGAACAACTGAGGGAGTCCGGGGGCAGCTGGCATGATTTTTGTGGCAATTCATTTTTATATCTGTTGGGCGAGGAAGTGTTTGGTCCTATTTCTTGGTTTTTGCTGTGGTCACACAGCTGGCGCAAAACGGTATATCCTAGGACAGGGCGGGCGATGCGAAGTTGATGACCTTGATGGGATCATGAATGAACAACTGGGCTTTTTGTGGCATTTTTGGAACGGCGCGAACACATTCGAGAAATGTCCAACAAAGAAAAGGGACCAGGAGATTCGAAATCATTCCGCTGGTCGATGAGTACTTCTCTTATCATTTGTTATTCACGGGGGGTTCAGGGTTCTTGGGAATTCATCGGGCTTTTGGCGAGACGGCGTTTTTGAAGGTTTATACTTGTCAACACTCCTGACGTCAAGGACGGACAAGATAGCATCATGGGTTTGAGTTCGGTCGATCGATGAATTCAAACATGTTTTACTCATTTTTACTGTTGCTCTCTCTGAACTTCCCCAACTTGCCTGATGTTGTTATTCTGTTCAACCAAAAGCCAGGAATATGACCAGCAGCTGGCGCTACAGGAGTCGTACTGCGATCTTCCATTTCTGTCGCTCGCAACACAAATATTCACATTGTATTGTACTATACGCCTCTCAACTCGCTTCGCTTCTTTCGGTAGAATCCACGTTACATCCTATTCACGCATGCATATGCTGTGGTACTGGAGATCATATACATTGAGGTACTGTAGTGGTGGAAGAGACATCACAACTCTAAGCCGACGATGGTATTCCGGCTATTCACAACATCTATAATGAACCACCCCACAATACACCATTATTTCGATATCATACTTATTCTATGATGACCCTTCACTCTCCTGCCTTCTACCACCTATCCAGAAATGTTTCCTCGTGACCCAAACAGCATCATCATCGGCTCCACATCATTACTTCAAGATCCTCCACCACCGCGCCGCCACCAACTTTATGTACCCCGGGATCTTCACCTTCTGGAACTCCACCGTTTAGCGCAGATCTACACTACAAAACTACGCTAACAAGACCTCACCCTTCCCGGGTGAAGACACAGCTGTCTCCTATACGTTTCTACAGTCTTTCGTCTTGTGGGCCAATTCTTCCCCAGTGTCGTCTTGATTCTCGGCATGGAAAGGTTATAACAATTGGTAAAATTATGGAGATGGACTTTTCGAGGAAGGACATGAGTGTTGATTGACTTTCTAAATTCGGCTCTCTCTGAAGGCACCTTGACGTAAGGGGCTGGCTCCAGGTGATTGATTCACCGATGGATGGATGGATGGACTAGATGGATGACATATGGCGTAGATCCCATACTAGATACATACAGTGTAGGTATAAACCCAGCTTGCCAGCCTCCAGCCTCCAGCCTCCAGCCTCACCCATTCAGCGCCGCCGCCAGGGACAACCTAAACCAAGCAGACTATACCTATGACGGGCGTACATACCATCCATCAGGCACCGGGACCGGGGCTCGGGGGTTCGGGTCGCCTGCTGTTCGGTTCAGCGGTTCAGCGGTTCAGCGGTTCAGCGGTTCAGGTTCAGGCTGTGTAACCCAGGGGCTATTCGACCACTGACTGGATCGCACCCCCAAGTTGGGAAAGTCCGGCGGCACTGCACGATTACATTCCTAGTGTACGTACCCTGAGCTAGTGTAGAGGAGTCGAGCCAGAGAACTGGGTAAGTATGATTCAAGGGCTCACTGGACTACACATCTTTACCTAGAGGTAGCTTTTTTTCAGCTCCGATCTTTTAGCCTGAGCTTTTAGCGGTGGAAGAAAAGAAAGAAGAAAGAAGAAGAAAAAAGGGTAGAAAGGGGGACGGATGGATGCCCTGAGGGTTCGATGGTTTGATGGTTCAGCTGAGCTGAGCTGAGTTAAAAAGGTTCATTACAGGGCATTTCCATTCGACGGTGTAGGGGTTAGGCTGGCTCGTTAGGTCGGGGGCTCAGGGAGGCACTCAGGGAGCCTCAGTTGGAGTCGGCTGGGGTCCTTGCTCAGCGCAGGCTCTCCCTCTGTCTGCACCAACATTTTCACCATGTTCTGTTGCTGGGTCAGGAGGATATCTTGTCATACGTAAGTGCTCCTATATTTATTTGTTCATTTTTTGCAGTCCGCCGGAGCGATCCGAGAACTCACCGTTGCATTTGGATCTGCCTCTACCTGCGCACCTTGGTGGTTACATATGGGAAATGGCGAGACCGGATGGACCCTTGACGCTGGGAATGACCTCACTGGAGTAGATCCCGACCTTAGGTCCCCTTGGATCCGGACCCGCTGGTTTGTTGCTGACAGACGAGAAGTAAGCAATGATGTACTGGATCTTGCAGCAGCCCGCTTGATTCCTTGGCTTGGGACTGTTGAGTGAGCGGTCGATCGAGGATGATAGCGATGAGGATTTGAAGATTATCGCTGCGATATCGCGGAAAAAAAATAAAAAATATAAAAAATATAAAAAGAATTGTGAGATTTTCTAAGTACGATGCAGCCAACGAAACTATCTGCCAAAACACCATTTGAGCGTTCAGCGAGAATGATATCGTGAGCAAAGACATGATCGATATGATATACGTATATAGCTTGTGAGGACATTTCTACATCCATCCTTTTCAGGCTTGGAACAGTAAAATATCCGTCGTACACACACTACACCAGATTCCAAGTCCACTCACGGATATATGCCACTAAACCATTGATACATCACCTAATTCATCCTCCATCTCCCTTCGCCCATCGCTCCTTTTTGGATAAACGCTAGGCTAGGTAATAAAGACAACGAAATAACAAACGAGAAACAAAAGAAACTAGGGTCATAACATCGTCATATCTCATCAAGAAAGAGTAGGAAAGAAAAAGAGAAACAACAGGAATCCATGACGAGGGCAGCCATAGCCACCTAAGTCATCACCAGTACAGTACTGACACCGACAATAACCACCATTGAGCACTCGTTCTGCTTCCTTTTTCTCTTCTCGATAGGCAAGGAGACTCGCCAGGGAGGAGACCCGTGTCAAAGACAAAACATCACTGCCGCGCCGCCGGTCAATCGGTAAGAGGATTCGAGCACCGAAAGTCGAACAAAAAGACGCTGGAAAAAAAATCGAAGAAAACCGTATCGTAATCATGTGTTGAAGACGATGGACGTTATTATGGTATGGTCCGATGATCGGCGGTTGGCAAGATGATGTTTCGTCGTGAAGGAAGGAGGTAAGGATGGAAGGGAAGGAAGGATCGCGTTGTGAAATTTTCCATTGCGACTCATCCCCAATTGTTGGAAAGAGCGATGCGATGGATGCGGGCAGTGCGGTGAAGTGGGTCAGGGACGGAAGAATCCTCCAAGATGCCGGAAGGAAGCACAGAGAAAGTATTCCGTTCCTCTTTCGCTTTCAATTCCGAGTCGGAATTTTATTTTTCTGTCCCACCCTCTTTCACCGGCACACTTACTCGCCACATCAGATCGAAGCCCTTTCGATTGTTGTTCGTCCAACGAACACCATGTTGCTGTTTGTTCATGGCTCGATGGGGTCGTTATTGTCGGTTGTCCGTTTCGCACCATCCTCAATCACCATACCCTGTGAATATTCTCAACATCCTCTCCTGCTTCGCCCAGGCCCGAATCGCGGTGGCTGACAATCCCACTTACACTTCCGTTCGTGTCGCTCGAGTTTCTCTCCTTCTTGGCGACCAGTTCGTCACCAAGGCCATACCCAGGTACTGGCGGTGGCGCACGGTTAGGCTGTGGCCTGGTTTTTAGTGGTGATGTGCCCTGAGTCTGCTGTGTCGGCTTCGGGTAGTGGAACCTAGGTATGCTGACAGGTGTTGTTGTCGAGTTCCCGGTTGATGGCCGTTGGGGAGTCTCTGGTCGGTCCGATGTTGGTGCCAGTTGGTACTCAGGCTCAGGAGAGTCGATGATCATAGCATCATCCCCGTCCCCATCCCTTGTAAGATCCATGCTGTCCTCCTCTCTTTGAACGCCATTGACATGTACGTAGGTGTTTGTCGTCATTGGCATTGCTTCACTCGCGCTGGGGCGATGACTCCCTGTCGACTGCCCCGGTTGGGCCTTGTGGCTGACACTGCTACGCCTGCTGCGGACAAACCCGAGGAATCCCTTTCCCGACGATGTGGAAGCCGGGCATTTGGGTACCTTGGTTACCCTCGCCTGACCAGAACGGACTGGAGTGGCAACGGACATCGCCTCGTCTAACCTATTGGCCTGGCGCGGAGGAGAGAAAAAAGAGGCAGTGCCTTCTTCTGACAAAAAGTTACCCTTCGACCCAGCGCTTGTGGTTGGCCTGCTCTCCATGCTCTCCCTGGTCTTCCCCTTGTCCTTGGAGCCAAACATGAACGATTTGCTCTTCATGGCGACTGGAGCCGACATAACGGACGCGGCGGCGGATCGAAAGCTTGACATGGACGTACGCGGCTTGGTCGGCGAGGAAGGTCGCTCATTAAACTCGATCTTCGACTGTGATTTCCTCAATTTCTTGGCAAGCTTGCGGACCGAGCCGTAGTCGACGTTGGTCTCAATGTTATTACCATTGGGATCAGTACCGCGCTTCGTTCCGCGGGAAGGCGAGTCTGGGGCAGTCACCGGATCAGTTTGTGGAGGAAAATAGTCGTTTACAAAGGCAGAACCAATTGTACATGTTGGCTCTTCCCTATAAGGCGAGGGAAGAGGAGGTGGGGCCATCGAGTTGTTAACGGGTACTGACGCTGTCTTGCGGTGGAAGCCGGTGAAAATAGCATGCAACTTCTTTTCATCGTTGTTCTGTTTCTGGGCCAGGTGCTCGGCAAAGGGCTTCAGGTTTTCAGGAGACTCTGGCCGGCTGGGTACTGGCGAGGGACGGCCGGAACTGGATGGGAAAGCAGTCGTGGCGGCACGAGCTCTACCATTAACACTATCCTGTCGGTTCGGACTGCCACTCAATACGGTGCCCGCGCTCTGGGCGGCTCGAAGGGGATGCCTGGTGCCGTGAATAGCGTGCTGCTCAAAGAATCCCGATGCCACCAAGTTCTTGTAACTCTCCATCACCTCTTCCTTAGTGGGGTAATCGGCGGCCGAGAACTTTTTGGCTGCTTCCTTCGCCGCCTCTTGATCGCGCGTCGCCAGCGCTGCGGCTGCTCCTCTAAAGACAGGCACAGGCGGTACGGGGGGTGGCGTCTCGACAGCTGGGGTGCAAGGCGCCGTCATGGTTGAGCCTCGGCCACGGTGTATCGACGATCGGCTGTCTGCTTGAGTGTTGAGAGAGGGCCGTCCCATCGCGTCTTTGCCGCTCACCATGGCTCCCCAAGACTTGCTACGACTTAGGCTGAACCTTTCGCGGACGCCATCCCAGAGCGGCGTGAGGAGAAACTTGCTCTTGCTGCGACTGTGACCCATCGGTTGCTGCACCGGCGGCTGTTGTTCTTGCTGCTCGTCTTCTGGTGGAGGCGCAGAAGGCTCATAGGCAGTATAAGTAGTCTGACGGGTGGGGTGTCGCTCCATGGTTGGATGGTGCTCGGTGACCGGCGTGCCAACAAACTGTCGCTCGTATTCCTCCACGTCCATATCCTCCAGGTATGATGGCGGCGGGGCAGCAGAAGTGCGGTCGTTCATTGATCCTTCAACAAATCGACTGATGCTAGCGGCCGAAGAGGTGTGGTTCAGCTTGTGGGAGCCGGGACCGACGACGGGTGACGTTGGTGGACGGGACGCCATTGCATTCGGTCTCGAGAAATTGACAAATTCCTTCTTTTGTGGGGCGGCTGTTGTCTTGTCGTTCTTCTTGGGTCGCAGGTGTGAACGGAATCGCGCCTTTGCGGACCGTAGCAGGCGACCGAATCGGTCGGCGGACGGCTTGCTTGGGTCCAGGCTGGCTAGTTTCGTCTGCTTGTCACTATCGTGAGGAAAGTCGATCAGTGAACATGTCAGCGTGCATGGGGAGAGGCGATGCGGCATTCTGGTTGCGGCGTCCAGTGTCATGCAACAGGCGACAGACACCTACCAGCAGAAATCGCAACGCTCCTCGTCGGGCGAAGCGGACTCGCTCGCGCGGCTTCGGGGAGGTTTTGTGTGCGTTTAAAGGAGTGCCGACGGACGAATGAGTGGTTTATTCGGTGAGCGGGTGGATATCGAAAAGGCGGTGGTGGGCGTTATGGGAGGTTGGGGGAACCGCGGACGTGGGTGGTGCCAGGCGATTGAGTGGGGTTTTGTTTACTTTTGGCGCCAAAAAGGAGACCGTCCGAACTATCGTTCACCCCCAGCAGCTGCCCCCCCAGCAAGTCTAGCAGCACTCCGGTGGTGCGTGGTGGCCGCTAGGGTGTCCGCCCGTGGCCCTGTTCCTGCGTTTCCAGGAAGCTCGCAGCCGGGCGGAAAAGCCAAGGCCGAATCAAACAAATCAAATCAGGGCGCCCAGCGGCCGGGCCAGCCTGTGCCTTGGTGTCCCCCGCCGCTGAGTCCCGCTCTTGGCCTGCGCAGACCTGGCAGACCTGGCTGCCCCCCTGTTCCATGGAAAACCTGGGGAAAAAGAGGACAAAGGCCAATGAAAAAGGTGGGGATGCCTCATTTTGTTTTCCCTGCTTGTGCGGCCTCTGATATGGAAAACGAGGGGAAGCCGAGTTGCCAGTGTCTCAGATCACCTTTTCACTCAATCTGGTTCCCATGTTTTGGATAATGAGACAAATATTCACAGTGTTTCGGGGCTTGGGTCTGGTCATTTTTGCGGTGGACTCGGAGCAGGAGGATCACCCATTGCACCCCATTGAGACCCCTGGCGGCCCCGTCTGGTAGCGGATCAGTAGCGGGCCACTGTCCATCACGAACGCCCATCAGTCCCCATCAGGAAGGCCGGGATTGCTAGGCCCAGGGGATGGATGGCAGAGCGCATGGGGAGCCTGGCGGAGAGGTGATATGCTTTGCATTGGCCTCGCGTGTCGTTGCGGGTAGCGGTAGTAACTTGCGCCGGCGACCTGCTGCAATGGCAATCTGGCGTCCACGCTGCTGATTGCACAAGTGCCACAGTTCCTGTTCTTGGGACGAGCTCTTGTTTCCGTCCTTTCGAATCGGATGGAATGGGTTGGGTGTCTGGATTCTGGAGGCGCCCATATCATCAGGAGCCAGTCCAGGGGCGTTTCGCCTGTGACACTATCGTGGTACAATAGTGCTGCTTTCACGGTAGCCAAAAGCAACTGTTCCCAAACACCAAGTGTCCCGAGGGAAAGAGACTCGGAGGCTTTGTTGGCTGGCGTTCACCGTTCGTTGTGACCGTCCGACGCCGCCACCGCGATCAGCATACCTACACATACCCCCCAAGTACCCTCCAAGGCACACTACACACACCTAGCGACTTACACCCGCCCGGCTCAACGATCACCGATCAACTGGCCCACGGTCAACGGCCCTGCAGTCCGTCCGAGGCCCGTTCCAGTTCAGGCACCACGCTCAAAAAGAAGAGAGAGGGAACCCGTGCGTGATTGTGTGCGGGTTTGACATCAATTTCTGGGGAATGACCATCTACAACGGTAATACCCAAGGAGATCAGGTTCGATAGATTCGATACATACCTCCGAGAGAGGATCCAGATTGAAATTTGCTGCACGACATACACGGTGATTTTCCTTTATCCGAGCTTGAGAAGATCAAATCACAGTTGCCGAGCCGAGCGAAGTTTATAAACTGCTATCCGCCAAGCTTCGTGGGAAAAGCCAACCCCCATTAACAAAAGAACAAAACAAACCAAACCACCCATATGAGCCCATATGAAACATTCCCGTTCAACATGCGCTTGCCGCTCGGATCTTGATGATCTTGATTCTCCCGAAAGGAAAAAGGCCGCAGTGCGCGACATTTAATGTCCTACTCATGTCCCCTTTTCATCTCGGGCTCTCGGTGGATTATCCCATGGCGGTTCTGGCTGCCGTGCTAACGGTGCTAACTACTGCAGTCGTCTTTTTTTTTTTTGTCCGAGCGAAATTTAACTCCACGGAATCATGGATCAGGCAGGTGAACGGCCGTTGCGTGGTTGGGAAAACTAGAACTAAACAAGACAAGCCGTGCCCGGTTACCACTCTACGACCAAGTTTTTTTCTGTTCTTTTTCTTTTCCTTTTCCTTTACGTCTCGACCTCGGCCAAGCTACTGCCTGGATGGAAAGCCCGAGAGTGGAGATATCTCCGGCTTCAGACAATAAAGGTGGCTTCTCATCTCGACTTTGACCTTCTGACCGATCTTTCTTATATGATCTTTCTTTCGTCGCTTTCTTTCCTTCCCCACTTTTATCTTCCTTTCGTCTCTCTCACGATTCTGTGACTTTTACTCCCATTTCGTTTGCACCTGAAGGGTGAAGCTTCTCGAATTTCAACCATCAGCAAGTCAGATCCAAGGAGCAGTAAACACACAGCCACTACCGTATAAACTCGCAAAATTCGTAAACCTTCGCCGGACCGGCGACGCAGGGTCAAAGGTTTGACAATTGCGTTTGGCTGTATGTACTCAGATGTTGATGCAAAATGGCAAAGCTCTAACCCTGCGTGCCGGCCCGGCGAGGGTTTACGAATTTCGCGAGTTTATATGGTAGCAACAGCCACAATGTCGACCAAACACACATTGCCCACATGCTATTTTCGCATGCCCTACATCGCACATTGAAGCTCACACCACTCAATTCTGCCATGGTGGCCCGTTCGAGGACAATCATCAACAGAGCTGTGGCAGGGTGAGATGCACTGCAGTAACATGCCCTATGCAAATGTGCACATCGAGTTCTGTCTAACGAGCAGAACCAGGGTTCCATCTTTCACATGATAACATACTCAGCCCTGGCTCCTGACATTGAACGCCCAGACCTGTGACAAAATCACCACCGAGTGTTTCCATCTTGAACTAATAACCTTGGATTCCTATCTTCTTTCGTCGTTCCAATACCTACGACTGACTGTTGACTATTTCGATTGGATCACCCCGCGCACCCTTATGAAACCCCGATTTATACCCTGAACATGTAAACAGAAAGAAACCGAGAAGAAAAGGTGAAGATAACATGAGAGGGAAAAAAAACAGCAAAGAAATGTCAAGAAAAGAACGTATGTAGTAGTGTGATGTCTCTGGCTCTTTTTTCTTTCTTTTCTTCTCCTCTTCAACGCCAGCAACTAGGCTTAGTTGTATATGTGTGATATGTGCAGCCAGGATCCTCACCATTCCTCAGCCTCATCATCCAACTCCTGCATGTATATGCGTCCGATGCGTGCGTTTCGTGCCCTGATTCGTGCTCTTTGGGTGGTGCCCTGGGCAACTTTGTAGCTGCAACTCCCACTGCATTCGAGCATTCAGCCTCATTTCAAACCCTAATATAAAAAGCGAAGAGTCTTTTCCCCGCGAAGGTGGCAACTCAAGGGAAGCCAAGAACAGACCACAACAAAACACCACAAAACTGACAGACAGATGACTTAACAACAGAAGGAGATCGCAAAAAGACAAGACTTTGTCGGAACAACAACCGGGACCAAATGAACAACCATTATTTAAAAAACCGACAACCCGACAACCGGAAAACCAAAACGGAGCACAGCAAAAAGACACTCCTCAAACAAACCCCGACCGGAGACGCAGCCGATTAAAACGCCTCAACACCTAGCTTTCAGCAGCAAGCAACAGCAACAACCCCAGGGCAAGCCCAACAAGCCATTCAAGAAAGAAACTTGTGCGCAGAACCCGCTCCGTTTCACTTCCAGTGCTCCGGAAGCCACAAAAACTTAATCGGCCCTGAACATGATACCCCACGAACCCAACAACCCCGGCAGAGAATTTCAACTTTGGTAGTTGTCAAAATCCGACCGCTTGCACTCAAAGGTACCGTCAGCACGCCTATATTTGAACTGAATTGGCGGCTCCACGTCCTCCACATGCTCCGGCTCGCGCGCCCCATTGTGGTACCGCCCAGCGGCTACCCCGAACGTCTGATCGTGTGCACGCTTTGAGCCAGCGACCTGCGAAGGCGGCATGGGAGGCGGCGGAAGGTAACCGCCAGAACTTGAGGGACCGCCGCTGCTGCTAACAGAATAGGCACGAGGATAAGGCGGAGCAGCCATGCTGCTGCTGGGGCTGACCATTGGAATGTGGTTGTTGCTAACAGAGGGATGGCGGTCAACTATCAGAGGAGGCAGGAACGGACGTTTGGGAGCGATGGATGTGTGGTGGTGAGGAGGCTCCGAAGGAGGACGAGCAGGAGTAACGGCCTCACTGAGCGGCGGCAGTCTGTAGTCGTTCGGACTTTGGTGGATGCTGTCGTGACGAGGGACGGGGTTGATGGGCGCATAGGACCGCGATGGTTGATGCTGCTCGGACTGGTATACCGGCTGGTAGGGCGGTGGCGGCTGAGGGTAGGAAGACGGCTGGTGTTGTTGATAAAGCGCGCGTTGGCTCGTGGGGTAGCCGGGTGAAGGGGGAACCGAGTGCGATTGGACGAAACTTTGTGGTGGTGGTTGAGCGGGATACTGGTGATGCGAGTTGTTCCCTCCCAAGAACCCCAGATGGCCGCCTCCGGATGTCGGTGTCTGGGCGGCGTATTGAGGCGGGTAGTCAGCCATCGAAGGCCGGCGTTGGGGATCACTAATGGCGGAGTAGGGTGTCCTCTCGGTGCTTCCGCTCATTGATCTTTGTCGGTAAGCTTCCTGCTTCGCAGTGTCGGGCGTGGCGGTTCTCCGGGCCCTCCTATATTCCTCCTCGCCGTTCTCATAGTCGTTACCACCACCGTTTCCTTTTCCATCGCGACGTCTCATCCTCACATCACGCCTAATACGAACGCGACATCCCTGTTCGGCGACGGTACGGCTGAGGGGCGTGCTCTCGGTCAATCCGGGGAACTTTTTGGCGCTATAGACGACGAAGTCATGGGACTTGATATCCATTCGGAAGTCAAAGGATCCTGGCGAGCCGTCGTGGGGGGCGTTGGGATCTTCTGGGTCTTTGTCCTTGTCCTCCTTGGTCTCTTCGTACAGGTTGAATGTCAGTTTATAGCGACCCTCGTGGCGAACCGACAGATCGGGGAACAAGAAGTAGCCAGCCAACTTGGGTCGGTCAAGATAAGCCATGCCGGAGACAGGCATGCCAGTCAGCACAGGCGGTGTGTTGGCCGAAGGGGTCTGCAGACGGCCCTGTGCCATAACACGGGCGTGCTCGAGCGTGGCATAGAGGAAGAAGTTGGCGTTATACTGGAAGGTAACATCCCTCTCCTGGGCAACGCTAAGCTCTTCACCCTCAAAGATGCGCAGCTCGACGACCGGAGGGGGGTCCACGGGGCGACGGTCGGCGGATGCTGAAACGGGAATTAACGATCCGCGGACGATTCGGGTCTTGACTTTGGGACTTACATTTAGGACCCGAACCGCACGCTCTCGCGCGCAGGGGTTCTTGAACGACTCTCAGGGAATACCACAGCTTTCGGCCGCTTCTAGTTCTGCGACTTTGGAACTTGGGCATAGGCTCATCCTCATGAGAGAGGCCGTTGGAGGCGGCCGCGATAACTTGAGGGCCCATACTGCCCACTTCACAACCAACTAATTTGCAGCACCGAGGTCCTGAGCGACTTCCTGTTTATGGTCTATTTTGCCAATTTCCACCGTGCTGATGTTGATTATAGGAGACTGGCTGCCCAAGTCGCTGGGGAAGGGCTTGCGTCTTGAACTAGAATTTTCATCATCAGTCAGCCGTCATTCTTTGCAAATTCGCATGAGACCCAAAATTTCCGAGAAAACCCGCAGATGTCGGGACTGCATTTTGCTAAGGCGCGGCGCGTGTGTGTGGTCCCATGACAAAGCAGTGCTTGGATTGAATGCGATGCAATCGGCGTAATGTGCAAGCAAGACGTGCGGTCGCCACTTACCCTGTGACCTTTGCGGCAGGAAACCAAGCAAAGCAAATTGCTGGCAGATTGACGTCGGAAATTGGATTTTTGATGGAAACGTCGATGTTTTTGGAGCAGACCGTCGTCGCTTCTGGATCGGGGAACAGAGGCGGTCGGAGCGAATGAGTTGAGAAAAGGATGGAAGGAAGTAAACTGAAGACGACGAAAAGACGACGGGGCGGACGAGGATTCAATCGACGGGAAGCGAGAGGAGCAGGTGGAAGCGCTACCCGACAGGACAAAACAGGGACGGCCGGGAGTGGATATGGTGGGCGGATGGGCCTGAGGGAGCTGAGGGATTGGCTGGGAGAGGAAGACGAATGGATGGATGGATGGAATGGAAGGTGGTGGTGGGCTATCGCTATGGAACTACGGACCCAAGGTTCCCAGAAACCAGAGCGACGGGTAGGAGCTGTGTGAAGAAAGACGGGCCTGCGACGACCTTGGGACTGCTGCTATTGGTTGCTTGGGCGCAAACTCGGCGAACCTCTCTCTGGAACGGACGTCCACGTATTGTTCCAAGCCTTTGGGGCGACCACTCGACTGCAGCCAGGACTGTCGCACTGTCACCGTCCAACTCGTACGGCCCTGGGTAGGTACGGTAGGAAGGTAGGTACTGTATGCGGGTGGGAGGAGCTGTGTCTGGGCGTTTTGGAGGGCTGGACCTGAGCTCCCGTCCGGTGTCGTTACTCCTAGGTTGTGTGTCGGGTAACGAAGGCTCTCAACAGAGACCGACCATAAAACAGCCGGCGAAAAGAGCAACGGTTTTTCAGAGCAAAAAAGGGAGGAAAAGGAAAACTCGAAAAAATGGAACGGGCGAATCCAGGAACAGAAACGATTCGGGGGGGGGAAGGGAATGCCCTCGTCCGACAAGGGTCCAAGACACTGAAGAGGGCTTTCGACTCCAAAGACTCCAGAGACTCCAGAGAGAAGGGGGCCTCTGCGAAATGAGCGCGGACGGAAAATGTGACAGACGGTTAGACCATGCATGGGAGGTTGCATCAGCAGTGGACCGTCATGGCGCCCATCTTGCCCTCTCTGGGCCTGGTCCCGTCATCTGTCCCTTGTCCGGTGCCGCTTGCTCTCTCTCACACTCTCGACTCTCTCACACTCTCGACTCTCTCACACTCTCGACTCTCGACACTGTACACTACAGCCGGACGAGTGGTGGCCGCCAGCGCGCTCCCGACTGGCCGGACACAACTGACACCTTGACGGGCGGTTTGTTTAACGGTTTGCACTCGAGTGTAACCCTACCCTCTTGAAAGGGATACACGTTAACAATTCCTCACACCCTCGGGGCGGGAGGGCGCTCGGTTGGTTGATATGGCCTCTCATTGGACTGCCTTTGATCCGGGGTTCAGGTTCTGCCGTCCATTGGTGCTCTCCCCGTCGAGATGTGGACCTTTGCCGGCTTGCTTGTGGTCTCCATTTTAGTGTACTATTGCAGGAAGCTGCTTCCGCGACCCGAAGACCCCATCGCCATCGACATGTTGCGTCTCCATCATGATGTGCAATCAATAACGACTACAAAGAAGGAGACAGTGATGGATCTCGTCACAGACGAAGCCAGTAGTGTAGTGTCTAAGTGTTCACCAAGAGGAACGACCATAACAGCCTAATGATTGTCGCAAGACATCTCGATACCAAAGACCCTCGGCTGGTCCACATGACGATTTCAAGTTCCATCTGAGATCCAGTGGCACTAAAGACGCCCATCCATGGGCCCATGCCATCTTGTCGCTATTTTGTGGTTCTCAACTCAAGCGAGTGCGGACTGGCTCCAGTGCAATTGCGCAACCGCAACAAAGTCAGGCACTCAATTCAGGGCAAGGGACGGCTTCGGTCGCTACGGTGGCATTCCACTTTCATTTCTTGGAATCTGGGCCATGTGGAGCATCGTCCCAGCTTTTGGCCGGATTTTGCGCTTTTCTCTCGCCAGGGGGACGGGGGATGGATGGATGGACTGGGCCCTGGCTCGGTGCTTCTGTGCCTGTTGTGGTTCGACAACTTCGGCCGTTTTTTTTGTTCAACTGTTGCCCACCCACTGCAACCGACTTCCCGTCCGGCCGTTCGCCTGGCATGTTCCGTTCGTGTGTGACTGTGTGTTGTCTTCCTTGCCAGACAATGATCATGTCACACGGGACCATGTGCCAAGCGAAGCTAGCTGTCAAAGAAGAAATTCAGAAGTGTCATGGAAGCGATGAAGAAGCCTCGAAACGAATTGGTCTTTCTTCAAGACACAAGTCAACGACGGATGACCCCCATTCAATTAAGCTTTACGGTTTTCAATTTCTCAAAGCCATCAGGCAGAAAAAGAAAGGAGAGCCTGGAGTTGGAGGCGACGATGGACGCAAGCATTCACGATGCTACGTCAAGGTGGTAGCAACTGAGATTTACCGGGCATGTACCGGAGGATACTGTAAGTGCCGTCTCACCACCCATCCACCCGTCCCAGCGCTCCGGGGCCGCCACTGTCTGTGTCATTGCCATGAACTCCTCAAAGCGTCAGCATGTCAGATATGTGCCAGTGTCAGCGCCATATGGAGCTTGTTCTGGGCGTTGAACCCCAGCATTCCAACCGGATAAGGGGCAGTTTTGGAAGTCCGAGCACTTGGTGTTTTGACACAAGGTTCATTGAGAAGAGGACCCAGTTGCTTGGAACGACTCCGCGATGATACATTCCATCATTTCGGTCGGCTGGGACGTGTCTTCGACGGGAATTTGTTCTGCAGAGATAATGGCCAAACATGATGAAAATAGTGTTTGGTTTGTTCCTTGCGAATTCCATATTGTAGGCATGTTTTCCTGTAATCGATGATGCTCGCATGAGGTTCGCTCAACCAGCACGACGCTCCACAATGCACATCACTGTAGCTGTAGTGTACAAGTAGCTCAATCGGAGCTCGGGCCGCTCAGTTTACGAGCGCGCTTCCTGTAGGTTCCGGAGCATGGGGAATGCTTGGGATATCTTCGCGTCCGTGGACATGCCATTGAAAACCTGAGAAATAATAATCTGGAGATTTGGGAAGCAGTACCTACGTCGTGATCCATGTTCATCACAGTCATCCCGGTTCGTGACCCGAAACATCGGAATATCCAGCACCACTCACTCGGTCGCTGGGTCGTTCGCCCAGTGTTAATCAGATCTCTTGATCTCTCTGCTGCACCTTTCAGCGCCGAGCTCCTAACTGTCCACTTACACACCTATAATACAACTGTGCGTTCAGCAGCGATACACCCAGAAAACCAGGTGTTGCGATCGTCACATCTAGATGGCCTATCCCTTCTACTTATCGGACCAGTGTGGCACAGTGACTACTTCGCATTACACTGAGGTTTGGCATGGGAACCCTACTGACAGAAAGGCACCGTACCTCCGGCATCATAGGCACATCAATCGCAAGGCACCCGGCCATAATTGGCACGCATACCTTAAAGCCCCCTCACCTAATCTCCGGGCAACGTAGAGGTAAGGTAAAGGTATTTCAGGATGCATATTCGGGTCAGATGCTCAATCGATGTAGAAGCAAGGCAAGGCATTGTCATGGCATGGCATGGCATGGCCTGCACTGGAAGAGGCGCATCGCAGCTCGCGGGGTAGTACGCGACAAAAAAAAAAAAAAAAAAAAAAAAGCGTCGGGGTTACCGGGAATCTCTTTGGCACGGGAACGTCCTCGATGCATATTGTTTCCTGTGCTACAGGTTCCGTCATATACTGGCGGCTCGCCCACTGGGCGATTCGATTATAAGTGTTGGGCCGCGTTTACGCTATGGGCAACACATGATTTATACTGGCAATAGGCCTCGGTTTGCCCTCGGATTAATGGTTTTTGGTGGACAGTTAGGCATTGCTCTTAATTTTGTATGCTAGACTCACCGGTGCGGCACGTCTCATGCCCTACGGGAGGCGGAAGTAGACGTTAAAAATAACAACAACAACAAAAAAAAGTCCTCGATGCATACATCGAGTTTGGAGACAGTCACTGTTATGTACTGCTATCACATCTCGGGTTATCTACCGAACGACCATGGACAACCCCTCAAGAAAGCGAGCGTTACCACAGCTTCAATTTACATCAAAATCCAAGGCACGACATTGATTCTCGCTATAAACTTCAACTTCGCCCTGCTTACCCTCACGAGGGTCTGAAGCAATACTGGTTCATCTAAGTTTGGATAGGATGGGAGCCCTTCCCCCCACGTATGTACGTGTCGTTTTCACTGTACGAACTGCAAGCCTCCAAGCCTATGGCTTGAAGAACAGGAGACCTGCGATCTTCAACGCAGAACGTGGATGGTGGGTGGGTAATCAATCAATCAGTCAATCAATAAGCCCCGAGGAGTGGTGGTGTTTACGGTGGCTTTTGTCTGTTTTGAACAACTGCTTCCTCCTTCGTCATCAGCTCGCAGGAAGAGAGAGAGAGAGAGAGAAAAAAAGCACAAGAAATACCAAGCACCAAATGACCATGTTATCAATTACCGAGACAACTTTCAGACAGGTAGGACTTCCAACCCGCTGGGTTGTGGTCTTACTTACACCCACTACAGCAATCAGAAACAAACCCACCACCTCCATCAAAAACCAAACACTGTGAGAGACGGAAACCGTCTCGGTCGCAAAGACAAACGGCACGGAGAATTCCGTAAAGGACAACACCTCTTCTGAGGTTTGTTCAACCCAAAACCGCCATTTGAGGTGTTCCTGTGGCGTGGTTTTTTGTCCCAGAGCTTAGTTGTTGATCTCGATGGAACACAGGTAGGTACATACCTTCCTACTGTGGGTAATTCCTTAGTGTACTTTTGCCCAAACCACTCATTTACTCTCTGACTCTACCAAGTCCGTCTTCTATAGCATACCTACCCGTTTCAAAATAAAAGCTCTTTTCTGTGTGTTTCTCTAGACATTCCTCATTGGCTGGACCATTTCTTGTTAGGAAACGGTACATCTTGTGTGGCCTCTTGTTATTCGCAGGGGTGTACAGTATAAAGTATACATGGCTAGGAAGGACCGGGAACGGTGTGTGGTCTCAAGTCATTCATTCATCCATTACAATTTCAGCCTGAAGTTGTGGCTTGCATTCGACCACGGGATCGTCGTCCCTCGGGCTCGAAAGAGAAGAAGAAGCTTGAGCAAGGGACGGATGGCATGCTTGCTTGGTTTACGGTATGTTTGGAGTGTTTTTCTCTTAAGGGTGGGTTGTTCCGCTTGGATAAGTCCGGATGGGAATAAGCCGTCTTTTTATGGATTAACTATCATTGCGTACTTCTCTCGAAGAGCAAGGTGCAAATGCGCAAGGTTCGGTGAACTTATCTGACTAGGTAGGTATCATCAGCATTATATACGTTTTTGTTTCGGCCGTACACTACCACCATATCCACCTTCAAACAAAAAGAAACAGCCAACAAATAAAATCTAAAATTGCCATGGCCACATGTCGCCTTCAGCTCAAGACGGAGTTACCCACCACCTCTATCTACCGCGGAAACAAGTTCATCATCACATACAACATATTCACTCACCGCGATTTCTCAGGTACGGCTATCTACTTCAAAAGACGGTACATACATACATACCTACCCTTCTTCAATCTTCAACGTTCCGTCTCCAAGTCGTGTCGTGTCATGTCATGTTACACAATTGTCCATAGTAGTCCACTTCACTCTTCCCGCCAACGGAGGTTGTCGTCGTGGAGTTTGACCACGCTTTTTTTTTCTCGACACTGAGAGAGGATACCATATGTAGTTGAGGTTGTTTGCTTCAACTTCTTTTTTTCTTTTTTCTTTTTTCTTTTTTCTTTTTTTTTTTTTTGATTTTTTTTTGATTTTTTTTTGAGGGGCTGCTTGACCCTGATCCTTGAGCAATTTATAGAAAACGTGGTGGACGGGGTGCTGCGTGTGTAGATGCAGGGCTTGTCGGTATTACCGGTGGGTCAGCCAGTTGAGATGGTCTGGATGGGTAGGTAGGTAGGTACAATGAGGACGGGAGCAGAGAGTAAGTGAGACGGGTGAAGCTGATCGTAGAGAAGCTGGGTGAAAGGTTAGGTGCATTGCATAATACCTGTAGCAATATCGATGACTTCCACCGCGACGCGGACTCGGAAGGTGTTCGGTGGTGCTCAGATTCTTGTTCTGCGTTTTGCCTACCTTTGCTCCTTCCTCATCTTGACTCCGACATAGTAACAAACACACAACCAGTCCTTCTTTCCCGGGCTTACTACCACTCGCTACGCGCCTGTCCTACTGGCACGCCCAAGGGAGTCTTCATCGTGGAATTATTGAAGAACTCAAAGACCACGGAGAGGTATCTAACGTGTTATATACCACCACCACTACCACCCTCCAATATATAACTCCATCGGACACTCAGATCAGCTTCTGTCTCCCGAGTTCCGATCACACATCATCCGCTTCAGTTCGGACCCAAGAAACGATCCAACTTCATTTAAATCACCAAGCCACTCCCGCTCTGATGGTATCAACGTATGGCGGGTATTCCGGCCGGTAGTGATAATGTGATAGTGCACGTTGCCTGCCTACCTATGTAAGCGGCAAAGAAAATGTAGCATCGGACGGATGTTGTGCGACATCATTTGTTGTTGTTGGTCGGTCACCGCAGTTCAGTTCAGTTGCTATGGACACAAACTTCACGTCTTCCGGAGCTTCCCTCTTTCTTTCCAGTTCGCTCACTACCTACCCTATCTTCTCTTTGGGTTCTTGCTGGTGATAAGAGGTGAAGAGATATCAATCCTGAGCCATCAAAAATGGCCGGTCCCAAATACTGAAGGATAAGTGGAAAGAACGAGTTGAAGAACCACATTTCCTTCCTCTGTCAACCTCAAACCACCATCGATGGTGAATGTAAAAAGACGATAATGCAAGTGCATTCACGAACAGGAAAGAGAGAGGCAAGAGCGACATCACTTTCCTTATACCTGGAGATACCCAGGTAGGTACGATGCCTCTCCTCTTATCTGCCTCGCCTCTTGCTTCCTTCCTTCTACTTCATACTGGTACTCCATCCCGTCGCACCTCCGCACCTCCAACTTTCCGCACCTTCCTCACGTCAATGTCATGGGTATAGAAGATCTGCAGTGCAAGCGCAGGCGTAAACAAGATGGCGCCATTTCTCTCAGAATTCCAGCGGGCAGAAAAGAGCTCTCGTGCTTCCCCTCAATCTCTGCTCAGGGGCAGCCCGAACACACACCATACCCAGGGTTATGGTGATGCTTTTGTATGTGGTGACGATGTGTTGCGTACACGGACCGTGACAAGCCTCCGTACCCAAAACAATTATTGAAGTTTGACACGTTCGAACCCGACGGAAGACAGTAACGAAGATAGATATACATGTTGTTTCTGCGATTACTCAGTCAGGATAAGTTGGGGACCGAGAGATATCATGTCGCCCATCACGAAGCACGTAACCAGTGAACTTCCTACCACTCACAATTTGATGTTCAAGTTGTCTCTGTCGATTGCGACCAAGTCAGTAATATCCATTTAACAAGAAAACAAAAGTGAAAGAGCACAAATCACGGATCTTGGATATGTTGTAAAGATAACACAATCAAGGAGCAGAAACCAACCAACAAATCATCAAGAAAGCTCATCATATGAGATCATATTGAGAAAAGAGCATCACGAACAGTCAACGGCTTCATTCGGTGTATATTATTAAATATTTTATTCGTTGTCTATAGCATGGAATGGCCCCCCCATCTGCTCCATTATACATTTCAGTCATCCCATTATGCGTTCCAACTCCGTAGGAATATCTACCAACATCCTTCACCCTCATCAATCCTCCACAGTGGCCAACCGACGACCCTCTCGTGGTATATCCATCTCGTAGCTGGACATCTATCCTCCGTACTCATACCGCCAGGCAAAAAAAACACAAAAAGCGAGCGAATGTAGGGTATCGTTATGCGTTGAAACCAAACGAGAATTGTAACCGGACATGAAAAGGAGCGCATTGTCGTTTCGTCGTAAATAGTCATGTAGATGGCCTTCCCACAGGTGCTCAATCTACTAAAGCCGAGCAGACTGAGAGTGACTCATCAGAAGTTGTGTTGTGCACTGCTTAGACGGCAAGAGCAGTAGTGTGAGGAGCAGTCACGCCGGAGTGGTGGCCGGTGGCGGCATGCTTCTCGGGGTAAGTACCGGCAATGGGGACACGACCGTACTGAGTGAAGGCAATGTTGAGGCGGTTGTAGTCCCAGCGGCGGCTGAGGAAGACAAAGGCATAGCTGAGAGTGGTGATAAAGACGACGTCGAGGATGCCAAAGAAGATCATGCTCTTGGTGACACCAATGACGTTGCCGCCGTCAGAGACACCCCAGGCAATGGGGTAGAGGAGCCAGAGAAGATTGGTCCAGCCAGAGAGCATCATGTAGTCGCGGTTGATACCGACGCGGTTGGCCGAGCGGCGGGCGCGGAACAGGGTCTCGAAAGCGAGGAACATGTGGGCAAGAGCAGCGAAAGCAAAGAAGCCCCACTTGTAGTTGGAAGGAACATAGGCGGCGACGAGATAGCCAATGACCCAAATCCAAGAGAGGAAGATGTTGAAGACGATGGTGGCCCAAGAGACGCCGGAGAGGATGCCGAGGGCGAGAATGGCAGCAGGGAAAGAGACAACCCAGAGGACATACTTGGCCCAGAAGATCTGGCGGGTAGGACCGTGAGAACGGACTTGGTTCCTTTGGCTGACCACATCCCAGGCGAGGTTAGCCGCCATGGCAAAGTATGCGAGGGTAGCCACGAGGTTGGTAACGATCCAGATGTAATGCCAGAGGCGTTCACCGCGGCTGGCCTTGAACTTGAGAGCAAAAAGGACGAGCTATTGACATGATGGGTCAGCACAGCAACATCATGAGGGTCCTCTGAGATGGGAACCTACTGTGTTGAATGCGAAAAGGGCTGTAGCAGCCCAGAGCCAATCCGAACCGTGCTCACTCAGGTGCTGGGTCTGAGGAGGGGGGTGGACGCTGAGGACGTCGTTGCGTGGGAGTAGGATCCCCATTGTGGTTCCGATACTATGGGTCTTAAGGTGTAACGGCCGGTGATGCTAGTCGTACACTGAACGGGAGCGAGATAACTCGTTGATTTGCTCGTTGCCCGGTAAGGATGGCTAAGTTGGTGTTGAAGTGTATGCTTCGTTGAAGTGTTGCACGAACTCTGTTGTTGTGGCTGATGCTGTGATGATGGACTGAGAAAGATTGGGTTAGATGTAGGCAAGAGACGCTGAACTTTTATAGGAGATGCAAGCTGGGGGAGATGTATGCTTTCCGGTCTGGCCTGCCTTGGATGTTTGGATGACATCTGCTTGCAGGGCCCAGAGATAGCATTGGTCACATCACTTGGGAAGGCTTGATGGGAAAGTTCTCGAAACCCGCCTTTTCCGGCGTCATTGTCCCGCCCACGCGAAGTGACGAAGAGGGGGGGGGGGGGAACCACAGCAGCCGCACCGGCGCACCGAACTTGACGGGTAGCAACTCCTGAGTGCAAGTCAGGTATGTACGTAACTGCCAAAGACGTACCGGTACCTGCCACTAAGCAAGGGTAGTAGACTTCACTGTTGGGACAAAAACCTTTGCCCAAGGTGCAAAGAGGGAAGACAACAGCCGATCCATGACCAAGTCCGGACAAGAAGGGACCAAATCAAGGCTTCTTAGCTCTTTAACCTCCCACAAGCAAACCCACTCCATGATCCGTCCAACACACGCTGCTCGCGACACTAGTTCGCTTGTCCCGCCGATTGGCCTGTTGATAGACCCTGTCGATCTACCTCCGTAGCTATGCCTAGCAATAACGTGGTCCAGATATTGAAAGAGATGCGAGTCGTGACGAGATGATACAGCGGAACCGGACTACCTGCTCCGCAACAGACACACCTTTTCTCTTTTTGTTTTTCTTTGGGAACTCCAGGGTTTGCACCCACTTGGACCACTCAACCACTGGCAACCAACAACCCAACCACACCAAGCTCTGATCTCGTCAACCCTTGTCAGCTTGTGACTTTGTTTTTGACATCTCCCCCGTTTCCTGTTCTGGGCTGCAGACAAGCTCAGGCAATCAGGCCATAGCTATCCACATGGTGGTCGTATGTTTGGCTGGAGATAGCTACAGGTGGCTCACTGGAGCTACCTACCTCCTGCTCACCCGCTTTGGTGTTCCCAAGGGCACCGCACTACCTGCACTTTGCATTGGACGACCAGACTTGTCCATGTCCCTTGCTTACACTTTGACCTGCACAGCAGAGCTTCCCTTCCCACCATTGCTCTGTTGTGTGTTGTCAACGAGGACGGACTGAAACGATAATCGCGTTTCCTTGCATGACGAAAGGGAAAGGATGACCCAAGGGCTGGTCTTGGCACACGGCATCCCAGAATGACTGATCGCCAGCCCTTTCGAAATCCGATGGTGCCCCTGGCCCTTGCCTGTTAAGCGTTAGCGACATCGGCACATTCGGGGCGCGACCGGGGGCAGGAGGACCTCATGATGTCGGTCGCAGTGGTAAAAGTCGTGTCGAAAACTGTGACAGAGGATCGTGACAGCCTCATCGAGCCAGCCTCACGTACCTGGTTCTGAGGGTTCAAACTTCCACTTGGGGCCGGAGACGTCGGTTGTTGTTGGCCAAAGCGAGCCTCCAAAACCAAGCTTCCAGGCTTGGCAGCCACGGGCACCTGACCAACCAAGGCCCCGCGGTTTCCGTGTCATTCCGCCCTCCCAACCCGAACCTGCCCTGGCGCCCTTGGTTGTCGGACGCCTGCGGTGCTGGATCACGATGATGGATGCGACGTGCAAATTTGTCTGGTGCAAGTAAGTGTCGTCGACCCGACCGGTCACGGGTGGCTGCCGCAAGCTAATGCCGGCAGATGCACTTGGCGGTTACGTAATCAGCGTGCAAGTACCCGTTACATTACTGTAACAGCACCTTGCTAGTTTGACATTGTTTGTTTCAATGTTGCCGTCATGTCCAAAAACTTTGGAACCGAAATGACAGTACGTCCGTCCATCTCCCACAGAGGGCAGGCATTTGTCTGTCGACTTGGTCGTGCATCGCACCGGAAAGGTCGGGCTCACAGCTGCCCTTCAGAAAAATCATCCAATACCTGCAGGACGAAAACGTTAAGGAACCGGAGGGACAAAACGAACACTGGGCGACGGAACTGGCAAGCTGATCGAACTTTGCAAGATCACGCGACACCGCGATCACGATCTCTAACCCAGCTTCCAAGAACCCAAAGTTCCATTCCATGAGGATAAGACATCCAGACACCCATGCCCGAATTGGCGCGAAACCCCCGAGGTCTCAAAGCTCTCCCAGACCATATCGGTTTCTCAGATTTCCAGTCCATCATCATGGAAAAGTCCCTGGATCAAAGAAAGGATGAACCCTTCAACTCAACGGCCCTTTATACTCCATCCATAGGGCAATGACAACATGCCCCGACATTTGCCCGGGGCGGATGAAATGGAAATTGGAAAGAAACATTTCCACAGTCAAGTGGACTCCAAAAGTTCCAGACGTGCCGGACAGGGTCAAGGCAAACCCTTGTTGAGAGTCGAGAATTTTCAGCCCTGCGCGCCGAGCCGCCGAGCACTCCATTCGACCCGAGCGGCGCGCTCTGTCATCACTCCACCGCTGACGTCGTAGGATCCACACTTCCAGCATCTTCTGGAGATGTTTATAAACGCGCTTTTAAGCGCTATTTGTATATGGCATAGCATTTCGCATCTACACCATGTCCTCACCTCTCTCCATGCATTCTCTGGAATCTTTCTTCATCCTATCCCCGAGCCTAAGAATGGCTTTCGCAAAAAGGCCAAAAAAAGGTCCAAAAATTAAGGGCCAAGAGGGGGACTCGAACGGCTGACATTCTGTCAAATGGAAGGGAGTAGAAGAGCCCTATTTTCATAGCCGGAAGACGCCACTAACAGATCTTCCCCAGGGGACCGCCTACGCTCAGTTAGCGTTACGTTCCCGACGCTCAGGCATGTGAATGTCTGATGTGCTCCCGTGGACTTTGGAAGCGTCAGCACACCACACCGCTCGACCACCCCCTTCCGTTAATTGTTGAATACTACGCCGTTGGAACTTGTATATCAACCCCCGATTGCAGTTTCAGGTCGCGCATTTATTTTGGACTTTAATGAAGGACATGACAACGTCCAGAGAAGGCTTGGTTCTTGGAATAGTTTCATTTTCTCTTCTGTTTCTACTATGCTGCATACATCAATCTTGCGCGAACATTAACCCCGAACCGTCAATGAGTGCCGCACATATTAACACTAAAAACACACCCCATTCAAATCCGATCTCGCATGCTTATTGGAACGGGATTGGCGCTTAACACACGCAGGCGGTCCATATGCTCCGAATGTTACCCTGAACCCTCCAACGCCATGTCATCCCAGCAGATGATAATTCATTGACTTCTCGCATCCCGTCTTAACATGAACGACACACAACTATAATATAGTAGCTTGGGATCTCCATCGCCCACTTTGGAGCATCATCACTACATCAGTACCAGTACCAGTACCAGTGAACCAAGAAGATGGGAGGCCGCCGATGCGTTAAAAAAACTGTTCGTGTAACCATATCGGAGCTGGTACAGCGAACGTGATTGGTTGCGCCAGGTTTGCGAGGCTTGAGTCGTTGACGTAGCCTTACGCATGCGATAATCCGAAAAGGAAGAAAAAGGGCAATGGGCGAGGGATCAGGGGAAGGGGAAAAGATGTGTTCCAGTTCTGTTGATCTGGTCTGGCCTACATAGTAGACCATCTTGACCATTCATCACGATGGAGTCACAGGTGGTGGAAAGAAAAAATGGAGCTCACCAGTTACATGGACTAACAGCTGCACGCCTGTCTCTAGCTAGCAACCCCATCACATCTTACGCTATACTAGGCTACTAAGCTCCCATCTTCGTAGTCGTCGCATATGAAGCTATCTCTACAGTACCGATCTATTATTAAACTGATCATCATCTACTACTTCGTCGTCGCCGTCGTCTTACTTGGGTTTCTCTCGCGCGATCATTGCACCCCCATTTGTAACCATGTCCTCATAAGGACCTAGTTGCTGGATCTGGATTGCCTGGATCGTTGGAAACTGAAAAACAACCCATGTGGCCGAAATGAGGTTATACATCTTCATGGGTGAATGAACAAGCATCTAAATTCGGAAAGCCTGGCGAGAATGCCAATTTCACCAAGCCATTCAGAAGTTGGAGAGCATAGAATTGTGAGCCTGTTTTGTGGTATCAACCAAACCATTGCAATCCTACCGTCTGTTAAGTAAGTTGACTCGATTGACGCTATCAAGTGCTCCTTGCACTTCGCTATGCATGAACCCCATCCTACTGTCTCGTCTCGCCCAATGTCCCGGGCGTTCATCTTATTCCCTTAAGAATAAATGCCCACGGGCGGCCCTTTACACGCACTAGGAGGACTATATATATACTCCAAACCGGTTGAGCATGTTGCTGTCTATCACCTGAAGGTCGGACCCCTTGCCCGTGGATGTTCACGCCATAGGTCTTGCAACCGATGGGTGCCATGCCACTAGCAATCTACCCGGCCATGTGGGACTCGAAGTGCATCCTCCTCTTCTCCCTTAATGGTAGAGACCGCCTCCTTGGCACGCTCCCTGACATCCAGCTCAGCATCATGCTCCAGGCCTTCGAGCTTTTGCAGGAACCCTAGGTCCTTCAGTGCTCTCACCCGCAGATCCCTGCCCAGCATGTCGTCCGAACCATCGCACCATACCAGATTTTTGAGCAGATGACACAACGACCGCCGCACGTCCACGTCCTTGTTGTTGAAATGACCCGCCAGCAGCTTAAGGAGCTCCGGTTGGGCGACCACAAGCTGTCTGTGTCGAGGAATTCCCGCCGCGATGTGTGTCAACAAGTAGATCACCGCCACGATGATCTTGGATTGCGGGTACAGTACACGCGAGTCGATGCTGACGCTGCGGCCTGGGGCTCCCGGCCCTTCTCCGCCGCCAGGTGTCCCCGAGCTGGACGACTGCCGTCTGGCAAACGGACGGAGCACCTTGACACGGAGCTTGGACGCCAATATATCGAAGAGACGGTCTTGGCCTAGCTCGCTGAAGACGTAGTCAACCATATCCGCTTGGGACGGTTGTTGAGGAATGGAGATAAGGTTGCGAATGAAGTCGATACCTTGTTCCTGGATCACGAGATCGGCTTCACGCGCCTTTCGAACCTCATCAAATTCCTTTCCCGTAATGCCCTGAGCATGCTGTCGGCAACGCGCATGCGCGTCGAGTCGAAGCCAGGTCCCTTCCGGTGTATGGCTTGCCACTGCCATATGTCGTCAGTTGCTTCGGGGTAACAGTCATCTGTATCCATCGCTTCATCTTCATCCGCGTCTGTTAGTAGTTGTCGTGCACCCACAACTCGGGCATGCAGTGCCTCGTCTTCCGTATCGTCACATATCAACTGAATAAGCCACCCCGGCCCGAGTTCCTCCAGGCACTGTCTCTTGATATCCCTGTCCGCCATCTGAACGAGATGCTTGAGTGCCCACAGAGAATTAAGCCTCAGCCCCGCATTATCAGACCTGGCGTATAGACAGAGCACACCGATAACACCAGCTTTGATGAGAGGCTAAATTGTTGTCAGTGAACTGTCGAAATGGGCCAAAGAAGTATATCCACTTACATCACGCATAGGGCTGCTCTCGGTCAGCAGATTACAGACCACGCTGCAGGCTGCTACCTTGACATCGATGTCCACGTGTTTCAAGAGCTTGAAAATGGGTATAGCAACGCAGTTGTCGTCCAGGGCTGTTCGGAGGTTGCTGACCGATCGTGCCAGTGTCCTTACAGCGTGACATGCCGCGATTAAGACCGACGTTGGGTTATGCCCATAAGGAGAATGGCCCGCAGGATGTATCGGAACGGCACCGTCCTCCTGCGTTTTCGACTTTTCCTTGGGTGGCGTCGGTTTCTGTGGCGTCTCGGAGAGCGACTCTACAACACTTGGTAGTATATCTTGCCCAACAATTTCTTTTCTAAACTCTTCCTTGAATGTAGCCAGGGATGTTATGAGTTTAATTGAGCTCTCTCTCATCCTGATCTTGTGCGCACACACTGGGACTTGACCCGGTGGCCCAAGCTGGCATGCCGAAAACCCATCCTCTCCAAAATCCCGTCTCTCTTCCGGGTTTGGCGTCCAAGGCCTAGGGGGCGATTGGATTACCGAGGGCGCATAGGCATCCTTCAACAACTTGCACGCCAGCTTCAGGGCTCCGCTATCATGAGCAACCTGTTGCAGAAACACGCTGTCCGCGATAAATCGGGCTAGGACAGCTGGTGTCCGCTCCAAGATAGCCCATGCGGTAGCGGTCTCCGAGTCGACAAAGGTGGCATCTAGGTTCTTGCCACTCTCTGTTTGGTAATCCTTCAGTATCTGGCAAAGAACCGGAAGGACAAGGACGCTGAGTGAAAATTCTCGGTCTGGGCTCGTGAAGCCACCCTTGAATACCGATGCAAGTACGGACGCAGCCATGACCTTCTCATGATCGTTAGTACTAGATCGCATGAGGTGGATCAACCAAGGTATTAGCGGGCTCTCCGGTTCATCGATATCCCCGCCACCAACAGACCATTCCCGATCCACTGTCGTGAACTTCGTTGCGACCCGACCGTGTTTTGCAGGCGTCTCCCATGACACGACCTTAGATGGAAATGATGGGTGATGTTGGGACAAGAGAAATCGCGGTGTCGTAACTGGAACGGGTGGAAGTAGGTAGTCAATGGCAGAGCGGTCCACTGACCGACCGTGCGCAAGGCCGCTTTTCTTAAGCAGTTCCCATGTGCGAGAGATTTGAGAGTTTCTTTCTTGGAACTCACTACTGATTAGTACTGCCATGATTGCCGGTGAACAAAGCAGCAGACCCGTTCGGAAACGCGAATCTGCTATGATGACAGATATCGCTTCCAGGATAAGGGCCAGACTCAGTCCTTGAGGAGTAGCTTGTGGTATCGCAGCATCCAGGCCCTCCCTCTCCAGCGTGTCTAGGGTAAACGGCAAAACCTCTCCTCGCGCGACCACGAAGCTGGCAAGGAGGGTGGCTAGGGCGTCCAGGACCCCGGCGTCGGCAAGCATATCTTGGAAGCGCGGTTCCTTACACAACCGACTTATCAAACTCGCAACCAAGCATTTTTGCTCTTGTACTGTGGGAGAGGTAGACTCTGCGTCGAGGATGGCGCACAGCGATTCGATGTAGCGCGGTACAAAGAGAGCTTTGGCTAGGACAGCCGTATCCTCTGTACTTGTTTTCGACGAGAGGCTGGCAGCCTCTGTCATGTTGCTCAGGGCACGCAGAGATGTCAAGACAAGTTGTGCGGGGTTCTTGAGCGGGCAGATATATGTCAAAACAACAGGGACCACTCCAACGGCATTCAAAGGAGAGAGAAACGAAGGACCACCTGCAAATATTTCGGTTAGGGCTCTGACTGTTTGTGATACACAGCGGATTTCAGGAAACATGGCGTACCTTTGGCAAAACTAGCAATGAGCTGCAAAGCCAATAGCCGCACACGATCATCATCTGGCAAGTCCATAGTCTGGCCGATAGGCACATCGGCCTCCTTAGTTTCCAGACCAGAGGGCGACTCTGTGGGTTTTTGCTGGAGCAGATGGACGAGCGACTGCAGTATTCCGTGGTTCACCCATTTCTCCTTGCCCCTAACATCGCCGATGACCTCATCCTTAAGTTGGCGGAGGCGTCCAATCTGCTCGACATGGTTCCTAGCATTCTGAATCTGCCACAACAAGGCCGGGGGGTTCTGACTATTCGCCATCTTCGGCCACTATATGATGTCGTGTGGATGCTGGTGATAACTTGTGGTTCGATTGGTGTCGTCGGTCATCAATGCCCTCCCTGTCCGGCCATGTGTTGCCAGCGAAGCTGTGGACTCGTTCTTGTCCACGAGGGAACTGGGTCGGAAGCTGTAGACCGCGGTGTAACAACGGAATGGTTGACTTGAAGCTGAGTTTATCAGGGCCGATCGTACTGCGAACCAGACCGACTTCTGGCTGACGTATTGGTAAAGATAGATATGTGAAACTGTTTGGGTAAAGTCGTCGGTATTGCTATGGCTCGAATCTGAGTTGCGCCGAGGGAGTTGCACGGACGGCCGATTGACGTGATGGAAAGGTGGATACGTTCGATGTGAGAGATGTGTCGGGTCAGACTCGGCGAAAGAAGATGGGAAAGGTCGCTTGAGCGGTCGCCGCTCTCTATTTTGTACTAGCTGGCGCGTGGTAGATTCGGGAGGAAGAAAGGAATGAATGGAATGAGCACGTCAGCGTGTTGGTTATCTGGTGATGGTGTTGGCATCTGTTGGCGAAAGAACGGACGGCGATGAATTGTATTGTTGAAGGTCCAACGTTGAATGTCCAATGACGAGACGGAAGGTCCCACGCTGCCCTGAACGGCCAATGACGGTGGCGGGGAACAACGGCTACGGATGGATTGGCCGGGGCTGTTGCGGGGCGGTTCCCTCGTTCTCGCTCGGGTTGACGTGCTCTCAAATGCACAGGGACTCAACGGGTGGTTCCAGCACTAATATAAGTACACTACATCCGATGTCTATAGCGTATATAGCCTATAGCACTGGACTTTCCTCCAGCTCCTTTACTTTTCAGGTTGCCATTCTTTATGGTGTGGATCATTCAAGTTGTTTGTCAAGATCCAAAGACTGTTCTTAATGAATGTAACAAGCTTACTACCCATGAGGTACCTCTACCGTATACGATATGTGTACAGCTCAGAAGCGATCCTGATGCTGTCGTCTGATGCCCCTGGCAACTCGTACTCTACTTGAACATTGACGATATCTGTGCCTCTAACTCTAGGTAACTGGGACTCTATCCTCACTATCCCTCACTCCTGGGTTGGTACCACGACATAAACTTATTTTGTCAAGTCGCCAGTCGTACTCATTTTCGGAATAACTTCTGGCTGGAGGTTGTCTACGTGGTGTAAGATATCTCTCAATCCTCTCGGACGCACGAGGAACCAACCACTGTCTACCTAGCACCCAGACATATCGGATACTTTGCGTCGCCAAGCATACGTCTGGCCCCATGGCATAAAAGTCTTTCACGTTACTCCGTGTCTTTCGTTTAGCTAGCAGCCGGAGTATATGAGCCTCGCAAGTGGACGTAATTTGGCCTTTTTGGTTGTGTTCTGTGTTTCGGAACTCTCTCAGGTGGTTCGAGTCGTCTTGTTAGTGCTGACAGGAAGTACTGCCAGCAACGGTCTCCACCGACCTTTTTCTCTCTTCGACACCTCTTTGGAAGCAGTCACACCTGCATATCCAAACTCTCATTGTCTCCCCCCAAACACCATCTGGTCATCTTCCTGAATATTGATCGATTCTTGGCCACATTTCTTGCCTTTAAAGTTGAACCGATCGCTTTTGCCCCCCAGATTCATATTGGGTTTCGACAGCGCTGGTAGACAATTGTGCTCAAACCTCCGTCTCATACTTTGGTCACCTTCTGGGCAAAAGACGGTCCAGAACCAGCCCTCGTGTGGGATTGTGTGGACGGAAGAAAAAGCTCATCGACAACACAACCCTGTTTGATGCTCCACTGTTAGCGACCGTGCCATCGACTCGGGCCCCACGCCGGGACTCCACGACCTCCCACAGTTCTTGCGCTCCCGCTTCCGCTGCCTTGTTGCTGCTTCGCCCTGCGAGGCGGACGAGGCCGGGATGATGCTAACTCGGTCTCCCGTTTCCGCAACCGCAACCTCCCCCACGACAACCGTGACCGTGACCGCAACCGCAACCTCTCCGAGACCGAGTCGCGGTGCTCCCCATGGTCGCTTCCACTATGCTCCTACCCTTTCACCACGAGAAGCAGCTTCCCGGATCCCGGCCCCATCGTCTCGCCGGCAATCCACAACCGCCCCCGCCACTTCGTCAACCTCTCCTTCCGTTCCAATCCAGGCACGACACGCCCCAGTATCGATAGCCTCCTCCCCCGCAGCCTCCAGCCCCGGTTCCGGTCCCGGCTCTCCTTCCTCATCCCGGCCTCGGCGCTGGGCGGGCGTCGATGTAGCGACCCAGTACTCGCCCATGGAGCCGATGGATTACACGACCGGTGCCCTTCTCTCTAGTCGGACCCCTGCTTCTTCGAACAATCAAGCCGTCGCCCGAGACCTAGTCGAGTCCCAACCTCCACATATACATACCTCCGTTGAGCCCATGGCTTCCCACAAGGAACAGGCCTCTGCCTCGGCCTCCCCATCAGAAGCTGTCACTGCTCCCATCCCGCATGGCCCGACGGTGGCCGTAGCGGTGCCCCCGACTCCTCCAGTCTCCTCAGCGGCGCCCCAACCGCATCCGGTGTCGCATACTCCTCAGACAGGTACCCCCGTGAAAAGGAGGAACCCCCAAGGCGACGTCACCCACAGCCAAGTTGAAGCGGCGAGCGCCGGGCAAAGCGGTCCGCACTCCCCTAAGCGGGCCAGGTTGGCGCCGAAGGTTGTGCCCCGGCGATATGAGCACTGTCCAGTCGAAGACCTGGTTGTGCTTATCGCGCACATGCTGGGCGAGCTCATTGAACTCAACGACGAGCAGGCTCAGAAGGCTGGGCAGCGTCATAACCTTACAAGATTTCACTCACGGTAGGCAACCTTCAATCCCTAGACGGTCTGAATCTGGTCATGATCCAGACAAAAGAACAAGCTGCTGACACTAGATTTCACAGAACGGCCCCTGGAATATCAGTTTTGGATTATCTTCACCGACTCGCGAAACACGCCTATCTTTCACCACCTATACTTCTTTCCATGGTTTATTATATCGACCGGCTTTGCGCACTATACCAGGACTTTACCATCAACACACTTACCGTTCATCGGTTCCTGATAACAGCCGCTACCGTTGCCGCCAAGGGGCTCTCTGACTCCTTTTTAACAAACACACTATATGCGAGAGTGGGTGGTGTTAGAGTCGCCGAACTCAACATGCTTGAGTTGGAATTCCTTCACCGCGTTGACTGGAAGATCGTGCCCGACCCCGACGTCCTTGTGGCATACTATGGTGGGCTTGTGGCTAGATGCCCTGGATACATACTGGAATCTCCAGATCCTGAAGAAGCAGACGACGAAGACGAGGACGAAGAACTAGATGAAAGCGACGCGATAGGCGACGACGATGACGAATTAGACGGCGAAGATGGAGAAGAAGAAGAAGAAGAAGATATGAGTTGAACAGAAAACGGATAGACATGCCGCGTAGTAGAGGTGCTCTACGGGTTAAAATTGACCGGTCACGTCTGGTCGAGCTGGTATATATCAAAGACACATGATGGGGACCCAAAATAGAGTGGATGGAGGATGAACGGCGAGCAGTCCATGGGAGAAAATCAATATGGGAGAGCCTTCGGACAAAAGCGACGAAAAAAAAAAAGCATCTACCGGAAAAGCAAAGGACTGTGGGGCGAATGAACTGCCAGAGCTTCTAGAGGGCGCTCTGTCCACCAAACCAAACGACGGGGTATCGGATGGAGATGTACAAGAAACTTGGAGGGCGTGGGCATACTGGAAGAAGGTTTTCTTGGTTATCGAAGACAGCAAGCGGCCCAAGCCGGAAAACTACCACTTCCATTCTAGACAAACATCTCGTCAAGCCACAAAAGATGGGATGGCAAAGGGCACATGACGGCATAAGGGGTTCGAGATCATTAGTGTCATATGCATCACCGTAGCGGAACAGCGGTATCTGAGGATGAAGGGGCTGTTCTTTCTCCACAGACGCTTTTGTAGGGATAGCACGTTTCGTAGATACCACTGAAGCGAAACTGAATTTCCTTTTTTTTTACTCAAGATGCGTTTCTCTCCTGTCTTGACCAATCCGTCGTACCTGAACATTGGTTCCGGCAGTAAATGATCTCGGGGTCGGTTCAGGACCTACCGGGTGTCCAGACCGGATGCTGTAGACCAGACGTCGGGCCCTTTCCAACCGGCGCCGGTGATCGGTCCGTGGGCTGGAGGCTGGAGAGCGGATGAAGACCCCACCAGGCTTCCAATCGGGAAACAATGCCAAGACTCAACACCGGGACCCACCTTTTACTAGTGTTGTACGGACATCTCCAGCTCTGGCTCCATTTTCGCCATCGTTCATGACTTGTCCGCTTCTCTTCGCGCGACAGCAGCAGCTTTTCACTATTCATACTTGTTAGCTATCCGCTTCCCTTTTAAGCAGCAAGGCGTATCTCGGAGGACTACAGCAACCAAATTCGGCACGATCCCGACAAGCCCCGATCCACCATGAAACTCCTCGCGTCGCTTGCTTCGGCGCTCTTGGTCGTCGCCACGGCCGCAACAGCTCAGGTCGTCACCGTCCCGATTTACATCCAGCCCGTTAGCACCTCCTCTGCGCCGTCCTTCCTTGCCGAGGTTAGCTATGACACCGCACAAGACCCAGCCAGCGCGGTAGCACCGGTTGTGTCCGCCTACGAAGCGCCCGAGATCCTCGACGACCTGGAAGGCCACGAGCTCCTACGCATCGGCGTGTACGATAAGACGGCAAACAAGTGGGCATCATCCACGTCGGTCATAACGGCGAAAAACTTCGGCAAGGGGTACGCGCCACACTTTGTGCTGTCGGTGGACGAGACCAACCAGAAGGGGAGCTACGACAACCAACATGTCTTGGGCGTCGCGTTCAAGGGCATCAGGATCGACGCTGGGCAGACAAGGGATTTTGGGCCGCAGGCGGTGCTGGTGCGCACGACGCAGGGAAAGCAGCCGGAGCTGAACAAGCCTGTTGTGCTGTCGCCGGAGGGCAAGCAGGTGGTGCCGCAGGAGAAGACGCTTTTGCAAAAGTATATTGAACCCCTTTCCCTTTCCTCCCAGCCGAGTTCTGGTACCACCGAGATGACGACCATGAATGCTGACAAGATTGTTTGTTCCTGCACTATAGGTATTGGTGGGTTATCGCCATTGTTATGGTCCTCTCCCTGGGAGGTGGAGGCGATGGGAAGTAATAGATTGTTCAACATTTGTTTTCCTTCCCTGGGCAGACTAGTCGTCTTGTATAGAAGTTTTGCTACACATACAGCTCCCGGTGAGGATGCCCTTTTCGCGTGTTTTGGTTGTATTGATTGCCATTCCCTCGCAGTGTTCTGTTCTATCTTGATTCAACCCCCTACCTTGCTCACCTCATACCTACCCAGGTGGCAATAGCCCGTTTGTAGTACAGGGAGACTACCAGCAATCCAGTGCAGTCCGTCGCGTTCCTCGTCACTGAGACTAACCTTCCAGCTGGCAACTTCTCTGCCCCTTGCGTCAGTGTTCGCAGGTGGGACGGGGACGCTGCGTACCGAAGCAGGGGGCCCCGCTTCAGCTGCACGGCCCCTACCCTTGCGTTTTGATTGACAGCTGCTGGCCAGTGGTGAAGCTTGCCGATAGAGTTTAGCGCTGTTTGGGGACTGCTCCACCACCAGATGGCAAGTGGGTCCTGTAGCTAGCTTCCCGCCTCTTAATTGGAGAGTGGGCCTTGGAAGCTGTTCGCTGCTCCCATGTCATTGCTTGCCCTGCGCGCGCCTGTCTCGTTGCTCTCTTAACGGACCATCAGCTCAACTTCAACTTGGAAGTCACCACCAACTCCCAAGCATCACACCTTGGAACTTTTCTTGACCCCACCTAACTTCACCTCACAAGCTAAATCTTTCCCTTGACAAACCCAACTTTCGGTTCGCATTCAGCCTCATTAACAAGAACTAATTACCCATCTTTTTGGCATCTGTTGATCGGATCCATCTACTACGCGCAAACAAGAAAGTAATTACACTTTTGCAACTTAACCCATCGCGAAAATGTCTACTGAGAACGGCACCAACGACATCACCCTCACGGGCACCGGCGAGGCCAACACCACCTTTGAAAGCAAGGGTAAGGGCAAAGCTCCCGCTCAGTCCGAGGACCACCCCATGGGTGAGGCTGAAGACGACGAGGATGATGAGGATGAGGATGAGACTGAGGTAAGTTTGAACGCTTTGGGGGAACTTTTGCCCTCTCATCTCTTTCCCTCGCAAATTACCCGTGCTAACCATTCCTGTTTGTAGGAGCCCGAAGCTGGTATGTTGAATCCTATCTATCCGTCATCCACCGCGCCATGCCGGATCCCGCAGCTTTGCTAACAGTGACAAAAAAACAGAGGAGGACAACCTCGAGGAGATCGACCCCAGCAACGTGATCAGTGGTCCGCGTACCCGCCAGAAGGAGATCGACTACGCCAAGGCTGCTCAGGACCTTCCTGCCGAGGAGGACGACGAGGAGGATGATGAGGAGTTTGTGCCCGAGGATGAGGAGATGGAGGAGTAGTCCGAGACTGTCTTCTATTCTTTGATGGTTCACAAAACAGCCACCAATGCTTGATTTTCCTTTTTGCTGGTTGCCCACTTGGTTGACTTTGTACCTTGCTGCTTGCCAGTGGTTGTTTGGGTTTGCTTATGATGATAAGCTTTGGGATGTTTGGAAGGACCTTTTGGCTTGCTGCTTCTCAAGCTCGGTTGGTTGGGAAGACGTTTTATGTGCGTGAATGTCAGCTATGGGAATTTATGGATTTCTTTTCTTGTTTCAAGGCCTCTAGGAGTTCACCACAGTCAGGAATTGGCAAAGCAATAGGTAGGGAGTGAGTGGTCGCTCGTTTATCAGGTAGACCGATCTCTTCTATCAGCCAATTCAAAAAGTATCAACTACCTACATCGCTGTATCAGAACATCGCCTGGCCGCTTTGACTTAACTAACCTAACCCCGATGAGTGGAGACTTGAGATGATTCCCTGTTGAGGGCAGTTGTCCTGACGGGATGGAGGTGAGTGCCAGTAACCGCGAGGACGAGGCAGACATGATGCTATGTCTGCAGCGTGCTAGACTGTATTATTCGGCAGATTTTGCAGTTGCCATCCCCATCTTGCTCAATATTGGTCCTGTTCCTAGAGTATGTACATTACACAACAGACGTCTGGAACTGGACTCGGAGCATCGTGCCAACAAGGTTCGCGATCTTGGCCTGATCCACCACGATTTTTTAGCTTCCCTGTAAGCGTCAACATTTGACGCGAATGCATTCTTTCAGCTTCAAAGCCTCAAGGTCTCTGAAAGTCTCGTTTTTTGGGTCTCTTTCCCTTCACACGGCCCCTTCTAAATTCTACGCCTCTTACACTATGTGATGTGAACCAATTCGTTGTCGACGCGACAAGGTCAAAAAAAAACCTTGAAATAAAGTGACCACGTCTATTGCCCAATTGGCCAATGTCAGGTAACACGGGTCCCTCTCTGAAAAGGAACTTTTGTGTATAATGCCGACCCTATTGTCTCTCAGCATCAAAAGAAAGCAAAGGATCAAGGCCAGATAGATTCGGGGAAAGGACTATCGAGATCTGTCAGAGACGTGACACCAGGTCAGCTATTCTTTCAAACCGGCTCTCCCAGATTGTTAACATCATGCAGCAAGAAGGATATTGTACATTTAGCCGTCGAGTATCACCCAGACACGGACGGAAATACCTTATGAGCTTATGTACCTCGATGGCCGGGCCCGGGCCTAAACAAGCTTGGGCGGAGACCGACCAGGGGAACCACCAAAAAAGGGGGATCTGCCGGGGACTGGGCCAAGGGTCCATCCATCCAACTTTTATTTTCTTTCTTCACCACCCGCACCCACCTACCGCCCGCAACGCTATGGAACTTGTCGCCATTTCACTTTCCTGATATCTGCCCACATACCTAGTATCTCTCTGAAATATAACAACTGATCAACGCGAATATCACTCCTCGAATATGGCTTCCAGGTGAGCGCGATTCTCTTTTAACGTTCGTCTTGTATTGCACCAAACGCAGATGCCACCTTTCGCATTTCGAAATGCGACTTGGCTTGTCAACCCGACCGACCGACCAACCGACCGACCAATCCCGCGACCGACACGAATGAAGCGATTGATCGAGCTCCTAGCTCCGGTGAATTGGTCCACGATGTCGAAACCGGGTCTTATCTGCGAATGAAAAAGAGCAGCCTCGAGTGTACTTGAAAGTCGCGATAATGCCCTGGTAACCCACGACGGCCTCAACTACGTCATCGCTCTGCGCTTCAAAGTTTCGCCAACCCCAAGATTACTTCAACCCTTCCTTCTTCGACGACTTGGAACATCATCCTAACAACTAGTGCTCCTCCTCCAGATTTGCCCATTCCTCCCTACACCAGCGCGACCCGCGCAGCGACCTCTTTAAGGGCTACTCCGGCTCCAGCACTGCAGAGCGCCGCTCAGCCAACGCTAGCCCAGCCCGCTATGGTGGCGGTGGGTATGGGTACGGAGGCGGCGGCGGCGGGGGTTCGTACAACGGTAGTTACAACGGGAGCTCGTCGACGTTAGGTGTGGAGAGGGGCGGGTTCAGGTCTGCGACGCCGAATTCAAAGGGCCAGTATAGCGACGCAGTGCTTAACGAGCTCGAGAGCCAGAACGACGAGCAGGTGGAGGGGATAATGGGTAAAGTCAGGATTTTAAAGGATGTACGTCTGTTCTTTTTTTCTTTCTTTTCACCCCCCTCTGTTCCTTACCACCTCCGACTCGCCGCCGACTCCCTTCTCTCGCCCAGCCATCAACTAACGAATCCACCAACAACAGATGACAGTAGCAATCGGCGACGAAATCCGAGACTCCTCCGCCCTTGCCGAAAAGATGAACGAATCGTTCGACCAGACCCGCCTCAGACTCCGCGGCACCATGAACCGGATGCTCATCATGGCGCAAAAGACCAACGTCGGGTGGAGGGTGTGGCTTGCCTTCTTCGCTGCTGTGGTGCTCCTCTTTTTCTACGTGAGGTATCTCTAAATATCTCCACTCTTTTGAAGGTTTTCCTGACCTGAAAGAGAGAGAGAGAGCCTTGGTCGGTGGCAGGTGGCTGGTGGTTCTGCTGTTCCCACGCAGGCCCAGTGATATGAGAGCATGATGATGGAGACGAAATCAAGAGAGAGAGAGAGAAAAAACACATCTGGTGTTGCGAGGGAAAGATGGGATGAAATGACGGTATATATGGTTTCGGTCGATGAAGAGTGACACGAGTGGATGATGAAGCGGAAATGTTCTACGGTTAATGTGGGTGGCCGCCTTACGGGTATAGAAAAAGCATGGATATGGGGCTGCCCTTGGTAGATGGGTGGACTTGGTTTTTTGTATGCTGGCGCTAGGGAGTTCGCGTTTGCTAAGTTGTTTGGGTGAATACAGAGATCGGGGTTGCTCAATTTCTCTTCTTTTCTATTGTTACGGGTTAGGCTTGATTATTTGTTCTAATATACTGATCTATCATAAAGTTATAACGGGGTCACGGAGACTTGAAGTGGTCAATCACCGAGCGTATAACGGACACTAATCAGACTTGCGTTCAAATTACAAACATATTAGAGGAGACTGATGCCGCCAAAAAGACTAAAGTTCGTTTTTTCAGGCTATCTATGTAAATACTGGTTTCTAAACCATCAATAACCCATCCATACTGCCATGATTCCAAGACCTGGGACTCCATGCGCCTGACCTAAACCACCCTGGTATCAAATGATGCTTGCTGACGGTTCCTACCGAACTAAACGCCGCAATTTTGACCCTTGCTCCCTTTTCCGAACCATCGTGTACGTATGTATTATACTAGTGCGGGTGCATCCTCCTCACCCTTGGACTACTTCTCATCATAGGACTGCTCTCGTCAACAGACAACAGTCCACTGATATCCAAGCTGCTCCTCGGCGCTCCCAAGGTACTCCGTCTAGCACTTCCCGCGAGACTAGTCCTCAACAGCCGCTGGTTCTGCGGCGGCTGCTGCTGCTGCTGTCTCGGCAGCGATACGCGGCGATGCTGCTGGCCCTGCGCTGATCCCGACCCGGGTGTAGGCCCATAGCTAACACGGTGATCGCGTCTATTACTGCCGCTTATGCTCATGTTACCACCGTTACCACGGCTACCGCTACCCATGTCTACGTTGACTTGTTCTTCTTCGTGATCGCTGCTTTCAAGGATCTCCGCCTCGGAATCGGTATGCTCGTAGAACCCGCTTTGCGCATGCTCCTCATCTGCTTCGGGGATGTCGTCGTCTAGGTTAGCGTTCATGCCTAGGCTGTCGTCCATCATGTCTCCTTCCGTGCCTTCGTAGCTGTTGTTGTGGGCGCCGATAATGTCGTCTTCCTCTAGCATGTGGGACCGGTCTTCCTCGTCGAGGTCGTCGTCTTCATCTGCGGCGCCGTCGGCTAGGTTGATGTGCGTGGGCCGGAGACCGCCGCGGGCCATCATCTCGCGCATGCGTTCTTCGTTGGCGCGCACGTGGGCTAGCTCGCGCTGTTGCTGGGCAGTATTGTCGTTGCGGCGGTGGGGATGCAGAATGGAAGAGCCGGTGCTTGTTGTTGTGGGTGCTTGTGCTTGTGGGGGTTCGATTGTGTCTTCGTCGTCGTTGGCATGATCGCCGGTGGTGGTGTTTCGTTCGTTGGTGGCTTCTTCCTCTTCTTCAGCATCATCATCATCCTCCTCCTCCTCCTCCTCCTCCTCCTCCTCCTCTTCTTCTTCTTCATCGTCTTCACTAGCCCCATCATATCCAAACCCACCCTCATCTGCGTCGGGAATGTCCTCATCCAAATCCCTCGCTCCCATTTCATCCATGTCATCATCACCCTCCATCATCTCCATGTCACCATCGGCGCCACCAGGGACTGTGTTCATATCCCCCTCTTCCATCCCCTCCGCAGCAGTAACCTCCCCCAGCACCGGCACAGTCGCATTAACAGCTCCACCCACAGCAACAGCAGCAGCCGCCGCCTCCGCCTCCGCCAGCTCCCTAGCTAGCATCTCCTCGCGCCGCATTGCCTCCTCGTGCTCCTGCCTCTCGCGCTCCTCCTCGCGCATCTGAAACAGCGTCTTGCTAACGCCCGGTGGCTTCAGCCAGGTACTACCCAGGTTGCTCACGTTGGCCTTGCGACGCTCCATATACGTCTCGTCGGCGCGGAGGCGGCCGAGCGAGGAACGCTCGATGATGGCGGCTTGGATGTTGCGGGAGGCATTTCGGCTGGTGACATGATTCGATGAGGTGGCGGTGGTGTTGGGGTTGTTGGCTTGTGAGTTGTTGGTGATTAGTCCGTCTGCGGAGGTGGAGGAGGAAAGGGAGAGGGACGCATCGAAGGGCGAGAGGAGGCCGGAGGTCGAGGAGGCGAGAGGGTTGCGGGACGAGGTGTACCAGAGGGAGTGGGACTGTTTGGTTGGCGTTAGCAATAAGATAACCAAGTTGATGGTTAGGTAGGATTGGAGGGGCCATGTGTGATATGAGAAGGGCAGAGCTGAGCAGCAAAGATAAGGGATCGAAGCTTACGTCGCGCGGGGCCAGGTCAGGGAGAACGGAGAACATGGTTGCTTTGTTGTCGACGAGACTTGTGTTGCAGGACCGGTTTGGTTGTTTGTTGGTTGATTCTTAGATACAGCGTATGCAAATTTTCGTCTGCGACCAGGACCGCGACGTCTTGCCCGATTTTAGCTGTGCATATATATGTACGTATGCGGAAAGGCCGAGGTTTCGAGTCTAGCCAGGACGCCTTGATGGTGACGTTCTCGGGTGATGATGCCGTAGTTAGTGAACAAGTGTCGGTGTATAGCCCACAAAAATATTACAGACTCGTGAGGGAATTATTAGGGTGAGCGGGCTTATTGGTTTGTATGGAAAACTGGGATATGACTTCTAACCAAAGCGGTGATGAAGTGCATTGTCGTGAATTCAGCCTCTCCAAACCATGGTGTTTTGGATGAGATCCCCATCCAAACCTTCATGTCACTACAGTAACGGTACAGGTACCCAGTACAGTACGTAGCGCAGCTACAGGCAGGTACGTACCCAAAACTTGACCCCACAAATGCGGCTGCCCCTGCTGGACTGTATACACAGTAGGGCCCGTGCACTTTAGCCTTTGAGGACCCTGATGGGTAATCTTTTTCAGGATTTCAACTGACATTTCGAGAGATATCGAGTCCGTTCTGGTGCACTTGCAATACAAGATGGCTTTGGCTTAAGTGTTATCATGGGCGTGAGTAGAGTGGTTATCACAACAACCGAGCTCGTCTCAATATCTACTTAGTACCATGTGTCTATAGGATCTTGCGCTCAGCGCTTGGGAATGGCCTGTTCAGTAAATCGGCCAAGCACCTTGAAAGGTCGCTCATTTTCACATGGCTGTTCATCACTGGAGTCTTCACATTATGTAAAGACCACACATGCTCGGTAACTTTCTTAACATCTCCGACTCCAGCCACTTACACCGGATAAACTGGCCCGGCCATCCCATGCCTGCCCCGAGGCTCTCAGAAGCTATCCCGCCGATCTCCTGGGTTGCTGGTTTCGTCCGGTCCGTGGCGTGTCAGACAAAGTCAGCCACAAAAGTCACGGCAGCAAACGGCACCTACGTATAAAAGAGAACTCCGGGCCATTTCCAAGGGACAGGTTCACGTAGTTTCCATGAGGTAATCGGAGAGCCTCCCCTACGACTCTGAACAGCACAAGCATTTCAATTCCCCTCGTTAACTGGACAATGGACTACAATCGACCCCTTGTCCCTACCGCGGTTTCTGCTGCAGCTGTTAAATGCTTGCATGCGGTAGTGCGAGATGTTAGCGTCTTTTCTTTTTTTGAAACCTCCCATTTGTGAGGAGTGAGGAGAGCGTGGGAGGAATACATACGGATGGGAGTCTGACATCCGACGAGCCGACCTCTTAGCTGAGAAGCTAGTACACCCCACTTCATTGCTTAGGCGCCTGAAGTATCGGGTGTTTTCGGAAGCACCCTCTGTTATATCCCACTGCTGCTTTTGTTCCGGCCTCCTTGGCGAGGGTAGACTTTCGAAGGATAGAAGGAAGAGTAGTTGTGGCCTGCGATGCCAACTATATGGTGTAGAAATATCTTGAGGATGACCGGTTGGCCATTGTGTATACTCTTTGTAGGAGATGTAGATGAGCGGGAAAACATTGCTCCCTGTTGTGAATGCTTGTTGAGCCCAGCAGGGCTTCATGGAAGACTAGTTCAGCAATGTTGGATTCGCTCGTTTCCGGCTGATCAACCCCAAGGATTTAGAGGGGTCGTGCAGCAGAGCGCCGATGTCGCTCCTAGTATAAAGTAACGTCGTGCTGAAAAGGTAAGGTGGTTGAGGGTGGTATGAATGACTCCTCCCTCGACATCCCAAGTAGAAGGCAGGAAGTTCCCGGAATCAGATGTTTATAAGAAGACCAGACATCCTCGGACTTAGAACTCCACTTTGAAGGTTTACTGAAGCTGGCACGGGCGGTTGTGTTTAGTTTTTTGAGTCACATCTCTGGCCTGACAGCCCTTGTGAACTTTGTCTTTAAGACAGGTAACCCCCACTTCCTTCGTTGGGGATGGACACCATCACAAAGTTTTATTTTTCCTTCAAGTCCACGTCCCTGGTCTTTATTCTGCTGGGTGAAAGGGTGTCACATTTCCACACCCTCCCAGCTGTTACCCCGCCTTTTATCCATTTAGACCACGGGAGGGAAGGATGCATGGAGACATCACCACACGGGCTTTTCCTTCTCTTACCCCGTGAGATGGAGAGTTGGGAATATGGTAGCGGTTGAAGCGAAGCGATTGAATTAATTTGCTGCGACATTTGCCCGGCCCAAGTATTGATGGCTTCGTGTTATGATGCTTGTCCTCGGTATCTCGCAAGGTTCTTTAGCTACTTAAAACAACTGGGTGACGTAGTCGCAGTGGGCCATTTAATTCAGAGTTTCGAGCGGATGAAAGTGGACGGGACTCGCGATCTTGTTGACCATGTGGATGGCAGTGAACTGCCGTATTTTGAGATTCAAAGATGCCTGGATGTTGTAACGGGCGGTCCAGCGACTTTGCTTTTGTTCACATCAGTGCTGATTAGGCACACCAGTCGTCACGGAGTGATATCATGCTCCCCGTGGTGGAGATCTTGTCCTTGTGGTAGAACGTTTGGCTGTGGAAATTCCGACGACTCGGGAATTACTCGGGCCCACTGTTCTTCTCTGGACGAGAACAGATGGTATGAAGAATGGGTTTGAACCCGACGTTCGAAGCATGCACGGTGTTCTTGGGAGAGTGGATTCTTGATAAGGACTGAGGCGAGCTTGAACCGTGGTTTTTTGTTTGGTTGGCGGGGCGTGGTGTTTTGTGCTGATGATTCTTTTACATCTTCGATCAACATAGGTATTGTCTCACCCCTATCTTCCGCCAAGGGCAGTTCATGGTTTCTTTTCGGGTGACTCTGCAGCTGTTACGATCGCATTGGCTTTTCCTATTGGTCAACTCACTTGAGACCATTCATTTTCCCGCTTTTTGAACGGTTGCACTCTTCTGAACTCTGAAGAGAGATCTCAATAGGATTCTGCCAAGACGGCCGTCTGACTCCGGGCGACTGGGTGGGAGTCGTTGTGGCATCGCCGATGAATCCAATGCTCTGGGGGTCCAACGGTCGTGTCACCGAAATCATCGACGAACCGTGGCGCGTGGGATATCGCCCAGGCGGGATTTTATCTAAATCAATGATGTCCAATTCCCGGTCTGAGTAGGGTGAGAAGACCTCATGTGTCGTATAAGAGAAATATTCTGTATAGACTCTGAATCAGCAGAAGCTCCCCTATCATCAAGTGCCCGGATATTATCACATGTTTTTGGTAACTGGGTGTTTGGTGTCTTTGTCGTGCGCTTCGTTCTCGACCGAGCCGGCGCACAGGGTCTCCAAGAGTGCAGGGACTTGACGGAGTGATCCATGAGGTAGGTGTCGGCGACATCGGCCCTTGTGAGATGGGTGTTGGAAAATAAAGCTTGATGATTGGTTTGCTGAGGGCACGACGTTGTGACCTCTTCTCTTCCTTGCCAAACAGCCATCCGAGCAGGGGTTAAAAGTTTAACATGGATACCCTTGCATAAACTTGACGCTGGTGGATCTCGGGCTAACTCCAACTGGATGCAAGATGGACGCTTTGAGTGTGGGGTATTATGGTAATTGGCTGTTTTGAAGGAGTGCGTACTGTTTCCATTCTTTTACACAGTTCTCTTTGTTGAAAGAAGAGTGTGAAGTTGAAGATAATATCGACTAATCTGATCAGTCGCCCCCAGAGAGAAAAATTCCGCGGCGTGATTTGCCTGGAGGCCGTGATACCGCTTGTAAGTCGATATAAAGCACAGGAAAAGGAGTGGCCCGAATATCGTCACACAATCATGTGGTGACAACAACTTCCCTTACCCTTTGCAGAACTCGTTCAGGCCCACAAGGCTTGGTATCGGAGAGAACTAGCAGCGCTGGATTATGGTATTGCCCTACAACCTGTTTTTGAAACGGTTGAGGTGAGCTGGGGCATTCGCGAAAGAGCGGCAACGGCCGTTGGATAAGCGCATAGGAGTTGTTTCAGATGTAACCTAGGTAGCGAGAGAGCCGTGAGATTGATGTTTGTGTGTCATGAGAGTAAACACAGCTGGCAGAATGACCGTTCAGTTCTCACGCTTGCTTGCAGCCGGTGTCCGGGTACGCGATATGTTGTTTTGTCCACCTGAGATAGGTAGCCAGTGTACCTAGGCCCTAACGATGAGAGCTGTGAAGATTGAGTGGTGGATTTCATCAACAGGCAGGTAGTCGTGAAATGGTAGTACAGTAAAAACCCCTGTTTCTGCAAGTCCCCCCTTCTGCAAACCCATACAAAGTTACCTAGTTAGTGCAACATTTTTGGCCGCCGCAATTCCCAGTTTTGTATGTAAGTGAGGCCCCAGTAACTGCAAAATGCCTAGTTACTGCAAGAGTTTTTGTTCTCTCCCACAGTGCCCAGATTAGTTGCAGAAACAGGGGTCTTTACTGTAAGTTGAAGAAGGAACCATGGACATCTCCCCACTCGGGCATTATTTCCCCCACACACCTGTGCCAATACAGTAGAAACCCCTGTTAATGCAACCAATTCTGGCAGCCGGAATCTTTTGGGGGTTCGCAAAAGGAGGACCAAGCACACATACCATACAGGGCTTCTGGCCATTAGAGAGCCGCTGCAGGGCCCAAAAAGTGGATCCTCCAAAGCAACCGTACCCCCGGTAGAGGGGTATAAGTCTACCTCTCCCACCAAAATTTGGCCCCTGTTAATGCAAAATCCGGGCCGTCAGCATTGCAATTGCAGTTTGCAATCCCGCCCACCAGAGGAAATGCAGGCAGGCCAAAGTCTTTGCAAAAGACGGGGGGTTTGCAATAGATAATCTTTGTATTAACAGGGGTTTCTACTGTGTACCTACCCTCAGTTATTCCTGTTTTGGCGCTGGGGCTGGTCTGCCGCGTTTAGCTGCCACATGCTTCGACTGTGGAACCGACCAATGTGCGTCTCTGGATTGCTCAC